TGCCTTTTAGATTTAGTTAGTTTGTAGTATTATTTATTTAACTCTTCCATATCCTTGTTGATCTTCTGTCTTGTTCTCTTGTTCTGTTACTGAAAATGAGGTGTCAAAGTCTCCAACTATTCTTTTTTTTTTTTTTTTAAAGACTTTCTTTATTTGACAGACAGAGATCACAAGTAGGCAGAGAGGCAGGCAGAAACAGAGAGAGGAGGAAGCAGGCTCTCTGCCGACCTGAGACCCCGATGCAGGGCTTGATCCCACGACCCTGGGATCATGACCTGAGCTGAAGGCAGGGGTTTTAACCCACTGAGCCATCCAGGCACCACCAAAGTCTCCAACTATTCTTGTTGAAGTACGTATTTCTCTCTTAAATTCTGTCACTTTTTGCCTCCTTTTCTTTGAATCTCATTTGTTACATGCATACATTTTTATGATTGTTATGTCTTCCTGATGGATTGTTTTATCATAAAAAATTCCTTGTCTTTAGTAACATATTTTTGCATAATATCTATTTTTTCCCTGATATTAGTGTAGCCAGCCACTACAGCTCTCTTTTGGTTATTCTTTTCATGGTATGTCTTTTCCCATCCTTTTATTTTATCTTCCTGCTATTTTGACCTTTTTTAGAAAATCACCATGAAGTATCCCTTTTTATCTTTGGTAGTATCTTCATCTGAACATCTAGTTTGACTCATACTGGTATAGCCATTCCAGCTCTTTTGTGTGTACATGATATATCTTTTGCATCCTTTTAGTTCAGCCACTTTGTGTCTTTGAATCTGAAGCATGTCTGTTGCAGATAGCATAAAGTTGGATTGTTTTTATTCATTTTATTTTTAAATTTTATATATATATTTTTTGGGGGGGGAGTACATGCATATGCACATGAACTGGGATGTGGTGGGGCAGGGCAGAGGGAGAGGGAAAGAGAGAATCCCAAGCAGGCTGCACACTCAGTGCAGAGCCCAACACGAGGCTTGATCTTAAAACCCTGAGATCATGACCTGAGTCGACATAAAGGGTTGGATGCTCAATCAACTGGGCCATTCAAGCACCCCTAGTTGGATCAGTTTTTAAAATTAATTCTGCAGATCTCTACCATTTTCATTGGAGTGTTTAGTCCATTTATATTTAACATATTACTGATAATTATAACTTAATTGATAAGACAAAATTTATATCTGCCATTTTGCTATTTGTCTTCTATGTCTTATGCTTTTTTGTTCCTCTAATCCTCCCTCCATTGCTCTTGTCTTTTGTATTAAGTAGATATTTTTGAGTATGCCATTTTAATTCCCTTGGGGTTTTTTTGTTGTTGTTGTTTGGTTTGGGTTTTTTTGTTGTTGTTTTGTTTTGTTTTTTACTGGGTAGATTTTTTAGTTATTTTCTTAGCAGTTGCCCTGTGGATTATAATTAACATCTGAATTTGTAGCTGTGTCATTCAGATTTAACTTAATTTCAATAGGATACAAAACATTGCTCCATTAACACAGTTTTATAATTACTGCTTTCTGCATCAGTTTTTTAAATCAGATAGAATAAATGCTGCATTAATACTGTCTTTATATGAGAGAGAGTGATGGGGGCCTGTGGAGGTGGTTACTTCCACATTTATGCATTTTTAAGAAAATGAAGTCTGTAAAGAAATAGCTTTTAGTGGAAAATAGTTATTAAAATGTCGGTGTGATTAATTTTTAAGTCGTGGAATTTATTTTTTGCTATACATATTTTCTGTATTTCCTACAAAGAACATGTATACTTATTTAGTAATTTGAGACAAAAACATAAAAGTATTTAGAAGCCAATTTTTTTTTTAAGATTTTATTTATTTATTTGACAGAGATCACAAGTAGGCAGAGAGGCAGGCAGAAATGTGGGGGAAGCAGGCTCCCTGCTGAGCAGATAGCCCGATACAGTCCTTGATCCCAGGACCCTGAAACCATAACCTGAGCCAAAGGCAGAGGCTTAACCCACTGAGCCACCCAGATGCCCTAGAAAACAAATTATTTATGTTACCAACTAGAATGGGGTTTCAGTCCAAAAGTAGAACATACTAAGTATAATTTAACTTTCTTTTTATTTTTTTTACCACTATAGGTACACCCCCACCTCTCTAGATTCATTAGGTTATACCTGTGTAAAATACTTAATTTTCTTAGATTCTCTTACTCCAAAATCCTAGGTCTTTATAACTTCATCTGACTAAATTGTTTTTATTTTAATTTTGTAGTAATTCCAGATTTACAGAAAAGTTGTAAAAAAGTACATTGTGACTTTACCATAAATCTGGAATTTTTATATAACCTTTATTAAGTTCTTCAAATGTTAACATTTTATCACATTTTCTTTATTATTCTCTTTTTGTATGTACACATACATCTGTGGTGTTCATGTGTATATAAATTTGTGTCTGTTTTGTTACTGCTTTTTCTGAACTGTTGGAGAATAAATTGTGGACATGATGCCCCTTTACCCTTAAATACTTCGATGTGTGTTTCCTAAAAATGAAGATATTTCTAACCTTTGCATGTTATCAAAATGAGGAAATTAACATTGATCCAGTATTAAAGTCCTTTGAAGCCAAGAAGTAAAGTAAAACAGGAACAAAAATGCCTGTTTCAAGATCTAACCCAGGAGCCCATGTCTCAGTTATTTGTCGGGTCACTCTCAGTCTTTCATGACTTCGACATTTTTGAAGAATACAGGCCTAGTTATTTTTTGAGTGTTCCTCATATTGGGTTTCCTCATGGCTAGATTCAGGTTTTGCATATCTGGCAGGATGACCACACAAGTGATGTTGTGCCTTCATGGTGCACTACTTCAGTGTGCATATGCTCTTCATCTCATTACTGATGGTAGAGACCCTTGCTTCTCTCCCAGCCCCCAGAGGAAGCTCTTAGCTCTTCAGTTGCTTAGTTTTTGGCTTATGAATAGCAGAAATTCATTTCATACTGCTCTGAAGGCTGAAGTCCAAGATCAGAGGATCCACATGGTCAGGTTCTAGTGAGGGTCCCCTTCCGGGTCATAGGCTGCTGCTGAACTCATTGTGTCCTCACCTGCTGGAGAGCAGGGAGAGGGCGCAGCTTTCTTGTGACTCCTAGAAAGGCAACCATTTGGAAGCTTGTAGTTTTAGTAGCTACTAGGTGCATTCAGTGATTTCATCTATGATTTGATCTATTAACTCCTGTAGAAATTAATGATAGGTATTTTGTAGTAATGGCATAGTATGTCATCTGGTTGAATTTTATTTTTGTATGCCCTAATTCTACTTTGATCCTAAGTTATTAAATTTAAACATTTAACAAGTAAACATTTTTTAAAGAATACTAAAATCTTTACTCTTATTAGAGTTCCTTTAGGTAAAACTGTTTTGTTTACAGAACTTAGTAATTTTGTGTATTTCTGAATAGTATTATATTTTAAAAGCTGAATTTCCCCCATACATTATGATTCTAAACCTATTTCATCCCCCCCACCTTTTACCTCCAGTTTATGTTGTTGTCTACTTTGTTTTTAGTTTTTCACCACCTTTCTATTTTTTGTCTTATTTTCATCCCAGTTTAACCACAAACCTAAAAAAAAAAAAAGTGTCACCATTCCTTTAGCTCTCATATGGGATTGAAAATCACTTTCTTCTGTATACTTTTATCATTTCTGCTTTATATTTATGGTGTTTTCTTTAACTGAGGCGAAAAGTAATTTTTTAATGGAATGATTTTATTTTGGAATGATTAAATTATAGAGTGAATTGTGAAAATATTTAGGTTTCAAAGAAACCAGAGTAGGTATTAGGCAGTTTGGGGGAGAGGCCCAGGTCGCTTTATAACAAATTACTATGGTAAGAACTTATGGAAAGCCTAGCTGTTACCCTATTGATGGTTGAAACTTTGTTTGAATCAAGTATTTTTTCACTTACCAACACATACTAAATACCTGCTTTGTGTTGGGCACCAGGTTCTGGAGATAGAGAGGCAGTCAAAACCAAACAGGGTCCATGTCTTCATGGATCTTGGTCTAGTGGCAGCACACATAACATATATCACTAATAAGTGTAAAGTCTGTGAGCAGTGCTATGAAAGAGAAGTTCAGGATGGTAAGAGTATAAAATAATGCAAGGAATTCAGTATAGTTTAGGAGTTCCAGAAAGGCTTTTCTGAAAGAGTTATGGATGCACAGCAGTTACATAAAGAAGGTAGATGGGTGAAATCGGGAATAGTGGTATCTCCCTGGCAGTGGATAGAAGTAGATAGATTTGAGAGAAATGTAGGGAGTCTCATCACCAGGTCTTGGAGGGGAGAATGGTAGAATAGGGTTTTAAGAATGAGTCCTTGATTTCTGCCCTTCACTGGGTTGGAGATCACCTGAGAGGAAAGATCCTAGCAGCGAGGTTTAAGAAGCTTCAGTATTTGATGGTCAGGAAGAAGCGGTGTACCAGAAGAGACAGAACAGCCGGAGCTGCAGGAGGAGCACAGGAAGGTGTGCCCTCCTGGGAGTGAGGCCTGTGAGCTAGCATTTCAAGAAGAGGGAGTGGCAGAGGGACAGATTCTACTGAGAAGGAAGAGTGGGACTGAAACTGCTCATTGGATTTAATGACTTAGTGGTGGCCTGAACAACAGCCGCTGTGGGAGAGTAGGGACTCTGGAAGGGTCAGGGAAGAGTCAGTGTGAGGAGATGGAGAAGCAATACGGAGAACTCCTTGGGGAAACCTCTCCCTTCTGAAAGCAGGGGGAGGTGGTGTGCTCTATCATAGAGATTGAAGATTTCAAGAGATTGAAGAAAGAGGTGGGCTGGCCTCTGTGAGAGCTGGGGATGCCGCCATGACGAGAGGTTGGAGGATCTGAGATAGTCTGGCAGAAGATGTGACTATGAGAAAGAGATGGGGAATCCACACTCAGTGTTCACAGCTCCCATTGGGGCAGCATCTGTTCTGTGCCCAAGTGAGACATTTTACAGTAGTCACTAATGTGTGTATTTGTTTTCTTACCATAATCCCTTTTTGTCAGAAGAATGATGAAAATGGAAACTGCTCAGGGGAAGGAATTGAATTCCCTACAACCAATTTGTATGAACTGGAAAGCCGCGTTTTGACTGATCACTGGTCCATCCCTTACAAGCGAGAAGAATCACTAGGCAAATGTCTGTTGGCGTCTACCTATTTGGCCAGACTTGGTAAGTCCTTACGCTCCAGGACACAGAAGGAGGGGACTGTTTGTTTGATAGGAGCCCTGACGTTAAACTTCACTCTTGTATAATCACCCCTCTGTATGATTTTTCTTTTAAGATTTTATTTATTTATTTGACAGAGAGAGAGAAATCACAAGTAGCCAGAGAGAGAGGGCTCTGTATGATATTTGATCGTTTATTCTCCTAGTCTTGGTGTAGCCCCTGTGGAATAAAAGCTTTGAATTCAGCCAGCTGTTTTCTTCTAGCTCCAACAAAGGATGAGAGTCTTTAAAATAGAATTTTTTTTTTTTTAAGATACTGAGAGAGATCACAAGTAGGCAGAGAGGAAGGCAGGGGTGGGGGGAAGCAGGCTCCCCACTGAGCAGAGAGCCTGATGTGGGGCTTGATCCCAGGACTCTGAGATCATGACCTGAGCTAAAGGCAGAGGCTTAACCCACTGAGCCACCCAGGCACCCCAAGAGTCTTTAAAATATAATTGAAAAGCTTTATAGAAATTGAAATGAACATTTTCCGCAAAAGCTTGGAGAACTTTAAGGTTCAATTCAGTGGCTTTTTATTCTTTAGGAAAAGAAAATAGTATTTATTTAGTGAACATTTTGTGCATATTAAATGTTTGGCACTGTCTTAAGAGCTTTATAAATCTTCAAGTAACAGAGTAATAAAATATCTCCACGTTGGAAAATGGGTATCAGTATAAGGAAGCTTCTAGACTCTAAATACATTGAAGAAAAAGTAATTTATGGGACGCCTGGGTGGCTCAGTTGGTTAAGCAGCTGCCTTCGGCTCAGGTCATGATCCCAGAGTCCTGGGATCGAGTCCCACATCGGGCTCCTTGCTCGGCGGGGAGCCTGCTTCTCCCTCTGCCTCTGCTGCCACTCGGCCTGCCTGTGCTCGCTCGCTCTCTCTGGCAAATAAATAAATAAAATCTTTAAGAAAAAAAGTAATTTATTTTTCATATTCAGTTAATAAAATCAGATGACTTGGTCCACTGTTTTGTGATTTTTTTCCCCCTCATTAAAATTGTGCATAGTTTACCACCATGATTAAATATGAGGCACATCAAAAGGAAATATTTTGACTGGGATCAAATTTAATTCTCACGGCTTTGTATGGCACCTTAGGACTGGCTTTTCGGCAGCAGCATTCATTGTGTACCTGTTGGGAGGTAGGTACTACGCTACACAGTGGGTCTGAAAAAAAATGTGTCCAGCAGTATTCCCGATGACAAGCAAAATACATTATTAAGATTTTTTTACACAGCGTATTCCAAATGGTAATTTTACAGTGGATTCATTCATTCACTTGGCAAATACTAATCACCTGTTGTGTGCCAGGCGCAACTCTGCGCATTTAATAACACGGAGTCCCTCGGTTTGTCTTAGGGAAGAAGAGTGATTTTGGTATCTGTTGAGAATAATTTGTGTTTTTATAGAGCTGTTTAGGAAAACAACAGCTATTAAGAGGCTGCTGTTGGTGTTAAGGCCGATTGTTTGAAGTTACTCTGACAATGGAAACCTACGTTCAACCATTTCACTTCTAGTTATTTATTATACTGTTAACAAATGTATATGAATTAATAAATATGTGAATATATTGGGCTCTTACAAATACATTAATACTGTGGTTGTCAGTGTGTTCCTTCATCAGAATATATATATTCTGCTTTTAATAATCCCGTAAGAATCAGGGTTTCCATAAATAATTCCATACAAATGAATTTGGAATTGATATATATGATTTCTGCAAACTGCCTAAAATCGTAGTAAGGCATGTTGTTTCATTTATTTTACTAAGGTCTTTCCGAGTCGGATGAGAATTGTAAAAGATTTATGGATAGGTGTATGCCTGAAGCCTTTAAAAAGGTAAGGAAAAATGCGCTAGTCTGATTTTTTGGATGGGGGTGAGAATGAGCGGGCTTTTTGTTTTCGCTTTAGTTTTTTGTGTGGGGCCAATTTACGAGTCTTGTTCAACGGAGGAATCCCCTACTCAGAACAAAGTCACTCCGAATTTGGGGCTTATGAATGATTTATTTGTTTGTGCATGTCTTTGGACGGCTGTAACATTTCCTTCCTTCTCTTTAATTGCCAAAGGATAGGTTAGGCTTACCTATACTAGGAAATGATGCCATACTAATCTAAGGCTTGTGGTATTTAGAAAGATAATATTTCTTTATCAAAATACAAGCCATTTGTACTGATTGTTGTACTGAGACAGAAGAGGAATTTGAATAGTACAAAGTTTTACTGGGTTGAGTATGTTCCATGGCAAAATGGCAGGTGTGTGGCAGCTTCTGTGGCAGAGCAAGAGTCATGCGCTTCCTCCCCTTCTGGTCACATCGCTTATAAAGTGATTTTTCTTAACAGGGAGAATAGGAGATCACAGGACTTGTGTTTCAGAAAGCAGTCTAACTCAGCATGATTCCCTTTTCAGGACATGAGTCCTGAATTCCCAAAAGAGTAGGGACAGTGTCATAGACACTGTCGTTTTCCCCAGTGTGTAGCCAGTGCCTACCTCCAAGAGAAAGCTTAGTAAGTCTTTGCTGAATGAATGAGTCTCCCCGCTGTCTTGTCCTTCTGGATTTTGACATCCATTTTTGTCCCATAGGCAAGGAAGTCACTAGATCTACAGATGGGTGAAGACTGTATTTATCTTGAACCCAGCAAAATAAACTGTTCATTTGTAAACTATTATTCCCATCTACATCTTGATAGAATCTCCCTTGATTCAAGGCATACAAAATAACAAAATTAATTCTAGGAACAAAAACAGCTGCATCTTTGAAAAAAGTGTGAAATTCTTAAAAATTGTCATTTGGGCAGAGATTACATGAAATCAAGACTTATGTTCATTTTGGGTGAATTCATCTACCGATTTATCATTTTAAATTATTTTAAGTTTTTACAAATTCTGTTAAGAATTACAGTAATTTTTTTAAAAATAGCTGAATTTTTGTAATGTCACATACTGTGACACATTATGTTATATGCATAAATTTACAGAGAAAGAAAATGCAGCTTTATTTAGAGCCATGGAGAAGGATTTATCAGTATAAAGACCTTTAGGTTGATGAGCTCCAGATCCAGACAGCCCTGTGTCAACACAGGTCACCGACAAGTTACATATTTGGAGTATATGACTGTAACTCGGTGCAGAAACACTTCAGAAAACAGTTTTATATTATGTCCTCAGTTGTTTGTAATAGTGTAATAAATGGTCCAGCGGTTGGTTGCTCAGTTGTGGTTTTTTTTTGTGGAACTACGAGCACAAAGGTACCCTCTGTTACATTGTTCAGTGTCATTTATGTAAAACTGTGTATGTTAAATTCTCTTTACAGTTTAGAGCTATTAAAAAGGTTCTCCTTCACATCAGTAAAGCATACTTTTAAAACATTAAACCAGAATTTAATTTACAGAATTCTGTGTGCCTTTAGACTCGGCTACCAGAAAGCTCAGTAGTGTTTTATATAACTGGTATCATTTCCCTTAGCTGTGTTTCCTGGTGTGATTACCATCTCTCTACCCTCTTTCTTGACTTTTCTCACAAGACAACCTCGAATGTTTGATTAGAAGGAAGGGTGTAAGTAATAAGCAACTGTATGAATAAGGTGCACCAAAGGGGCTCTTGTCATGTCTGCCTTCTTTACCTTTTACCTTGAGGCTGGCCTGGATCCCATATTGTGTGTTCAAGCAGGGAAGTAGATCTAGGTCTGGCATACTTTAACCCCTGCATACTTAAACCTTGAGCACAACTTCCCCCCAAAGGGCTGCCTGGCTTTCACCCCTCTTCTGCAAGGTAGGTAGACTTCCCTTTCCACATTCAAAACTGAACAGATGAGATTGCAATAGAGGGAGTGGTGCTAAATCCACATACATTTTATTTTGTAGTCCATGACCCTTCTCAAATGCTAATCAGCTTCATTTTGCTTTTTTATTTAAGTGGAGAAAGAAGGTATCAGCAGGCAAAAAATTCTTGCCCAAAAAATAGTAACTCATTGGTTTATATGAAGTCAGTCTTATGACTATTACTCGTGTGACCAAATAGTTCAGCTAATTGGTATTTAGAAATCTGGAACTGGGGTTTTTCTCTGCATCTAAAGAAGTTTGGGCTCTTCAAGCTGCTCTTATTAAGGGGTTCTCATTGTGACCAAGGTGGAATTTTTATTGCATAGTATTTTCCTTCTAAAGGGAAATCTTACAAAAACATGAAACCACCATACCAGTTTGCCATTATTTTATTAAGTGATTCCCTTTGATTTCTCATTCCCTATTCCAGCAAGTTGTTCCTGCCTTAGATTTCCCCAAGGACTAGACTGATGATTGGAGAAATCCACTGGTGGTTATTCTATATTCATCTATGTGCCTTTTCCCTCCTTTTTAATGAATCTAAGATGCTGAGTGTAAGATGCAACATTGCTATATATTTTGTTTTATATTAAAGAAAAATAGCTGCAAAATGTTACAGTGCCTTATCCCTTTGGACTTTTAGATTTACTTAAACATTTTTTTTAATTGAATGTCCTTCTGTACATATCAAAAAGGAAATTATAAGTGAAAGAAAATTTCTAGTAAAGTATTTCTAAAATTTCCTTCACAGAGTCCCATTGCCATCTGGTCAGCAGGTGGAAAGATGCAGTCCTGTTTCTGAGATATTAAAAATACAACAAGAATATGTTCAAATCATGAAATATAGCACACACCTCTTAGAGTCTAAGAATATTGGTTAATACTGACAGCCAAAATATAGTAATAATAATACCTTACTATTTATAAAACACTTTCACTTTTGTTTTATCTTTTGATACTCATCACACCTTTGTGAAGTGGATAGGAGTTTTGCTTCTTTAGACATGAGACAGCTGGGCCCCTGGGAACTTTGGTAATTTTTGTCCAAGGCCATACAGCTATAAAACAGTAGTAGCTCCAGGATTTGGCCTCAGATTCTTACTTGCTCAGGTTCTTACTTGCTCTACACCATTTGACCTCCCCAAGTAATAAGGAAAAGTAGAGAAACAAAGGAAATTTTTCTCTTAAACCAAGTGTTTCAGTTGAATTAAGGAAATTAACATTGAAAAACAAAACTCATGTTGACTCTGAAATCATTGAGCGAGTAGATGGGCTGCAGGTTGTAGGACTTTTAAAGCAAGTCATCTGCTTAAAAGTGATACTATGGAAATCATCTCTTGATTATTCAAGATTGAACTGATAAACATTAGACTTCTGCTTTTCAAGTTAGACTCTAAAGCTAGCCCTTTGTTTCTGTAGCTCCTGACTTCAAGTGCTGTTCACAAATGGGGTACTGAAATTCATGAAGGAATCTACAACATGTTGATGCTATTAATAGAACTGGTTGCAGAGAGAATTAAACAAGATCCGATTCCCACTGGTCTCCTGGGTGTGCTTACAATGGTACAGTATCTCTAAAATATGAAGTACTCTGTGTTTTGATTTTGTTTAAAATACCAACTGTCCTATAACTTGTAATTAATAAAGAGTGATAATGATACTGTAAAATATATTAACTTAGCTGTTAGGGACCTTGCTTTTTTATTTTAAAAACAGAGCAGTCATTCATTCTGTGTTCCCAGTTTTAACAAAATACCTTTCTAATTTTAATAGCTTTCTCAGCTCGTAGAATAATTAAATTGCTTTCCCTCATGTCTTCCTGATTATTCACATCATAAATGCTTTCACAGGGGTGCTCCTGTGGTTTGGTTTTTGGCCTTTTTCCCTGACTAGTCCCAGTAGCTGTGTGAAGAAGGGGCCTTTACGGCCCTGCTGGCCGGCCGTACCTGTGCCAGCTCCAGGATACCTGGCTGCGCGCCCTGTTTTCCCTCCCAGTGGCCACTGGACAGGAGGGGAGAGCTCTGCCTCACCCATCCGCTTCTCTGCACTAGCTCGGGAATTCACGCTGTTGGGATATTTCTAAGATTCCATTACCGAAGGAGTCCAAGGCTATATTTTTCTTCTTTTCTAATGCTAATATTTGTTGCTATAGAAATAGATAATAATAGTGCTTCTCTGTTCTCTTTGAATCTAGGCTTTCAATCCTGATAATGAATACCATTTTAAAAACAGAATGAAAGTGTCTCAGAGGAATTGGACAGAAGTGTTTGGGGAGGGAAATATGTTTGCTGTTTCACCTGTGTCTACTTTCCAAAAGGTAAACATGATCTTGTTTCATCATTTTATAAAGAAATGTATTAAAAAAGATTTTATGTGCCACAAAAATTTACGTGGAAGGATTAAAACAGTCTGTGAAAAATGACAGATATTCCATATGGCTCATAAAATTGCTTAACTTTTTTTTTCAGATATTACGTATTTTTCCACAGCCATTAACGAGCATCATAAATAATTTATAGATTTGAAATGATGTTTAGCGAAATGCGGAATGACCGCATGACATCAGTGCCCTATTTTTTGAATTGTCAGAACCCCAATTTAATGGGTGTCCCAGTTTCTCAGAGATGTTTGAGAAGCTAGAGCATTTGAAACCGTTTGAAGTGGCTAATTATGCCTAGAAAAAATAATCTACAAGGTAGTCTTATGTATCATTTTCTTTTAAACTCCAGAAGCATTAAAGCTTTGGGGTTTCTTTTCCAAGCCAAGAACCAGTTATCTTGATTTTATATTTAAAGGCCTACAGTGTACCCAGTAACATTATACCCACAAGGAGTACATTATCTAAACATCTGTTGGTCGAACTCTGGTTTTTGAGGAACCGTTCAAAGGAGTCAATCAAGTAGATAGAAAACTTGACCACTGCTTTAGTCGAAGCAGAAGTTTGGTTCAGCAGTCATATAAAGAGTAGTAAGCCATGGCTCCTAACTTAGAGCTAGCAGAGGAAATTTGAAAACCAAAACTTAAGGTACCACGGACAGTACATGCAGTCATTGTAATGCGGACTGCAGGAGGGGGTGGTCCCTGCTGTCTGGGAGGGTCAGGCAGTCCTCCCGGAGGAGGGATGAGGCCGAGTGGAAAGGGCAGTGAGTATACACTCTAGCATTTGATCTCCACAACAACTCCATGATCGGGGTACTATTTCTGACCCCATTTCATGGACAAGAAACTGAGGCACACAGGAGTTGAGTCCTTGCCCAAGTCCACAAACCTCATCACAGGAAGAACCCACATAATCCAGCCTCATCGTCTGCGTCTGTAACTGTATACAGTCTTTCCTCCCAAAATATTCAAACCTCGTCTGCAGTTGTGTTGTGAAGGTTGGATGACAACGGTCTACGTGACCACTAACCCCAGGGGTTCACTATCGTAAGCACTCAGCAGATGTTCCTTAGCTTCCCCTCAGTCTCCGCACGTGGCATCCAGGACCAGAAAGGGTCATTCTGTGCATTTTCTCTCAGTACTGCACAGCAGTTCTCCCTCCTGCAAAGGCCTGAGATCATCCCCTTTCTTCTTGTCTTCTGATGCATTTTCCTCAAGGTTTCTGTCCTTTGTTTGGTGTCTGCAGTCTTTTCCTCTCTGTTGGAGCATTCCTGTTATGTACATCATGCTCTAGTCTTTCCCATCTTTAAACATTCTGCCTTTGATCCCACGTCCCTGTCTAGCTTCAGCATCATTCGCTGCCCTCCATACCCCTACCGGAGAAGATTCCACTTTTCTCCCCTCCCACTTGTTCTTTTACTGGTTATCGTGGAACTGTAACTTATGTAAATGAAATCAAAATTTCATGAATATCTTTGTCCTCCTCTGAGCAGCACGTAAAGACCTTGGAATGTTTCATGTGCTCATTCCCCACCTGACTGATTTACTCTGTCCCCTTGTTTTTACCATGCAGTGTCTTAGTCCTCTCCTGTCTTGCTTTACCCTCAAACAGATACCATCATTATTTTCTTATATGGTGTTTTAACTTAGCCATATGTATGTACTGAATCACTGAGTACCATTCCTTCTCTCTCTATTCACTGGGATCATTTTTCTTCTTTCTGGAGTGCATCCTCCCAAGTATCTTGGTGGTTAAGTCTGTGTTTTTGATGGCCTGAACTTTATTTGATTTCCCATGCCTCAAAGAATATTTTCACTGGGTTTTTAATTCTAAATTGACTGCTACACTTTCAGAATGTCAGAGGTACTATGTCAGTGTCTTCTGGCTTTGATTGCTGTTGAGAAGTTGGTGGTTGGTCTGACTTGGTTTTGTAAGAAGTTCATTTGCTTTTGGAGATACCCTCTTTCTCTTTGATGTTTGGCAGTTTGACTCTCCTGTGATTGTGCGCTTCTAAATCTAAGGACTAATATCTTATATCAATTCTGGAAAATTCTCAGCCATTATCATGCCTCTTCCCCACTAGTCAGTCTTTCCTCTTCAGAACTTCAAGTGGATACATGTTAAACCTTTGCACCTGTCCTCCATGACCCTTAACCTCTGTCATATTTCCCATTTTCCTGTGTCCTTGTGCTGTAGGTTGTGATCATTTCTTTCAGATTTGGGATTTAGTTCCCTAATCATGGTTCTGTCCATATAAGTATGCTGTCTAACCTGTCCTGTTTGTTAAAAGTCTTCAATTTCAGTATCTTTTCTTCATTTATATAAATTCTATTTGATTCTCCTTTGACTTTGTTTACTCATTTTTATTATCTCATGTTCCTGCCTCATGTTTTCATTCTCCTGTGTGTTTGTGTTCTGGGTCTGATATCTACAACTCTGATTCTGCTGGCTTTTACTAACTTTAACTTGTTTTATGTTCTGTATGTGTATATATATAAAAAAAATTACATGTTTGTGTTTGTTTTTCTGTGAAGTTGTATTTCCTGAAATTAAATCTGGAAGTATTGTTTGAAGCCTGGATTGAAAGTTCCTTCCTTTCAAAGAGGGTTTACCTCTACTTCCTCCAGGTGCCTGGGAGCACAAATCTGGGACCACTTGAGAATAAATTTTCAGCTTAAGGTATTTCAGACCATAAAGTCAGTGTGAATTTTTTTTTTAAGATTTATTTATTTATTCTTGGGGCGCCTGGGTGGCTCAGTGGGTTGAAGCCTTTGCCTTCGGCTTGGGTCATGATCCCGGGGTCCTGGGAACGAGCCCCGCATCGGGCTCTCTGCTCCACGGGGAGCCTGCTTCCTCCTCTCTCTCTCTGCCTGCCTCTCTGCCTACTTGTGATCTCTGTCTGTCAAGTAAATAAATAAAATCTTAAAAAAAAAAAGATTTATTTATTTATTCTAGAAATGGAAAGAGAGGGATTATGAGTGGGGGCAGGGGAAGAGGGAGAGAAAAATCTTAAGCAGACTCCACACTGAGTGCAGAACCTGACCTAGAGCTTGATTTCACCACCCTGAGATCATGACCTGAGCCAAGACCAAAAGTTGGCTGGCCAATCTTCTGAGCTGCCCAGCGCCCCAAAGTCAGTGTGAATTTCAGAAGTGAAGCCGTGTGAGGCAAGACAATGGTTATAGACTCTTAAGAGTTTTTTTCCTCCCCTCCATCCAGGATCAGAGTCAAGGTAGGCAGGCTTCCCTGTTGTTCTCCCTTTCTTGCAGATGATTTCTTTCAGTTCACCTTACACTGAGGTGGTAGCCCTTTGAGCTCCAGCTTTATGTGACTCTCTCCTCTTGGTTTCCCAGCCCCTTGTTGGCTGTGAAGATGGAGGCCAGACCTCACCGGGGTTCCACAGCCTGCACCGTGAAGGCTGGCCTCAGAGTCTGCTTACCTCACACGATTTCTGCTTTCTCTTTGTTTTCAGTTTCTGAGCACTTTGTGCCAACTCAGCTGTATGTTTTAAAAGATTTGTTTAGTGTTTTTGTCCTGTGGTGTTAGTGCTCTTCTGTTAGAGAGGTGTTTAGTTATTAGAGGTTAACTAGACTGAAGTCTCCATGATCTCCTCAGGGTGTGACAGTCTGTGTTCTTTTTCTGCCATTTCCCTGAAACTGCTCTCGGTAAGGCACCGACAGCCTCCACATGTCCAGAGCCACAGGAAATGTCTCTTGACCCCCATCAACAGGGATGGTCACTGTCAGTTCCTGTCTCCCCCAAATCAGTTTTTCTGTAGTCTCTTGCTTCTCTGCCTAATCCCTAAGTCATCACATTGCCTTCCGTGATTCCTTCACCTTGATTCAGCTTTGACCCAGAGACGCCTTTTCTTTATTCAATATTCTTTCCCTAAGAACTGTCTTCCATTTTCATGGCTGTAAATGCCATCTTTATGCTCATGGCCCTTCAGTTTATGTCTCTGTGACCCAAACATCTTCTCTGAGCACACCAGACTTGAAGAACCAACTGTTTTCCTTTTGGTTGCTACCCAGACGTCTCAAACTTAGTGTGCCTGAGACGCGCAGGAGTCTGCCACGATTTATCCCTTATGACCCACCTCCAACTGTAAACACGTCCTTGGAGTTCATCTCAAAGGTGTTCAGTTCTCTCTGTCTCTGCTGCTACTGTCCTACTGGTGACACCATCACATCTCACCTAGTTACTGCGCTGGTCTTCCAACTGCGCCTCTCCCTTCGACTCACCTTCATGCATTCCGTTCCATCCACCACACAACTGCGAGATTGGTCATCTTACAACATAAAAGGTGTCACTATCTGGTTTAAACACTTTTGTTGCTTTCCTTCTAATCCCAGTTGGCACGTTTCCATGTGATCTGAGTTTGCCTCCCTTGAGAGCTCCACCCGAGCCACTCTTCCCAGCTCAGTGTGTCCCACCTGGGAGAGTCCCTCCCAGTTCGTCTTCACGACCTTCCCCAAACTGGACCTTTGCCATTTTGGCCTCTCTGCCTTGACTCTTTGAACGGCTAAATCGCTGTCATCCTATAGGATCCAGCTCAAAGACCTCTTCTCCAGAGAGGGTTTCCATGACCACCGCTCTGAGCAGAGTAGGCTCCTTCCATTTCTCATTTGAGGACCGTTTTGTGGTTTTTCCTTTTGTGGGATTGAGCCCAGACTGAATTCTGTGACGTATGTGGTGGTTTACTTGTTTTTGTAGACACTGCTACAGTATGAGCTCTGTGAGAGCAGGGACCACATCTTTTCACAGTCACTGCTCCCCCATGAAGGTATCCAGCCCCTGGAGCAGTGAAGGCTTCGAAAAGGAAAGCAAGGAGGGAAAGCGGGAAAAAGAAAGCACATGCTCCAGGGTACCTATTAATGGGACAGCTGGGAATGAAACTTAACCTTACTTTATTCGGGATCTACTACTCCTTAGGTTAGGAATTCTTCATGTCTAAAGTGTAACTTTCTTTGAGAATTTAATTCAAGTTATCCAGCACCTTGGAGAGCTTGACAGCTGCTCTGAGCGATGCAGAAAGGCACGAACACGCCATGCTCTAGCAATGCCATCCCCCAGCCCAGACGCGCAGCCCCGTTCTCCCCCCACAGTCATGTACAGCAATGGCCTGGACGTCCATGGAGAAACCTGTAGAAAAGCCTTTTGGAATGTTTTTGACATCTTCATATTTTATTTTCTCCCAACATTTGACAAAGGTTAAAAGAAATGGGGGTTAATGGGGGGAAGTTCTCATCTTGCCATCTCAATTTCTGTTTTCTTTTCTCACAGGAACCTCATGGATGGGTTGTGGATTTGGTAAATAAGGTATACAACTTTCATTAATACAGTCATGTTTTCCTTCTTCTAACTAGATTACCTGGAGTTTGGTATTTTAAGTAAATGACAGCTAGAGATAGTCATAGGAACTTCTTTTCATAAGGAGGTAGATTCTGTAGTTCCTCCTCTTTTCCATACGTGCTGTTTATACGGATGCATGTAAGCTGTAGGACTCAGCAGGCTCCCTACAGGCTATCCTAGGACAATCTTTGTGGTGACTCCCTCAAGATCAGTATTACCTAGGGCATGTTGATTGGGTAGAATGGTATCCTTCGTTTTTTGCTTAAATTATTGATATACACCATTTAAAAATTAATTTGTGCCCTTTTTCCCCCTCAGTTTGGAGAATTAGGTGGATTTGCAGCAATCCAAGCCAAGCTTCATTCAGAAGATATAGAACTTGGGGTAAGTTAATGTGCCCAGAGTGGAAGTTCGCTTTGTTCAGGCTGGTGTGTAACCCAAGGGACACGGTCTGGACCCAGTCAGGGACCTGGACTGACGCTTTCTTTCCACTGTTCATCCTGAAGGATCAGGTGTCTGCTAGTTACCATATGGGTTATCTCTGTGGGAGCAGCTTTGTGGTTCTGATAACCAAAGAAAATGTTCACGCCTAATTGTAATCCTGTTTCTGTGGTGGGGGTATTTGCTCTTTTTCACTCCATTTCCCTTTGCCTGTGGTGTTTGTCTCTTAATTTGTGAGGGTTATGTGACGTTATCTTGCTTTTTAAAGGACAGGGGCTGTCTGTGGCAAGTGCACGTGTACGTAACAATGTCATGATTCATAACAGTGTAGTGCCTAGTGCCAGGCGCAAGTAAAGTAATTCATCTCAAGGTTGTTAGTAAGCTTTCTGGTGGGACAGCGATGCATAGACAGCCAAGGACTGTGGCAGGAGCTGAGACTCTCCCTCAGGCACAGTGCCGTTCTCTTTTTATGTGACTTCCTTTTCTCAAAAGAAGTTTAAGCTTGCGGTAAGGGGGAATAACTCGGTCTCTATTTCTCACCAAGCACTGCCCTCTTTGTAACCCAGAGCACTTTGTTCTGTTTTCTAGTCAGTTATCCAGTCAGCTACGCATTGTGTACTTGCCCCGCGTAAGGCACGGTGCTAGCTACTATGATGTGATCAGAACAGAAGGTCACGCGTTGCCCCTAAGTGATGTGGTATTGTGTGTGGGGCAGCAGTGGTTCCTGAGGAACCGCGGCTGAGCAGCTGACTCCCTTGGTCTGAGGAGAGAGACTGATGCTTTCTCTCCACTGTTCATCCTAAAGGATCAGGTGTCTGCCAGTTCATGACTATTACTGCTGACACTGACCAGGGAGCATCTTCTACCTTCCTGGATGTGAACTAGCTTGTTAGGCTGTCATTTGGATCCCAGTTAGAAGTGACTTGACCAGGAAAATACTGAGTAGTGATTTAAGAAACAAAGCTTTTAAAACAAACAAACAAAAAAATCAATTCAGATGTAAAGTTTTATCCACTTTATTGTTTCTCAAGAACTGGCTGTATAGGTCATTGGCCATATCAGAAATGAGCTTCATTTTTTTTTTTTAATGTTGAAACACTAATTTCTGGCAGAGTTAATTTATTTAAAAAAAAAAAAAAAGCATCCCAGTTTCTAGCCTGCTTGGAAGAAAATTGGCGAAGTGTGGATATACAGGAATCTGGGCTTATGCTCACTGTTACCAAATATCTTGAGGTTAAACATTCTTCCAGGATATTTCCCATTTTTCAGAACAACTGTGTTGTTGCTGCATTTGACACAGAATTACATTGTTTAGGTTGTATTTGAGGAGAAGATAAAATTCAGGCATAGGAAAAAGAGATTCCCAAAGATTGAGACTCTAATTTTAGCAAACAAGTATGATTAAAATTTCACAATAGATGCCTGCTTTCTGACCAGTTAAGGAGGTGATTATGTCCTAGAATAAATTCAGGCCACTGAGTACAAATAAATGTATTCATTTTACATTTATATCTACATAGTTTTGAATTTGAAAAATACTGGGAAAAAATATCATTCACAATTTGTCAGTGAAAGATACCTGTACAAAATATGGAATGAAAATTGCCTGTCCCCCACCCCCATGCACGTATACCTACCTCCTAGGTAATAACTACCCATTTAATGCATAGCTTTCCGGACTTTGTCCTATATATATATAAAATATATCTGTGCATGTTCTTTTATCTCTTTCTCGTTCTCTCTTTAAAACTGAATTTTGTAATCAAGCTATACCTAGTAGCATATTTTCATTTAACGATCTGTCATGGACATCTTTCCTGGTCAGCACTGTCATCGTTTTTAATGGCTCTCATCAGTTTCTGCACCTGGTGTACCCTGATGTTGTCACTTATTAATGGGCATTGGATTATTTCTAAATTTTTTGCTCTTAAGACAGCTTCCCATATAAATTTGTGTTAATGTGCATGTGCTACCATTTCTGAAGGACAGATTCCTAGAAAACGGGATTTCTGGGTTAAAAACTATATACATTTTTAGATTATATTCAGTAGTATTAAATCTCTTTCTGAAAAACTTATACCAGTGTGTACTTCCATAAACCCATTCCTTACTTCTCTTGTTAATACTGAATATTTTCCATCTTTAATTTTTCATTATAGTGGACAAAAATAATATTTTATTATTTAATTGGTAAGACTCTGATTTCCTTTGAATTTGAGCATTTCATCATGTGATTATTGGCTGTTTGCATTCTTCTGTAAATTGACCTAGTTATTTGGGTTACTTTGGGGTTATCCTACTAACTTTCAGGAATTCGTTTTATGTTCAGTATATCGGTGCCATGTCTACTTTATGTATTTGTAAATTTTTTCTTCCATTCTTTCGCTTCTTTTTTTATTTTTATTGATGGTGCCTTTTGCTATACAGAAGTTTCCATATTTTATGTGGAAGATTTTTTTCCTTAATAACAGCTTAAGTTCCTAACTTGCTTAGGAAATGTTCTCCCATCTCAAAGTTATAAAAATACTCATTTCATTTAATACTTTTACAGTTTTACTTTTTATACCTAGTTCTTGAATTCATTTAGGATTTCTTTTTATATATTACGTAAGATGGAGATCCAATTTCATTTTCATCCAGATGGATAACTAATTGTTGTAAGATCGTCTAATGACTAAATCTTTGTTTTCTGTACTATTTGATGTGTTGTCTCTATCACATGTCAAAGCCCCACATGTCCACGGGTGTGTTCCTGGACTTCTGTCTGAGTCATTCATTCATCTGTTCATTCTTTACCCATTTGTATACTATTGCTCCCTTGTTTTCAACACCGGTAGTGCCAGTTTGCCCAGCATCGTTCTTCTCTCAGATTCTCTTGGTCATTATCAGGGTTTGAGAATGTCAAGTTGTCCTGCAGAAAATCCTACTGAGATCATGTTTGGAATTATGTTGAATTTATAGGTCAGTGTGTGGAAAATTATAGTACAGGTCCTTTCCATTCAAGAACATGTATCTCCTTGTTTATTTGGGCCTTTTCTTATGTATTTTAGTCAAGGTTTGTCATTTTCTACATGGAAGTTTTTGATGTTTTTGTTGAAAGCACATTTCACTTCTTCACCAGCTGTTCTCTCCTTTCTCAAATAAAAATTTTTAATATTCTGTGGTTTGAACTTTAAAAATCTTTCATCCAGTCCTCTAGAGTTTTATTGGCATATTATGATTTAAATTATGTTTAATTTCTGTAACAGTTTAAATGGATTGGCATCTTTATATCAGTTCTTCCTCTCCAGGAGAATGGCTTGTCTAGTCATTCATTCATGACTTGATCAAGTCACCATTTCAGATTGTCTCTGATATGTTAAAAGGGATTTGTTAAATGCTGAAAAGAGAAAACGTCTTGCACTGATGTCTAACCTGCACCATCCTTGTTTTCAGGCAGTCTCAGCATTGGTGCAGCCTTTAGGGGTGTGTGCGGAGTACCTCAATTCCTCGGTGGTTCAGGTAAGATGGGGCCACTCTACATTTACTCAGAAGGTGACCCAAGACATACCAGTAGTCATCGTTACTCTTTTTATCAGGTTGTTCAGAATCGTGCCTAATCAGAGTAACTTCTTTTTTTCGGATAAGCTATTTTTCTAGTAAAAATATAATCAGAAGGTAACTAAAAAATGATTAATAATTTAAAGTATAGGAGATCTCTGATATTTTTGATTCTTTACCTTTTCAATTTATCCTTCTATCAAATATGATTTATATACGATTACATGTATTTTTATCTATAATATAGGCGGCATATATCCCAGCCCCCTTCCCAGGATTGTTGAAGGATTCCGTGCCATTATGTATTAAATTAGAGCAGCGTTGAGCACCCCACTGGGCTTACTTACTAGCCAAGTGACTGCTAAATAGTGGCCTAATGGCACATCTCATCTAATTTCTTGCCACTGCAGACCGTAAGCCAACAGGTCATCACACAGGCAAAGCTGGGTGTATCCGTTTGCTGATGCTTAAGGCCTATTGTACTTTCTTGTTTCCTTTCCATTTCAGTTAACAAGTTTTACTGAATGAAGTGTCACTTTGAAATACCTTCATTTTTTTGTTTTCTTTGTAAATAGATCTGTGAAACCTATAACTTTCACAGAGATTTTTTTTTAAGTCACTATAAATGGCTTTGAAAGCATCATGTCCTTTGGGAGCAATGTGTTTGCACGGTTCCTTCTTGTTAATACCTCATTTACTCAGGGCCATTTTAACAAGGGAGATAAGATTTGTTTTAGTAGGTTCTGGAAATGTCTACAATTTCTAAGTGTTACATGCTTTCTTTAAATGTCAAAGTAATCCTACAAGATTTTTAGATGAAATCAGATGGTTATTTATGCATTTCTTCATTCTGGTTATTAAGTTCTTTAGAAGCAGTTAGTGTTCTTTCAGCTTATTAAACATAGAATCATTAGTTTTATAGTAAGATAAGAAACAAGAGGCAAAATAATTTGACTTTTTAATAACTTAATAATTATTAATAATTTAATACTTGGCTTTTTAATAATCAGAGCCAAGATTGGATTTTTAAATGCTTTTTGCCCATGCATTCCAGTGTGGAAAGAGATTTATCATAAATATTCCAGCTGATAATTAATAATAAGTTTTTTAGAAATTCTAGGTTTAATAGAATTTTTGGAATTTTATAGAGTAAAAAGAGCAAAAAAGTATTGAATATCCAACCACAGCATATTTAACTTTTATTTCAAACTGTCCAACCTTACATTTATTCAGCAATATATTCATGCCTTGAATTTATTCTCATACTGTATTCACATCCTGTTACTTGATAGAAACTAACAATTGTCTATACTACTTGCCAGTTCTTTGACTTTGGAAGACATGTGTATGTGCCTTGGCTTCCTTGTCTGTGAAAGGGTGATCCTCCTGTCTCAGCTGCAGTGGAGAGTAAGCAGGGCCCGTGCTGCTGAGGAGAACAGCACACTTGCCTCTTACCATCACAGCCCCTAGTCCTCACTGTACAGTGGGCATGAGGAGGAGATCCTATTTGGATAGTTGTCTGAGGTCGTTTTAATTCATTGCTAATGTCTTCTTGGCTTTACTAGCCAAATACTATCTTCTCTTGTCACCAGATAAGTTTTAAAAATTATTTTACTTAGATGGAAGTGAGCATTTAGACCAAGCTAATACTTTCCTACTTCTCACGTAATAACTTAGAGACAGTTATTGGATTATGCTACCATTCTGGAGCACAGTGTTGTATTAATATCCTCTAGAGGCCTCATTTATATCAGCACACAAAAATAATGCATATCGCAGCACATTTTTTGTGCTCCATGCTTATATTAATTTATTAAAGTCAAATGTAAAAATATTTACTTTATTACAAAAATCATACATACTCATGCTTCATGTTTTAGTTTATGTGTCTTTGGTTGCTTCTTTTTCCCCCCCCCCCCCCCCCCAAGATTTTATTTGACAGAGATCACAGGTAGGCAGAGCAGCAGAGAGAGAGAGGGCAGGAAGCAGGCTCCCTGCTGAGCGCTCCATGCAGGGCTCAAGCCCAGGACCCTGAGATCATCACGTGAGCCGAAGGCAGAGGCTTAACCCACTGAGCCAACCAAGGCACCCCCTCTTCAGTTGCTCTTTAAAAAGACCCTTATGAGGGACGCATGGATGGCTCATTTGGTTAAGCGTCTGCCTTTGGTTCAGGTTATGATTCCAGGGTCCTGGGATCGAGTGCTGCATCGGGCTCCCTGCTCAGCCAAGAGCCTGCTTTTCCCTCTGCCTCCTGTTCCCCCTGTTTTGCTCTCGCACTCTCTCTCTCTCTCTGACAAATAAATAAAATCCTTTAAAAAAAAAAAAATAAGACCCTCATACGAATCACTGAATTCTGGGGCGCCTAGGTGACTCAGTGGGTTGAGCGTTTGCCTTAGGCTCAGGTCATGATCCTGGGGTCCTGGGATGGAGCCTCATGTCAGGGTCCCCCTGCTCAGTGGGGAGCCTGCATTTCTCCTCTCTCTGCACCACTCCTGCTTGTGCGCGCACACTTGCGCATTCTCTCCGCCCCCCCATAAATAAATAAATAAAAAAGAAAGAAAGAAAGAATCAATCCTTGAATTCTACTCCTGAAACCAGTATTGCACTGTATGTTAAGGAACTAGAATTTAAATAAAAATTTGAAGGGAAAAAAAATCTCAAACTTCTATTGGCAAAAACAAAAAAAAAACTTAATAAATGAGACATATTTAAGGGATGCCTGGGTGGCTCAGTTGGTTAAGCAGCTGCCTTCGGCTCAGGTCATGATCCCAGGGATCTGGGATCGAGTCCCATATCGGGCTCCTTGCTCGGCAGGGAGCCTGCTTCTCCCTCTGCCTCTGCCTGCCTCTCTGCCTACTTGTGATCTCTGTCTGTCAAATAAATAAATAAAATCTTTAAAAAAACATAAAAAATAAAAAAATAAAAAAAATAAAAAAATAAAAGGACCCTGCTAAGATAGCAGTGACAGGGACTGCACCCACGTGGTATGAAAGGAGCTGGGGCATGGAGTCCCTTGAGGGCCTGCTTGGGATGCTGGTAGCTAGCTGCAGCATCTGATACTGGAATCGAGGTCTTGGCATTGCACTTTCTCCTCTGTGAAGCGTGAGTGAAGAAGTGACTTCTCTCCAGTTCTGGAGCAGAAGCAGCAGTCTTTATTAAGCACAGCACTTCTGTTCTGCAGCCGATGCTGGACCCGGTCATCCTTACTACAATCCAGGATGTGCGCAGTGTAGAGGAGAAGGACCTCAAAGACAAGGTAAATCCTGTCTCCCACCAGGTAGGCCCCAGTGCCCGTTCACCCGTAGAAGCACAGCCAGGACCTAGGGCAAGAGTCACACACCTTTGTTCTTTGGATCCTGGTCACATACTACTCATATCAAATTAATTATACATTTCCTAACCAAAAAGTGCTTTTTCTGAAGCACCAGGTTGGCTGTAAATCTTACCAGTAGAGTGAATTTAGAGTTCTCAGTAGGTGATAACAATCAGAATTCTACTAACATGTTGATTTAGATAGTATTATAATTGGTATAGCATTGAGGAAGCTTTAAAATAATTCGATACTCTAAGCTTATCCAAAGTTGTTTAAATCAATTTTGACATTGAACATGATTTATTTTGTTGACCTTGAAATTCTCACAGGGCCCTTCCCTTTGCTCACCTGTCTGCTAACTTTTATTTAAAAGCAAACTAGTTAATTGACTGTACGGAGTATTGGATATCACCAAACCATTGCTGTTGAAAATGTGCTAAATTCCTGTGTGTATTACAAAAATTGAGATCAGAATGTTTTCATGGTTCCTTTTTTGTTTGTGTGTGCTTTTAATAAAAGAGATTGGTTAGCATCCCTGAGCTCTTGTCTGCCATCAAGTTACTCTGCATGCGTTTCCAGCCGGATCTGGTGACCGTGGTAGATGACCTTCGATTAGACATCCTACTGCGCATGCTGAAATCCCCACATTTTAGCGCTAAAATGAATTCCCTCAAAGAAGTAAGTTTTACATTTGCTTCCAGAAGACTTAAAGCACAGACTCTTTGAACTCTGCGAAAACATATGGTCGTTAATGTAAAAATGTTGGGAAATAAAGAAGGGTTTCTTGTAATCATACAAAAAAGAAAACAATGATTATACATAAAATGGTACACAGGGCTATGATTATTAAGGTGGTCTTTATATATGTGTTACATTCAAAATTCATTCTCTGAAATATTTGTGAAAGATTTAGTGTTTTTGTGAAATTTCCTAGAACATAATTTCTTGGATTAGACCTTTTGAGATTTACTGTTTACCCTAGGGGTACACTTCCTTTTGGTATATTTCAGATAGGTGTTTCCTTAAACCAAATGTTCTAACTTGGGTTGGGACCAAAACAAAAAGACTGCAGCTGTGACCACCTAAGCAAAATGCTGGAAGTGTTTTCCTATCACTTCCTAAACTTCATCTGAGCATAGTTGGTTTTAGTGAGTACAGTTGGAGCCAGTATAGTTCAGTCATACTTCCGGTCTTCTTCCCTGAAGTTCCACATTAAGTAGGATTCTTTACTGCAAGTGGAGTAAACTCATCGTGAACCATCTGGGGCCGAAAGAGGAATTACAGGGAGGAAGGCTGGGCTGTTCCATGTGAATGAAGGATTGGCTGGCCAGACCATGGAAGGGCAGGGACACATGTGGGCAGCAGGAACAACTAGAATTTGAGACCTGACCACTGCCAGGACTGTCCAAGTCTTGTCCCTGCTTTTCTGAGTGTGTTGGCTTGGCTTTCTCTTTTCCTACAGAGTGACATTTTTCATGGGGTAGACATCATGGCCACAGATGGTCTATACTTGGGACCAGGGAGGGACTGACACTTTCTGGTCCCAAGTACAGAATTCAGAGGGTGCACTAGTAGAAGTTGGGTCAGATGCTTTTCCCCAAGCCACCCCAGGTGCCATTCTTGGCTCCCTGTTCTTTTTAGAGACACATCAGGAATAAATAGTCTGTTAACTTATTACAGTAACTGGCCTTCAATACATCTTGACTAATTATCAGACCACATTACAACATTGTATAAGTCACAGGATGTGTATACAAATATATATAGGTTTTGATTATGCATATTTACACTAGGTTTATTCACAATAATTCTTTTTAGGTAACCAAGCTAATAGAAGATAGCACTTTATCCAAATCTGTGAAGAATGCTATAGATACAGACAGACTGTTAGATTGGCTGGTTGAAAACTCAGTTCTGTCAATTGCATTGGAAGGTAAGTTGCTTTAAAAAATAAATATATATATATATGTATATATATATACATATATATATATATATTTCCTGGGGCGCATGGGTGGCTCAGTGGGTTAAAGCCTCTGCCTTCGGCTCAGGTCATGATCCCAGGGTCCTGGGATCGAACCCCGCATCTGGCTCTCTACTCAGCAGGGAGCCTATTTCCTCCTCTCTCTCTGCCTACTTGTGATCTCTGTCTGTCAAATAAATAAAATCTTTAAAAAAAAATACTTCCTATCATAATTATAAATAACATTTTTTGTACTAATGCTAAGAAAATGTTGTTTAGACTGTATTAGCCTTTAAATGTTGTACAAGTTACTATTGCTTTGAATTAATAGAATCGTATTTAGAAAGTCAGTGTTCACTGTTCTGCCTCTTGGGTGTCTCTTCTCCTAGGCAACATAGACCAGGCCCAGTACTGTGATCGTATAAAGGGGATTATTGAACTCTTGGGCAGTAAACTGTCTTTAGATGAGCTCACTAAAATTTGGAAGATACAGGTAAGTTGATCAGAATTACTTTGCCTTTTTCTGACATTTTTGGCAGAAAGAGAGGGTGGAGGGTGGTGAACAAGCAGGGAAATGGAGCTTCTGTCTTGCCTTAGCCTCAGCAGCTCTGCCAAAATCTGCTTTCCCATCTGGGGCTTGTGTCAAGGTTGTGTATGTGAGAAAGGCTTGGACTTGCTCAGAATATGTGAAACGACTGAGCACGTCTAGCCCTCTTGTTTCTCAGTTAACACAATGAAGAGCCGTCCTGCAGGCTCCCCAGCAGTTAGTGGCAGCACTAGAACAGTATGTCTCTCGTTTGTCAGTCTTGTGTTCTTTTCATCGTTTGCTCCTCAGTTTTCACAGATGAGTTTTTCCTGTTGGGTTGTTAGTGAGAGTGAGAGTCCTGCTTACTGAGTTCCCAGACCTCATCTCACCAGGCTCCCCGAGGCCGCTGCCGAATTGGCCATGCTCCTGCCTTTTCTTTTCCTTCACTTTTTTACTAGTCCATTGGACTCATTTTCCCCCCACTTTCCTGGTACCCTTTTTAAGTCTCCTGTACTAACTTATTTGTTCTCTTCTTCTTTGTAGATGCTAGTTTTGTTCATATCTTAGCCCTTCCCTTGGTCTGTAATCTCCTGTGGGGCAGTTTCTTCCCCTCCTGGGACTTCAAGTGCATTTGGATGCCGCTGACACTCAGAACTATGCCCCCGATTCAGACCTCCTCTTGGCACTCCAGTGCCATGTACCTAGAAGCATAACAGTTACACCTTCTTGCATGCCATCTTGTAGGCATCTCAAATTCAGTATGTCAGCACCTAGTCATTTTCCAGGCTATTTCAGTAATGGTATTAGCCTTTGTCTAACCACTAAGCCAGAAGGAGGCCTGGGGCTCACCTTAACTATACCGTCTTAGTTCGCTGTATACTCAGAACCTAGTCAGGAAACAGAAGCTACACTGGGTATTTCAGAGGGAGTTGGATACAGGGGCCTGTTTACAAAGGCCTTGCTGGGTGGAAGAGCAAAAGAGAGAAGTAGGAATGTTGGAGGAACAGAATGGGGAAAGGGACCTCTGAAGTCCAAGGAAAGGGAGTGAATTTGGGGGGTGCTCTCCTGGCACATGCTGGGGTGCCAAAGAGGTGGTGGCACGGCCACCAGGGCTTCTCTCTGGCTGCCCCCGATGCCAGCCCCTGCATCCCCTTCCTGAGCACGAACCAGTGCTTCTTTCTTCCTCTTCCCTTCTCATCACCCAGCAGTGCTTCTCATGGGCAGAATATCACAGCAGTGGAGCTAGGAGAGGAACTGTAATTTGCAGGCTCCCAGCCTAGCAGCAGAAGTAGGCTATAGAAAGAAAACAGTCCCAGGTCCTATAAAATCTTGCTTCCCATGTCCACCGTAGTTGAATACTCTCATAATGTTTTTTGAGTGTGAGTTTTGAATCCACATAAGGTTGGAGATTAGAGACATAATGCAGATATTGTATATCATTGCTACGTTCAGTGAATATATGTATATAGTAGATACTAAGCAGATTCTTGTAGAGTTGAATCTCATTCCAATTTTAGTATATATGCTGCTGAAGCGAGCACTAGAGTTGAATCTCAAAAAGCCTCTGCCTCTCAAGTCCGTTGCGTGGTGTGCAGTGAGGTATGATGGAGTCATGTTTGAAGTTACAAAGTGAGTTTTGACCACAAGGTTGACCCCAGGGCCTACATCACTGAGGCAGAGATTTACTGGATGTGGGATAAATTAATATTAGTTGAAATTATAAAGAATCTAGGGGCAAAATAAAAAATGACGTAGATGGTACTCTCAGGTAGATGGTACCCTCAAGCTCATTTATAAAGTGCTGGAAGCGAATGTGTTTGTTCTGTGCTTAGTTCGAACCTTTTTATGAGCCAGTTGAAAACATTTCTTGCTCTCCTCTTGAAATGCGTATGTCGAATTGAGAATTTCTTTTAAAGATTTAATGCTGCTAGAAATTTGAACAAGGCCAACTGATGGCCATTAACAGTGGTTGTTTCCTGTGGTTTTGTTGTCATGCAATTGAGTGCTGATCAGGCCAGAATCAGTTTATCTTGTTGCTGTTTTACTTGGGCTTCTGTCAGTTGCTGGGGGGAAGCATGAGGGTCTTTCCAAGTTGCAGGACGTAACTTTCCCCTGCTGTCTCCTTTTCCAGTCGGGACAATCGTCTACTGTGATCGAGAACATCCATACAATTATTGCTGCAGCAGCTGTCAAATTTAATTCAGATCAGCTTAATCATCTGTTTGTTCTCATCCAGAAGGTAGGTGTCCAGTCAGCTGCACCTGCTTTTAAGTTTTTCTAAAAGAAGCTCATTTTGAGGTCTCTGAGTCAAGGAACTCTTCTTACTTTGTTAAACCATTCTAGCTCAAGTGTAAAGGTTTCTGCATATTTTGCCCATTTGATGAAATTGGATTGTCTTGTCTTTTCTGTTCCCCAGAGCTGGGAGACTGAAAGTGATCGAGTGAGGCAGAAGCTGTTGAGTCTGATTGGACGAATAGGCCGGGAAGCTCGCTTTGAGACCACTTCTGGAAAGGCAGGAGAATCCAGTTAATCTTCCCAGCTACAAATACTGAATGTGGTCTGACTGGTGTGTGGGCCGGCTCATCTTGTGTGGCATTATTGCAGGTGTTAGATGTACTCTGGGAACTGGCGCATCTTCCGACCCTGCCCAGTAGCCTTATTCAGCAAGCCCTGGAGGAGCACCTGACAATCCTTAGCGATGCGTATGCCGTGAAAGAGGCAATCAAGAGGAGCTACATCATTAAGTGCATCGAAGACATTAAAAGGGTCGGTTTTGTCTTTGGTCTAGTTTTGTTGTCAGAGCCATAGTGTTGTAGTTAGAGCCAAATCATTTTCTTACCCTATTCTGTAAATTAAATGTCCTATCTGGAAACTCTTGCCTTAGAGTCCAGGACTGGGAAATTATAGGTACTGCTTTTTCCAAGTCACTTATGTTTCTCTTAAAATTAATTTCAGCCTGGAGAATGGTCAGGTTTGGAAAAAAACAAGAAGGATGGATTCAAGGTAAGAATTTGCAGATGGAACCGCGTAAAAGGTATACTAATTTAATAATTTTTTTCAATAAGTGATACCATACTTTGAAGATAACAGTCTCTTTTGGTGTTTCTTTGAGTAATGTTCAGATAGAAGCCGCTGTTTAAATATTCATGAATCCAAGGTCACGTTCACAGAGTAGTTTCATTTTGTTGCTTCCAAAAAATTGTAAGACCTTTAACTTAGTTTTTTCTTTGTAAAATAAATGCAAAGTCTACACAACTTTAATAAGTACAGTGGATTCTGCTTAGTATCATGCCTGTTTTTCTGCCATGAGGGAGAAATGGAGGAGCACTCATAGAGTGGGAAGAAAGAGTTTCGTGCAGTGCTGGCACACAGTAATTTTTAGGTGCCTGGTTCAGAGGTGTCCATAAAGAAATTCCATAGTCCTGCTGCTGGGGTCTGAGGCTAGAAGGTGGTCTGTGGCTAGCGACTGCTGTGGGAGCTCTCTCCTGCTCGGGGGCTCTGGCCTTTTGGCTGTGGGGGACTTAGGGGCCTCCCTTTGAAAATCTGGTTAGCGGAGGAAGCAGTGAGGACCGGAGCTCTCCTGTCGCCCCAGTGCTTCAGCGTCCGCCCGTGCCCGCCCATGCTTACCCATGCTCTCCCATGCTCTAGGGGGCTCATGACAGGGCCGCTCACTGGAGCTGCAGCCCTGGCCAGAGGCGAGGCGCTCCTCTGGCCGAGGTCCTTGGCTTGCGCAGACCCAACAGAGAGCCTCATAGTGAGAGGGACTTCCTCTTACTGTGACATAAGGAAAGGTTTTGGTGACTAGCCAGGGGCTCCGTAATTTCATTGGTTCAACATTTTTCTTGGCTTTCACTACGAAGTATTTCTTTAAAGGATCTTGAACACTGTTCCTTTTCACTTGTGTATTCAGAGACACTCAGCTCTTGTTAAAAGGCTGTGGTGATTCAGTGGGCTTTCATGAAGTTCTGTGTGGTCATCAGGTTTAGTTAGGGACACCTAAGAACTTGGTGTTTAAATTTCTGACCCTGGAATTCGATCAGGTGAATTTTCTACATACACGCTAGCTTTAGAGATTTTCAAAAAGTCACTCGCAGGCTGGAGCTGATGGTGCTCAGGCTGTGAGGAATCGTTCCTTTAATTCAGCAGCGTTGCTCTCATCCTCAGATACAGTACGAATTTTTCCAGTTTTCTCAGCTCAGCAGTCCGGATCATTTATCGCAGCCTCCGCCTTTACACTTGGACCTCGTCCAGAGTTATGTAAGGAGTTTAGATCCTTCAGTAGTGACAGTGAGAGGAAAGGGGTATCTCTAGAACAGTGGTCTTTTCTTCTCAGTAACAGATACGTTTCTTTATAAATGGGAGGGGTCCACACCCAAGAGACTGTTCCCTGGAAATTGGCTTTTGAAAGCAGAAACCCCTTCCCACCGTCCGTTCCTTCTGTTCCTTCCTCGTGCGGCTCAGGCTCAGTGTCACTGAGCAATCCCGGTCAGTCCGCGGCATTCCTGCGTCTTCGCTACCTCTCTGCAGTCCCTCCATTCATGCCTGTTGTTTTACGACAGAACTCAAACAGCAGCAGGGCCATTTTTGGAGTCATTTTGTGAAACTCCAAAGGAGTACTCTTCATTTTTTTTTTTAAATCTCCTACTGCTCCCAGTAAAGAAATTCTGATGGACCATTACTTTGTTCCAAATAACAATACCTTGCATTTCCATAGCACTTTCTAGTGAACTAAGTGCTCACAGATATTCTCTGAAAGTACACACGGCTGAGGGGGGCAGTGGGAAGATCAGAACCCCCTGGACGTGACTCCAGGCAGGGGGGTGAGTTATATACTGCCACTAAAGGTGTTTTTCTATGCTATGCCCTTTCCTGCCAGGCAGCAAGGTGGGCTGACTGGGGATTATGTCTCCCTGCCAGGCTACACAGAAACTAAGCAAAGGGTAAGACAAGATCACCCACCTCTTACTCCCCTCCCAACCTCAGCTACCTCTGTTCCCCCCAACTGACTCCCCTCCCCTCTGCTTTTCACACTCTTCAAATTCCCAGATTCCACTGTTGTGTTCAGAAATCCTGACCTTTTTTTCTTAACTTCATTTTTATAGATTCTGCCAGGATACCCTTGGCTCCCGTGGTCCTCTTTCCTTTGCTTCCTTTATGCCTTCCACTGTTTACCCCCAGCCCTCTCCCTCCTATTTCACTTCTTTTTGCCTTCAATTAAAAATTTAAATGTGCTCATCCAAAAAAAAAAAATTTACTAAACCAAAAAAGTCATTTTTACTCAAGTAGCAGCGTTTGCGTAACCCTAAGTCCTTCTTTTAAGGCTGTCCCCAGCACAGCACCTGGCAGCTTCTAAGTAGATGCCCATCCCTTCCTCTTGATCCCTCCCCTTCACCCTGTTGAGGACACTAAAATCTTTACTTACCCAGTATGGAGTGGCCGCTACTTGCTAAAACGTGTAATTGAAAGCAAGAGTAGCAAGATGTCCTCAGTGCAGTTTCACAGTGATGTGGTTAGCACAGGAAGAAAGACTTTTTAAGAAATGTCCTCCTGTGCAAAAAATTGGTACTACGAATCTAGATAAATGGCTAGGTCCAGAAAAATAAGGCAGATGAGAAGGTGGGGATGTTCAGCTTTGAGAATGGAATTCAAGAAAGAATATGAACGTGTTCTTCGGAGACTTAGATTGTGGTAGAGAAGTTTGATTGCACTGACTTTTTAGGTCTCCCAAGAAGTCATGAGAGGCATGTTTCAATATGAGAAGACAGTGCACTTTCGGTGAGAACAGTCTGCCCTCAAGGGCACCGCCTCCTGACTCCCTCATCATGGGAGACACCAGGAGAGTAGTCGTTTAACGAAAGCGAGTGAGGGTTTAGGCATAGGTTTGCAGGCTGCACCACCTGACCTCTGAGGCTTCAGCTGATGCTCAGTGTCTGCTTCGGATATGCCGTTACCTCCTACTTACGAAACCTCAGCTCCATTACCAGGCATTATCCAATATGCTCATTTTAATTGTTTCCCATAGTCTCTTGCCCCTTTGGTAACTAGAGAAAAATCACTTAAATTTTTCTTGTAACTTAGCAACCTAGTGTCATAGATACGATGAAATAAATAACATCTTTCCTGTTTGCTAAACTGTAGGAAGATTATATCGGAAGTACTTTTTAAATTCCAATTTTATAGGATTTCCTTTATTTTATTGGACAGTGAATGACTTCCACAGGATGATTTTCTATGTTAAATAAAAATATTCTAGCCGTAATTGACTTAAGTCTTACATAATGATGCTTTTTCAGTATATCTGATTATTTGCTGAAGGGTTCATATTTATATCCTAATGTTTATAATCATTAGTAGATATTGGTTTGGACTTAAGTCCTTAGAGTTTTATTCTTTGTCATTTTGCAGCTCTTCTATTTTAGCTGAAATAATGTAGGTAGTCTTGCAAATAGTTGGCCTATAATACATACCTTATTTCTCTGATTATAAGATGCCTGTGATTGCACCCCGCATCACAGACCTAATAAGTTTGCAAAGAAGAAAAAAGAAATTGCACATTTCCTTTTACCATTCGCTTGTTAAAATGCCCACCCAGCGTCTAAATGGAAGCCTCTTTTTGGACCCGTATGCAGAGCTTCACTGGCACAGTGCTTTTCAGTATCTAGAGTAGTGATTTTGACCACTGAAATCTCCCAAGAGTGACTGTGTACTTTTGAGGCATGTGAAAGAATATGAAATTTTGTGTCCTTGTCCTTTTTGGTAAATCAGGCTGCTTTTTTTCCTTAATTGAGTTGCGATGTGTATACTACAGGATAAACGGCTTCTCTCAAATTATGGGTGTACCTTTGGACAGAGACATTTAGTGCTGGGTGACAGAGCCCTTCACCGGGTCTGACTCTGTCACACCAAATTCCCCCAGCTGTGAGAAATGCTTTAGACTGAGACCACTGGCAGTTTTCTTTGCTTTTAATTGAGTTGACAGATGAAACAGGCTAGTCAGTGTTACATCATAGTGCCATCTTTTTTATAAGAATTTTAGTAACAAATCCTTGTTCTAAATTTAAGTTAAAAAGCTATCCTTGTTTGGTGCTACAGAAATGAAGTCACAACTAAAATGACAGGTAGATGCACAAACAAATACGTTTCATATGCAGCCAAGGGTACATGCATTCAGGTAAGGACAGCTGTGTCAGAACTTACTCCTACACCTAGTGGCTGCTAAGTTACTTTTGACAGTTGTAAGAAGCGTCAATTTCAGAAATGTTGAAATTTATAAAACCGGTATCTTAGAATCCAGGAAATAGGGTATTTGATGATTGATTGGCTGATCCTCAAGAAAACCAGTACTGTTTTTGGCAGTAGCTCTCTCAAATACACATATTTGGTAGTATAGTGTTTTCCTGCCAGAGACGGAAAGTGTATTTTTCCAAAGTATTTTCTACCTCGTAAAGGTCTTCATCTGACAGAGGCACTTGAAGAAGGAAGAGAAGGCTATAAAAACAAAAGCAAAATTCAGCCTTTAAAATAAAGGCTAAGGGCTTAAAACTTCTATCAGGTTTTTAGAGACTTAATAGATAATTTGATTAATAGTGTTAAACAGTCTTCCAAATTTTATAAATGTCTTAGTTCAAAAGATGCTATGTATTAAAGAACAGTTCTCTTTTTAAAGATCATTTCACAAGCATCGGACTTTTCAGATATGTACTATGAAAGATCTGGATTGTCGTGTATCAGTTTCAGAAATAACATTTGAAAGTGTTATGAAAAATACAAAGTATAACTGTATAGTGGCTGTAATAATTAATAAAAATAGAATTCTCTCTTGCAAAATTGTTCTAACTAGGATGTACAAGCAGCTCCTGAGTATTTTCTTTAATATTTAGACCACTATCAGTATCTTGATCATATCATTGGTATCTTAATCGTGTAATTATAGAAAATCGTATTTTTATACCATTTTACTTATCAGCCAGCTCAGTATTATCCAGGGTAAATTTTGGCCATCAGCTTATTTCATTCCAACATGTCCTAGCAGCCTGTGCTACTTAATCTATCCTCTGAAGTTGCTAATTCCTTGTCGTCTGTTTTTTGCTGATGTACCCCTATACATTTACTGTCACTTCACATCCACTCCTGTTTGCAGTTCTTGGCCTTAGGAAATTGCATGCAGAATAAGAAGTTGAAGACTGAATTATGAATGCATGGAGATGCGCTCTAAATGAGCAGTGTGAAGAGAAAAATAATAGAATGTGTAGCCATAAAACCTAATTGACTTGGGAAATTTTTATAGCCCATAAATTTAGCCTGCCATTTATTTCTAGATGTAACTGATGTAACTTCTTTTTAACTCTAGTCATCTCAGCTCAATAACCCCCAGTTTGTATGGGTGGTGCCGGCTTTGCGTCAGCTCCACGAGATCACCCGCTCGTTTATAAAACAGACCTACCAAAAGCAAGACAAGGTAAGAGAAGAACACTGTTCGATGACTGTCCAGTTAGACACACAGCTGTTAGAATAACGAAACATAGATTGCTGAGTTTTAAAGTCACTATTTTACATTTTTATGATTATTAATATAGTTCATTTATAGTCTCTAATCTTGAGTTTAAATATCTTTCTGCTTTCATTTCGATGGATCTTTTCTTTCTTTCTTTCTTTTTTTTTTTTTTTTTTTTTTTTTTTTTTTTTTTTTTTTTTTTTTTGTAAGATTTATTTATTTATTTATTTGCCAGAAATCACAAGTAGGCAGAAGTAGGCAGAGAGGCAGGCAGAGAGAGGGGGAGAATCAAGCTCCCTGCAGGCTCCCTGCTGAGCAGAGAGTCTGATGTGGGGCTCGATCCCAGGACCCTGGGATCATGACCTGAGTCGAAGGCAGAGGCTTAACCCACTGAGCCACCCAGGCACCCCATTGACGGAGCTTTTCTTTTAATCTATCCTAACTCATTTCCTTTTTATTTCCTTAATTTATTGAAGTGATTACACCAGTTTTTGAAAGTCAGAATGTGTTTGGAAAGATGTGAAGACATTTAATCTCAGGAAGATTGGGTTGTTTAAGGACCTGGATCTTCCTTGGTGGGAGAGATTTGGGAAGAAAGATCCGGAAAAGTACGCAGCCAGTGAAATAGTTCTTAGGAAAGTCGCCTTAAACAAACAAACAAACAAACAAACAAAAAAAAACTGTCTAGAAGAAGAAAATTAGCAGAGAAGTTTATTCCCTTAATTTTAATTATGTGCATACTAGATGGTTTTATTTGCTTGTGTTGAACTGACAAAATTACTGCAGCTTCTCATGCCATCTTTCTTTTTGTTGTTTCTGCTAAGAGCATTATTCAAGACTTGAAGAAGAATTTTGAAATCGTGAAATTGGTAACGGGAAGTTTGATAGCCTGTCATCGACTTGCAGCCGCTGTGGCTGGACCCGGAGGCTTAACTGGTTCAACACTGGTGGACGGCCGATACACTTACCGGGAGGTATCCGCCGTTGCGCTTTTGTGTCGTGATTTACAGTGCTCATCTGGCTTTTTGCACTTGAAGCGTAAAAAATTACATTCATTGGGTGTCTCTCTAAAAGAGGTGGCCTGGGGTATCTTTGTAGTGACTGAACGGTTTTGTGTTTTGACTACAATCATTTTAAAACAAAAGTTGAGAAAAGTGTTATTTCTGGGTAAATCTTTCAGCAAATCACCTAAAAACTGCCTGTGATAAAGATCACCATCTTTCTTTTGTCTTTCATGGGAAATAGTAATTGTCAGTTCTCTGAAGAGTTGTTTTGTTTCTTAAATCAACTGGTTAGTAACATTGTTTTTAAAAATTAGAAAAAATCTTAACTCACTGCTTGTGAGTTTGTGGTGTTTCACTTTGAGATTGCTGAGATGATACTTTACTGACATCCTAAATCAACTGGAATTGGTAATAGACTTCAAGTAGCTTCTACATTGTGCTGTCAGCTTACAAACAGATGTTTCGCATTTATATTATCCTAAATTATATGAGAAAGTGTTAGGTAGAACTCTTTTTTTAATTAAAAAGATTTGTTCTTCATTTTCCTTTTAGGAAGGAGCGCCTGGAGTTAACTAATTAGCATTACTTCTTTTTGCAGTATTTAGAGGCCCATCTAAAATTTCTAGCATTTTTCTTACAAGAAGCTACGCTGTATCTGGGTTGGAATCGTGCCAAGGAGATCTGGGAGTGTCTTGTGACTGGCCAGGATGTCTGTGAATTAGATAGAGAGGTAAGAAGATGGTAGTGTGGGTAAAATAAGGCAGAAGTGGGACTTAAATATTTTACCTTTTCTGGGTGTCTCATATTTTTTGTGGGTTTCACTTCTTTAATTCTAAACACTTCTCAATTTGCTAAGCATACATTGTACCAATAGGCCAGGAACTATACGTGCTGAAAAAATATTTTATGTAATTTATATCTATGATCTAAATATATGAGTTCTTTAGTAATTTTTATACCATTCCGGGTAAAATCAAATTCAGAGCTAGCACAGCTACAGAATTCTTATTGTGTCTTTTATGTTTTTTCTCCCTCCCATGGAACTAATTTCGAGTTACCAACCAGAACTTTGAGTCCCTGTAATGATGTTGTACCCCAGAAACACAAAGAAAAATAAATGCCTAGACAGATTTTTTTAAACTATAATTAAGCAGCTGAAAGTAGATTAAACCAGAAGCAGAACACCTGACTTGGCATATTTTAACAATGAATTACTGTTTGCTCATCTCATTTTATAGAATTATAACTGCTTGATAGTATTGTTGAAAGGACTACATATGTGCCCTTGCCTAGCACAGTCATTGGCACATACATAGCCAGGCTTGTTAATGAACATTAGTGGAGAAGCCCAAGTTTAAGTTCCATTGAACGATGTGAGTCTATATTTGCATTATCTGGGGGAAAGGTTGCTAGAACTGCTTTATTTAGTTCCAGAGTACCAGGCATTTCAGTTTTCAGTGGTATTTCATCAATAAATATTTTTAAAGGTTTAAACTTTTCTTCACTTTCCCACTTTGGAATATGTATTTGCCTGAAATGGATTTTACTTATAGGATAACATTTGTCTTGATCCACAGATGTGTTTTGAATGGTTTACAAAAGGGCAACATGATCTCGAGAGTGATGTTCAACAGCAGCTTTTCAAGGAGAAAATTCTTAAATTGGAGTCCTATGAAATCACAATGAATGGTAGGAAAACAACGTAAAATCTTTTTTTCTCAGTTCTTTAAGAAATTTTTCTTCCCTCTCCTCCTAAGTCCGTTTCTCAGTCTGGAATATCCTTCTGGACTTTTCTTTACATCTCTGTATACATATGTTTATATACACAGATAATTTCCTTTTTATGTGAATGGTATATGATTAATTTTAAATTATATGGCCCGATAGCTCAAATGGTCAAATGGTAGGATGTGTCAGTACTTCATTCCATTTTATGGCTGAATAATATTCCATTGAAATTTTATTTATCCGTCCCACATTTTATTTATCCGTCCATCAGTGGATGGACACTGAGTTGTTACCACTTTTTGGCTATGACCAATAATACTGCTATAAGCATTTATGTACAAGTTTTTGTATGGACATTAGTTTTCATTTGTCTTTGATGTATACCAAGGAGTGGAATTGTATCCTGGAACTAACATTTGAACAACTGTCCAACTATTTTGCAAAGTGGCTGCGCTGTTTGTAAGCCTCCCAGCAGCATCTGAGGGTTTCAGTTCCTTCCCATCTTCGCCAACACTTGTTACTGTCTGTCATCTTTATTCTTGCTGTGGTGTGTGTCAAGGGTTATCTCATGGTTTCGGTGTGCCTTTCCCTGATGACTGATACTAATGAGCATCTGGGCATGTGTTTATTGACTGTATGTATATATTCTTTGGAAAAATGTCTGTTCAAACCTTTTGCCCATTATAGGTTGGCTTGTCTTTATTGCTGAGCTGTATATTCTGCATAGTATCTCCTCACCAGATACACGATTTGAGAATATTTTGTCACATTCAGTGAATAGACTTTTCACATTCTTAAAGTCCTTTGAAGCACAATGTTCTCGATTTTGATGAGACCCAGTTTATCTGTTTTTTCTGCTATTGTTTGTGCTTTTGGTACCATATCTAACAAAACATTGCCTAATCCAGGGTCTCGAAGATTTATGCCTGTTTTGTACTAAGAGTTTTACAGTTTTGGTTCTTGAGATACTTTGAGGCTTTTCATTGATTATCTGTGGTACTTAGAGTGTGTGAATTTATCTGACCTTCTGTAATTTCAGGTTTTAACTTATTTAAGACTTTTTTTGAAAATGTGAATCTTTGTGATCATCGATTGAAACGACAAGGAGCTCAGTTGGTGAGTACATTATTCTGAAATCTAGGTAATTTGGATAATCTAGTAAAACACAACAAAAGTGTTGTAATTTTGTTAAAGAATGGGCGTCTCCTCGACTGCACTGACTGCAGGGCTTCTCTTGGAGCATAACGGAAGGCCCCCCTTCCAGCATGGCGAGAGCACAGTTGACTCTCAAATCCCTCCGTGCTTCTTGCTGACCTGGGGCAGCCGGCAGCCTCCTGTGGCTGGGTGAATGGAGGGGAGGGATTGCTTCATTGAAGCTTCTAACTCCTCAGATCTGGTAATGGACATGTTCCTAAAAAGTTACAACATCTTTAATTCTGAAGATGAATCTTTAGTTCATCACAGTGGCGGGGATTTGGGGAGAAATTTTTAGGAACAGTCCATGAATCAGGAGAATGAGGACCCATAGAATGTATATAGCATATGTTTATATTTACATGTGGACCTTAAGAAAGGAAGACAAAAAATAACTCTCTTTTCTAAGGCATAATTCTTGATTCAAGACATAGCTTCTGGATGGCAAGAAGTTTTATGAAATCTCTAAGGCCTGGATCCTGTCCCTTGAACTGAGCTTTGGGAAAACCAAATTGAGCCTCAAGGATTATTAACCACTTCTAGCCTGGCTCTCTTGCCCTTTGGAGAAAAACTCCTGAATATGGTGCCCACCTCACTCCTATGTGTTTCCGCTTCTTTAGCCTGTCTGGGTGGATTTCCAGCTTGGGTTTAGCAATATCTGGAGACAACGCTCCATAACTATCCTGGTTGCCATGGACATAGCCCAGTGTTTGTGTTTTTTTTCTTTTTCTTTGTTTTAAAGTTCCAAATCAGTACAACAGTGCTCTCGTATGTAGCTTGGTTTTTGCAGCCTTAATTCATATTAACCTGAAAGGTGCAGACTGAGTGATATAATAAAAGATAGTTGTCTGTAATTTTGGTGTACTATATAATTTTTTTTTCTTTTGAACAGTATGTAGAAAAGCTGGAATTGATAGGAATGGATTTCATTTGGAAAATAGCCATGGAATCACCTGATGAAGAAATTGCTAATGAAGCTATTCAGTTAATCATAAACTATAGTTACATTAACCTAAATCCTAGATTAAAGAAGGTGGGTGCTCGTGCACAGAACAGAAGATTATATATGTATTTTTATTGATAAGTTTTCACCCTTGGTGTGCCCCCAAATTCACCTTATTTTGATGTTTTGCTCTTAATAATGATTGCAACTACATGTCAGACTAATTTTAATTTCTTTTATCTCTTACTTTTAGGATTCTGTATCATTACATAAGAAATTTATTGCTGATTGTTACACGAGATTAGAAGTGAGTGGTAAATCTCATTTGAACCTGTTTCTGAATTTCATTTGAGCCTCTTTTTGAAATAAATGCTTTGATGTTTTCCTTTTATATTGGGATCATGTAAAATATTGATATTTGTGGCTGGATTCTACTAAAGAATTTGTCAACAGTACCTTATTGTCACACAGGGAACAGACATTTGCCTTGATTCCCCCAGTACAGAAGTGTCCTTTATGGGAAAGCTTTCCTTCTCTTTCCACCACCCCTCTACCCCACCCCACCCACCCCCTGTTTTGGGGTATAGGAACTGTCTTCAGAAAACAGGTCTGCTATACATTCCACGTTTCGTTTCTTTTTTTTTTTTTAATCTTTATTTGGTTTTTAAAAATTATTATTTATTTATTTATTTATCTAAAGATTTTGTTTGTTTATTTGACAGAGGGAGAGAGACAATGCAAGCAGGGGGAGTGGGAGAGGGAGAAGCAGGCTTCCCACTGAGCAGGGAGCCCGATGCACGGCTCCATCCCAGGACCCTGGGATCATGACCTGAGAAGGCAGAGACTTAACCCACTGAACCACCCAGACACCCCACATTCCACATTTCTAACAGATTCTTTTCTCTGTTTTCTCTTTCTGTCAAGGAGTGTCATGAAAGAATTGGCTTTTCCTACCCTTCCCCATTTTCACCTGAGACTATATCTTAAATGTTACTAAAGGCCCAGAAGGACACTCAGTAGTTGGTGGTATTGATGTTCTTTGTCCATTAGAAGTCTACTGTGTGATACTATCTCACATCAGTTTCTAGTGCCTTATAGCTCCAGCATGATGGTTAAAGCATTAAACAGTCACTTTCATTCTTAACTCATGTTTAAATTTTATATCTAATGGAGAATATTCCAAAAACATAGGCTGCTGCCCCCAAATGTCAATAAGTTAAACCTTCTGATGATGAATATGTGCTCGAATCCGTACAGAATTTTCCAGGTTGTGACTTCCATCCAGATAGGTCATCATTGGAAACCATTTAAAATATTCAAGGACCTTAAATGAGGTACCAATTAAGTTTGAACATATGTAGAACAGTAGTTCTCCACTGGAGCTGCTCCTGCCTCCCGGAGATCGTTTGGTAATGTCCAGACACCTTTGTGGTTGTCACAGCCAGAGAGTTCCCGCTGGTACCTCGTGGTAGGTGGGTAGTGACGGGAGTTCAGAGAGGTTGCCAAACATCCTGTGAAGCCCAGAAAGCCCTCCAACAAAGGTTTCCAGCCCCAAATAGCAGTAGAGCCAAGGTTTGAGAAAACCCTGATAGAGAATGATTGGTTCCTGTTTCATAGGCAGCCAGCTCAGCCCTTGGCGGCCCCACTCTGACGCATGCTGTGACGAGAGCAACAAAAATGCTAACAGCGACTGCTATGCCAACTGTAGCAACGTCAGTTCAGTCTCCATATAGGTAAGTGTGCAGAAGTGACGGCACGTCCTCGACTGATGCAGGAGTGTGTGTGTGTGTGTGTGTGTGTGTGTGTGTGTGTTTCTTTTTTCATTTCAAAAAAATAAAAAATAACTGGCAGCTCTTTTCGGAGACGTCTCAGTTGTGGATTTCCTCCTTTTATGTCTTAATTTTTGTAAATAATCATATCCTGAGAAATTGTATGACCCCGTCATACTTCCCCAAATCAGTATGTCTTTCCCTGAAGATCTGTAGGTCATCATCACCACCACCCAAGCACTGCTCTGCCCCTCCCCTCTGCCTAGTGGACAACTTCTGTTGTTAATTTTTTTGGGGGGGGCGGTATTTAACTCACTTTACTTTGACACTGTGTAACAGGAGTAACCTACTCTTTGCGACAGACTACTAGATATATTCATTGTATGAAGAGCAGTTTTCTCCTTGTGCCCAAATCAGGGCATTTACAGCATAAGCAAAATGAAATGGCAAATGATGGTTAGTTAAAATCGTGCATTATAATATCATCATAATTGAAATATTATTTCCTTAAAATTTTTTCTCAAAATAATTTTTATTAAGAACTTCATCACCAAATATTTGTGTTGTAGTTTTGAACTGATGTCTGTGACCACATTACTGTGTTTAGTGTTGACAGATAATACCAGGGAAATCTGAGCTCGGTATTTGCTATAGTTGTTTGCTGTGGTAAGGAACGAAGATGAGTATTCAGGAACGTTAGACTGAAGGAGCTCAAATGCTGCTGTGAGGTTTTACAAGCACTTCGTTCTTAGCAGCCCCAAAGTGGTGGTGCCCAGGAAACTTTGGCAGGTGCTCCCAACAAGGCTTACTTTGCTGCCCTCTAGTAATGGGTACTCAGATTGTCATTTTCTACTCTTGGAAGGTCTTTGTATTTGTTAATTTACAGTTCTTTTTTCTTTTTAAAGCCTTCCTTTAGAAAAGGAGTCAAAACAATTAAGTCCTTATATTCTTCATCTTTTCATCTTTTTTTAAAAATGATTTGAGTACTAAGTAGCGATATTTTGCTAACATGAGAGATGCCAATACAACTCAGCCCTCTTGGAGCTCTTTTTAAAATGCCAGAAGAGGGGCGCCTGGGTGGCTCAGTGGGTTAAAGCCTCTGCCTTCGGCTCAGGTCATGATCCCAGGGTCTTGGGATCAAGCCCCAAATCAGGCTCTCTGCTCAGCAGGGAGCCTGCTTCCCTCTCTCTCTGCCTGCCTCTCTGCCTGCTTGTGATCTCTGTCAAATAAATAAAATCTTAAAAATAAATAAATAAAAATAAAATGCCAGAAAGTGGGGCCTCTGGCTGGCTCAGTTGGTAGAGCACGCAACTCTTGACCTTGGGGTTGTGAGTTTGAACCTCACGTTGCTTGTAGAGATTACTTAAAAATAAAATCTTACAGGAGCACCTGAGTGGCTCAGTTGCTTAAGCATCTGCCTTTGGGTGAGGTCATGATCCCAGAGTCCTGGGATGTAGCCCCATTCTCCTCCCTGTTTCTTTCTCTGTCTCTCTCTCTTTCAGATAAATAAATAAAAACTTAAAAAACCTTACCAGAAATAGTTAAAATAGTAGAAAGTGATTATAGATTCAGCTAATGATAAAAACACTAACATGACCTTTGCATTCCCACATTGATGAAAGTGTATTTCAAATAAGACTTTCGTGGAGAATGTGCATTGAGAATTCCTAATTACATGTTTGTAAGATGTGGTCCATCCCTGCCTAGGTCCTTAATGATTCACTTGTCTGACAAACCAGAAGAGAAATGTATTAATGAACTATTGGATTGGGCTATTGGATTAGGATTTCCAAACTGGAACATCTTTAAATAAGTGTGTTTTCTGTTTTTCTCTTTTTACTAAGTGATTTTTATTCTGAATCAGTTCATGTTTGAATGCGTACAGAGCAAAATTATAGGATCATCTTTTTCTTGTTAAAAACTCTAAATACTTTTAATAAGAATATAAAATTTCAAACTTGCATTTGAACCAGGACATTGTAGTCAATATTATTTCACTGGTTTTGGAAGGACTTCTCAGTGACTGTAATTGTCCCATCTTTGGGGGGGGCAGGAGTTATTCCCTCCTCTACACAGTGTTCTGCGATGCTGTCTGTGATTTAATTCATTATTGAGGCATAATTAAATTCACTCATTCACTTACTATTAGCACTTAGATATTTCCTAAGGATTTTCCATCTCAGTATCAAATTCTAGTCTTGCCCATAGCTGGAAAGGATTTAGAACTCTGTTAAATGTATTTAACAGAACTATTAAAATGTGTTTAATAAATTCTTTTTGTTTTTTTTTTTTAAGATTTTATTTATTTATTTAACAGAGAAATCACAAGTAGGCAGAGGGGGTGGGGGGGAAGGGAAGCAGGCTCCCCGCCAAGCAGAGAGCCCGATGCGGGGCTCAATCCCAGGACCCTGAGATCATGACCCAAGCTGAAAAGGCAGAGGCTTAACCCACTTAGCCATCCTGTCGCCCCTAATCAATTCTTTTTAAAGTGAAATTTCCAATACTGCTGATCAGCAAACCAGACCAATTGTTAGAAAATGGTAGTACCTTTTTTTTTTTTTTTTTTTTTTTTCAGATTTAGAAATACCTGTATTTGAAATGCCTAGATTTTCTGGAATAGCACATGTTTCAATTAAGAGCACTTGGATTTTCATCTCTTGATGTTAACACGTGTAATGTTCTCTTTCGTAAAATATGGAGCTGTGAATGTATAAGCTTGCTGCATGTCGGAGTCCTGTGAATTCAGATAATTAATAATACACCCTGAGTCTGACCAAAAGGGACCTCAGGTCTCATTTTCAGGTGTGCTAGAGCTCCACACTTCCTGGCCATATGTTGCCTGTTCTAGAGATGGTTGTCTCTCAATGCCTGATGACTTCTTAAGTACTTGGAAAACCAGTGGAATAATAAATTCTTACGCTGTATATCTTACTTACACAGAATGTTCTTTTAAACCAGATAAACAATTGTTTATCCTTCACTTCCTCTTCATCCTCTGGCTCATTAAAACAGCAGGTGTTATTTGTGGTAGACTTACTGGCTTTTATTCGTCTTCTGATTTTCAGGCAGGTCAGAACTTGGTAGCACTTGGTCCATGTTTTACCAAATCATGTGGTGTATTTTAGTTGTAAGATTATGAGACTCAAACTCACTGATAGTTTATTCTTGGGGATTGATGGACAAATAGACCTGGAGACCCAGGTCCTCTCTTTATATATAGAACAGCTGTTTAAAGAGAGGAGAAGACAGGAGAGGAGAGATGCTGTCCTCCCTGACTCTATGGGTGTGTCCCAGCTGTAAGCTGGTTGAGCCACCCCTCTCCCCACCTTGGGTGCAGGGGAAGTTTAGTCTCTGCAGATTTCAGCTTTTGACCAGTGAGTGCTAACTGGCTTTTGACCAGTAAGTGCTAACTGTGTGGGTTTGAGTGAAGCAGACCGGAATCGAGCAATTCTTTTCATATATGTTCCAAAAAAATTTTTTTTAATCCGTAGATCCACTAAACTTGTAATAATCGAGAGATTGCTGCTTCTGGCCGAACGCTACGTGATCACTATAGAGGTAAGCCTGTCTTTTTAAAGCCACTTTATCATTGTATCATTAGATTCGTTGCGTTAGGTGTGTGTTCTAAGATAATTCAGTGACGCACTACGTCTAACTTGACTTCTTTTTCAAGGATTTTTACTCTGTCCCACGAACTATTCTACCTCATGGGGCCTCATTTCACGGACATCTTTTAACTCTCAATGTTACGTATGAGTCTACCAAAGATACCTTCACTGTAGAGGTAGGTTTGCGCTGAGCCCGGGGGCCATTCTCAGATTGTCTTGTTACTTTCTCGAGAGCAGTGCGGACTGGGATAGCTGCATGAGCTACAAGCCATTTGGTCAACAAATTCAGACTAAACACCTGCAGTGAAAGGGAAATGATGGGGTAAGCCTGTAAGTAGGTGTGTGATACAGTATCGGTTAGTAATGGGTTTTATAAGGAGTAAGAATAAAGCTGGATGATTCGGTAGAGAGTGGTGCATATATGTGAAATGTCTTAAAAAGATGGGCAGGGGGGCGCCTGGGTGGCTCAGTTGGTTAAGCTGCCTTTGTCTCAGGTCATAATCCTGGAGTCTCAGGATCAAGTCCCACATCAGGCTCCCTGCTTGGCAAGGAATCTGCTTCTCCCTCTGACCTCTCTCCTCTCATGCTCTTTTTCTCATCCTTTCTATCAAATAAATAAAATCTTCAAAAAAAAAAAAAATGGGCAGGGAAGTTCTCTCTGAGATGGTGACATTTGGGCAAAGATGGAATGAAGTGACAGCAAGTTTCTGGGGAAGAACATTCCAAGTGAAGGGAGCAGCAGGGACAGAGGCCCTGCTGTGGGACTTGGGTGGCTCGTTCGGTGACAGGCAGGGTAGGTGGTGGTGGAGTGTGCAGAGAACAGGAGAGCGTGGAGACTCTGCAGTAGGGCTTAAGATTTGATTCCATGAGATGGCGAGGTGGTACAGGGGTGGGAAGGTGGACATTGAATTACTGTGAAAGGGGAGAGTTGTCTGTGGGGTCTCTTCCATGTTCCCAGCTTCTGGAACGGCGGCCGACACCCAGTCCCTCCTCACAAGCGGTGTTTGATCTGATCATGCAGGCCCACAGTAATGAGACCATAGGGAGCGTGCGGTGGAAGATAGCCAAGCAGTTGTGCTCGCCTGTGGACAACATACAGATATTTACCAACGACAGTCTGGTAGGTCTGCGCCAGCCGTCTGGCCCTTCAGCATGACAGTCATACCTTTGTCCCCCTTTCCCTCCCGCTAATTAAGAAACCACTTTTTGCAGCTGACGGTGAATAAAGATCAAAAGCTCCTCCACCAGCTGGGCTTTTCTGATGAACAGATCCTCACAGTGAAGACTTCAGGCAGTGGGACCCCATCCGGGAGCTCGGCGGACTCCTCAACCAGCTCCAGCAGCAGCGGCAGCGGGGTCTTCAGCTCCTCGTACGCCATGGAGCAGGTACGGGGGTGGCGGGGGGCATCCACGGGCAGGTCAGGTTGGTCATCTTCATACTTGGGCCTGTGGCCCACATAGGCTCGGTGGGCTGGGTCCTTTTCTATTGGACAAGTTCTGACTGATGAGGTTCCTCCAAAGGGAACAGCAAGCATAGACAGAGGAGAGCTCAGAGGATGGAGCCAGGGAGCTCCTTTGTGTAGAGATCGAGGGTGGAGAGGACCCAGCAGGGCAGATGACAGAGTAGCCGGAGAGGAAGGAGAGAGCCGAGCGAGTCCTGCGGATCCTCGACTCTGCCTTCAAAATGCATCTGGAATCTAGCTACTCTTGTCTGCCTCCATGGCTTCCACATGGGTCCAGGCGGTTGTCCTGCCTCACCTGAAGGATTTTGGCCATGTCGGCCTGCTCTCCCAGCTCTGCCCCAACACCGCTTCAGTGTCTCCTCTGTGCAGTGCCAGCAGCCTGGGCTCTGCTTGAACGGCAGACATGTGTTGCTCCAGTGCTCCAGGGCATCGTCTCCCGCAGAGCAGGAGGCAGAGTCTGCTGGGCCCTATAGGGCTCATCTCCTGGAACTTCTCTGAGATCACCTCCCCCGACCTCCCTCCCTCCCACCGCCCTAGCTGTACTGGCCTCCGTGGTCCTTGGACTCCGTAAGGTCTTTGCACTTGCACTTCCTGTGTCTGGAATGTTCTTCCCCAGTATCCTGGTGGTCCTCTCTCACATTCTTCAGCTCTCACTTGGATGTTGCCTTCTCAGTGAGCCTTCTTTGGCAATCCTGTTTGCATTTTTAACACCATCCATGCACTTCGTATCTCCCTTCCTGATTTACTTTAACATAGTGTATGTTTTATCTTATTTAATGTCTCTCTCCCTGGTGAGGTACACTTAAACGCTGTGAGAGCTGCCTTCTGTCTGTTTTGCTCATTGTTGTATCCCCAGCCCCGAAAAGAGTGCCTAGAACATAGTAAGTATTTGCCCAGTGATTCCATGAATCCGCGCATTTACTTGGTACCATTTGTGGGTCAGGACAGAGCTTGGTACCAGAGACGGAGGATGGGCCTGGTTCTGCGTCTTCACTTTATCAGTCTAGAAATTAAGATCACACCAGACATCGTGTAAAGATGCTTAAACAGCGCGTGAGGTTTTTTTCCATAGTTATATGTATTGCTTTAATTCTAAATAGAAGATTTTTGTGTACTGTCGTTTTTTTCTAACTTACCATAAACTTACTATAGATCTCAAGAACTCCTCGGGGCTAGTATTAGTGTAATGGGTTTTTTCTTTTCTTTTTTTTTTTAAAGTGGCTGCACTTATGTAATAGGAAGAATTTAAGAAAGCTCCCACTCAGAGTAGTATAACAGTTAATCAACAGCAGAAACAGTGTACAAGCATGCCTTCACTCATTGCATTTTGCACATGGTATGTTTTTTATAAATCGAACTTGGTGCCAACTCTGTACCAACCAAGTCCACTGCTGCCATTTTCCCAACAGCATTTGCTGACTTTGTGTGTCTGTGTCACATTTTGGTACTTCTCACAGTATTTTAAACTTTTTCATTCTTATATTTGTCATATATAAGTCATGTCATGATGATCTATGGTCAGTGATCGGTGGTGTTACTATTGTAATTATTTTGGGGCACCACAAACCATGCCCATGGAAGACAGCAAACTTCAGAGATGTTATGTGTGTTCTGACTGCTCCACAGCTAGCTGTTCCCACATCTCTCTCCCTCTCCTTGGGCCCTTTATTCCCTGAGACAAACAGTATTGAAATTAGGCCAATTAATAACACTCTAATGGCCTCTGAGCGTTCAAGTGGGAGGAAGAGCTATACGTCTCACTTTAAATCAAAAGCTAGAAATGATTAAGCTTAGAAAGGCAGGTCAGAAGCAGAGTTAGTGAAGCCAAAAGCGAAGCCTCTTGCACCAAACACCTAGCCAGGCAGCACAGCAGTACGCCTGTGAAAGCAAAGGAAGAGTTCCTGCAGGAAACTGAGAGCGCTGCTCCAGGGAGCACACGGATGATAAGAAAGTGGAACAGCCTTACTGCCCACGTGGAGAGTGAGTGAGCCGTCTCGATAGAAGAGCAAACCAGCCACCACATTCCCTTAAGGCAGGTCTGACCTAGAGCAAGGCCCGAGCCCTCCTCCATTCTGTGAAGGCTGAGGGAGGTGAGGAAGCTGCAGAAGGAAGGTTGGAAGCAGCAGCGGTGGGTTCGTGAGGTTTAGGGAAAGAAGCCGCCTCCATAAGGTAGAAGTGCAGGGTGAAGCAGCCAGTGCCGGTGTAGATGCCACAGCAGGTGATCTGGAAGTTCCGGCTTGGATCATTCATGAAGGTGGATGCACTGAACAACAGATGTTCAGTGTAGACGGAGCAGCCTTCTGTCGGGGAAGATGCCGTGTGAGACGTGCACCGCGGCAGAGAAGTCAGTGCCTGGCCTCAAAGACTCAAAGGCCGGGCTGACTCGCGTGGGAGGGGCTCATGCAGCTCCTGACTTTACATTAAAGCCGGTGCCCATTTGCCTTTCATAAAGCCCCGGGACCCTCAAGAATTTTGCTAAATCTATACTTTAGAGTTCTGTAAACAGAACAACGAAGACTGGATGACAGCATACTTGTTTACAAGATGGTTTACTGAGTATTTTAAGCCCCCTGTTGAGACATCCCCAGAAAAAAAAAAGATTCCTTTCAAAATATTCCTGCTCACTGACAGTACATCTGGTCACCCAAGAGCCCTGATGGAGATGGACGAGGTAAGTGTTCAAATGCCTCTGACACGGCATCCGTTCTGTGGCCCATGGATCACGGAGTCATTCCGGCCTTCTGATTAAGAAATTCAGTTCATAAGGCTGTCACTGCCGCAGTGATTCCTCTGGTGGCTCTGGGCAAAGTGAAATAAAAACCTTCCGGAAAGGATTCACCATCCTAGAACATCCGTGATTCATGGGAAGAGGTCAGGATAGCCACATGAGCAGGAGTTTGGAAGAAGTTGGTTCCAGCCCTCATGGGAGACGCTGAGGGGTCAGGACGTCAGGGAGGAAATGACTGCAGATGGGGCAGAAGGAGCAAGAGAACGGGAAGCGGAGGCTGAAGGCGGGACTGCGCGGCCGCCCTCTAAGGGTAAAACTTGAGGGTGAGCAGTTGGTTCTTACAGATGAACAAAGAAGGTGGTTTCCTGGGAGGGAATCTACTCCCGGTGAAGATGTCGTGAAGGTGGTTGAAATGACACCAGAGGATTCACAATATCACATGGTTCATGTAGCAGCAGCAGGGTCTCAGAGAACTGACTCCAATTTTGAAAGAAGTTCTGTGGGTAAAATGCTATCAAACAGCATCGCGTGCTACAGAGAAATCGTTCTTGGAAGGAAGAGTCAGTCGATGAAGCCAACTTCCCGGTGGTCTAATTCTAAGGAACTGCCGCAGCCAACCGTATCCATGGGCAGCCATCACCACCGAGACAAGCTCCCCCGCCCAGCAGAAAGATCACAACTTGCCGAAAGCTCAGATGATGGGTAACGTTCTTTAGCAATAAAGTCCTTTTTAATTAAGACATATACATTGTTTTAGACACGGTGCTACTGTACTCTTAATAGACTGTAGCATAAACTTAATATCCACTGAGAAACCAAAAAAATTTCATTTTACTCTTGCAATATTTGCTTTCTCACCGTGGTCTGGTTGTGAATCTGTGATATCCGCAGTACACCTGCACATAGTAGCATCTTCAAGCTTAACATTTCCAAATCGTCTCCTGTTTATCTGAAATTTATTAAAAAATGTTCCCTTATATGTGACAATCTACAGTGACATCCAGTTTCTTATCTTTATATTCAGAAAATAGTACTTTAGTCACATTTAAGCTTCTTCTACCTGTTGTCTGGAGTGTGTATATCCATGTACTACTTTCATTTTGCTTTTCAATCAGTCATTGCCTTGTTTGCTCCTGACGAGCTCTGATCAGCTTTCAGTGGAGTCTGCTGTCCATTCTATTAATTGTACCTGCCCATCATTTTACTTCTCTTCCACTGCCTGCCTTTTGGCACCTTAACCCCTCACCAGCAGGTGGATGGGGAGAGCCCAGGTAACAGTCTCTAGAAGGCTGTGGTCCCACCAGTCTCTGTTCCTCAGGTGAGCACACTGCTCCCCTCAAGCTTTGTGGCAGCTACTCTTTCAGAAGTTGTAATTTTATTGTTGGCATATTTGATGAGAAAAAGAGAATATGTTTTTGTGAGTTTGTATTTACAGTATGCTTTTTTCCCTCAGGAGAAATCCCTCCCTGGCGTTGTGATGGCACTCGTATGTAATGTGTTTGACATGCTTTACCAGCTTGCCAATCTGGAGGAGCCAAGGTAAATATAAACATGTATGAGGCTTGAAAGAGAGAAAGTTATTAAGGTTAGGGAACTAAGTACATTTTGACTTGACTTTACATTTGTCGGGAACAAATGACTTTGGTTTTGAAACTGGCTAATGTTGAAAAATTTGTATTTGCAAAATTTCAGGATAACTCTACGAGTACGAAAGCTGCTGCTCTTGATACCCACTGACCCAGCCATTCAGGAAGCCCTGGATCAACTTGATTCCTTGGGAAGAAAGGTATGAGTGTCCTCGACTTCAGTGACCTGGAAATTTTAATGTCACAAGTCAGTAAAAATACACCTGAAATCACTTTCAGGCCATATGGTACCCCGTAACAGCTCTTCTTTAAAAAAAATACCTTTGTTGTGAATGGAAATCAGAACTTCATGTAGACTTTTAAAAGACCTAGAGTCAATAATGACATCAAATTTTAGAATTGGGAGAGCCTTTAATATCATGTACATCCATGTTCTTCTTTTTCTGGATTAAGATACTGAAGCACAGAGAGATGAAGTGTCTTGTCCAGGATCAGACTCTAGTCCTGATTCAGTGGAGACATTTTTCTTCTGTCATGACAGCTCTCCGAATGTGGTTGTTGCCTGTGTTTGAGTTGCTTGCTTAATTATATTATCATTTAATTTTTTTCCACAGTTGATATTTAAAGTTCATCTCAATTTCTAGAATGTTCTTCCTCAAAAATTTTATTATGTGTATTAAAATTATATTCTGCCTATAATGTTGTTTAATTATGTTCTCAGAATAAATTCACGTAGAACAGAGTTGTTAGCACTATGGTACAAACTTGTTTCAGTGGTTGAAGTTTCGTCAGCTCCTAGTGTGGTCATACACGGCTTAGGTATTTGCAGGGAGAAGAAAAAAACGAATGTAACCAACCGCAAAATCTATCACTAGTGCTAGCTAAAAACATGTTCAGAGCTCCTACAAGTTAATAATTTTATTATCAGTACTTAGTAGTAGAGATTTGTAAAACACAGAAACAAATAAAAGCGACCTTGGTAGTGTTACCTAGAAGACACTCTCAGAAGGGTTCCTGTAGGGTCGAGATGTGTGATGGAATTCGATCTTTTGTTAATGATTATCAAGTGATGTGTCCTTGAGGTTAATTTGTAGGAAATCACTTTGGTGCGATTATATTAAAGAGGAGGAGAACATTAGAGTGCACACTGAGGTATGTTTCTCTTTAACTTGTGCTTTTAACACATACATCCTTTGTTTTCATGCTGTAAAACCTCAGAAGACATTACTGTCTGAAACGAGTTCTCAGTCCTCAAAGTCTCCATCCCTGGCCTCCAAGCAGCAGCATCAGCCAAGTGCCAGCTCGATTTTGGAAAGTCTGTTTCGGTCCTTTGCTCCAGGAATGTCCACCTTCAGAGTGCTCTACAATTTGGAAGTAAGAAGTCTCATTTTTTTTTTTCATTTCATCCGAGCTGTTTTTGTTTGCACATTCATGTTTTAGATGTCAGAGATAAGTATTTTTATTGGATGATCTGTGAAAAAGTTAGTTTTGGGGAAAAAAACGTAAAAGACAGAACATAAACTGAACCATCTTGGGTTTTCCTGGGCTTAGAAAAGGCTTAGTTTTTTTTTGTTTGTTTGTTTTTTCCACTTTATTCCTGTGCGCACTGTTAAACTCACAAAACCACTTGTAAATTAATAATGAGGAAGCCTTATGTAATAAAATATGCCATTCTCTTCCTCTGGAAGTTTAGCGAGTCTATTTAATACAGTTGTTATCCTCAGCCTTCTTGTTATTGAATGCATCCTAACTTTAAAAAACGATTGTAATTTGTTTTCATAATGAAGCTGTGAGGAGTTTGTCAGAAAATACATTAACTTTATCATTTCAGGGTTTAAAAAAAAAAAGCTTTTGGAAGAATTTAAGCAAAAGAATATTTTTATTACCCTCTTTCCAAAAAGTGGCTTTAAACTAGTAGATTTAGTTCAATAAACATTTACTCTTTAGTGTCTGCAAGTCATTGTGGTAGTTAAAGGAGTACAGTTGAAAAGACAGGGTATCTGCTCCATGATGTTGAGTAAGATCTAAGAGAGGCTGCGTACTCTGAGTCGTGAGAGCAGAGTGGTAACGGGCAATGGGGGAGAGTGAGCAGGTAGAAACACTCTAGTCTTGGAGGGTGAGAGGTTAGACCTTCTTGCCATTTTAAGTCTGGAGGAAATAAAGCCCTAAGTGATTTTGCTTTGCCCCAAGTTTTATTTCATCTGGGGGTCTAATTTAGTACATAAATATATTCATTCATTCTTCTGCATCACTTGTTGCTCTTGTGGTCAAGCTGTGCTCTTTCATATTGGCCTTAAAGTAATCATTCTTGGGAAGAAATGTGTTGGGCTCAAAAGGAGAAAATATTTAGTAAATGTTTTTAAAAGAAAGCTTGTCTTTATTTAATGTGGGCATTGAAAAATACATGTATATGATATTTTAAGACAGAAAATTGCCCAGAAATTTTTGGCCAGTTTAAGCTTATAAATTTTGCAATACCTGCCAGATTTGTCATTTGGTTTTGAATGGTTGTCTTAAAAAAAGTTAAGGTGTAAACCTTAACACTCACATTGAGAGCACCCAGAAGAGCAGAGTGGTCCAACCATGAGTCTCACTTGTCATTAACTACCTGGATTGCATTATCTTAGAGCCAAAGGCCAATAGTAGTAAAATACCTCCAGCACAATTTCAGGACTTTTGATTAAGTGGGAATTCCTTTGAGAGGTTGTTTGTGTTTGGCGGGGGGCTATGGGTTATGTTTTGTTTTTGTTATTTTTGCTTTAGACAACACAAAACATTTGGAAAACTGAACACTTTCAAAAGCACTCATTTTGGGGCACCTGGGTGGCTTAGTCAATTAAGTGTCCGACTCAGTTTAGGCTCAGATCCTGATCTCAGGGTTGTGAGATGGAGCCCCACATTGGGCTTTGTGCTCAGTGTCTGCTTGAGAGTCTCTTTTCCTCTGCCCTTCCTGTTCATGATCTCTTTCTCTCTCTTTCTCTTAAGTAAATCTTTAAAAATCTTTTTTTTTTTTAAAGCACTTCTTTTTACTGAACCCTGAAAGGTTAATTTCTTTGCATTTTAGTCTTCAAGTTACATTTGCCTACTAGGAAGCTTTAAAGTGGCTGTTCCAGATACTTATTCCTTTGAAGAAATCTTCCACCTTCACTAAATTGCTGTCCATTAAAAATGGGGAATACATGTATGTGGCTGTCAACTCACAGGAAGGGTTAGAAAAGCAGAGGGCTCCCTTCCTCCCACGCAGTGCTGATAATCTGAGACTGACGAGCCTGTTTCCCAAAGAATACTTAGGAAGAAAAAAATTCATAGAAACCTTTGCCAGAATAGAAAAGGATCTTGAGTGTATCTATTTTTTTTAAGATTTTATTTATTTATTTGACAGACAGAGATCACACGTAGGCAGAGAGGCAGGCAGAGAGAGGGGGAGGAGGAAGCAGGCTCCCTGCTGAGCAGAGAGCCTGATGTGGGGCTCTATCCCAGGACCCTGAGATCATGACCTGAGCCAAAGGCAAAGGCTTAACCCACTGAGCCACCCAGGCGCTCCTGAGTGTATGTTTTTAAAACCTTGGAAAAATTGAGGCAGTGGGTTCCTTTTCTTTTTCCTTAATTTTTAAATCATAACAACCAAATAAGCAGTTGGTTGCTAAATACTTAATAAGTATTTACTAAGTATTTCTTTTTTTTTTTTTTAAGATTTTATTTATTTATTTGACAGACAGAGATCACAGGTAGGCAGAGAGGCAGCCAGAGAGAAAGGAAGGGAAGCAGGCTCCCCGCTGAGCAGAGAGCCGGACATGGGGCTCGATCCCAGGACCCTGGGATCATGACCTGAGCCGAAGGCAGAGGCTTTAACCCACTGAGCCACCCAGGCGCCCCTACTAAGTATTTCTTTTTTTTTTTTTTTTAAAGATTTTATTTATTTATTTGACAGAGATCACAAAGCAGGCAGAGAGGCAGGCAGAGAGAGAGGAGGAAGCAGGCTCCCTGCTGAGCAGAGAGCCCGATGCGGGGCTCGATCCCAGGACCCTGAGATCATGACCCGAGCCGAAGGCAGCAGCTTAACCCACTGAGCCACCCAGGCGCCCTCCTACTAAGTATTTCATAAGTTATCTGCCATACCAGAATTTTCAGTTTTTTCCTTTAGGTACATATGTCAGTGCCAAAATGGGGACAGGGATTTAGGAGGGAGGCACATCTGGGTTCGAGGTCACTTAGCCTTTTGGGTCTCAGTCTTTGCTTGTAAAGTAAAATACATACCTCATGTAAGAACTTCCTTTTATGCCTACTGTGTTGTATGTGGTCAGTAAATAGTAGGAGTTTCAGAATCATTATTGGCTCATCTAGCTTTTTTTTTTTTTTTTTGAAGATTTTATTTATTTGAGAGAGAGAGTGCACAAGCAGGGTCCAGGGCGGCGGGAGAAGGACAAGCAGACTCCCCTCTGAGTAGAGAGCCCAACAGCGGAGCTGCATCCCAGGACCCAGAGATCATGACCTGAGCTGAAGGCAGATGCTTCACTAACTGAGCCACCCAGGCACCCCTCAGCTAGCATTTTTAAGGAATGGGCTATTTTACAGAAAACTTAACCTACTTTTTCAAAAATATGTCTAACATACCACATCATCTTATCTAAGCCTGAGACATCCAGCTTTGCTAGTTTCCTAAAAAGAACATACAAGCTTTCTACAACAAAACAGATTTTTCTTGCTAACTAAATAGAACTTGGAAAACACGATTAGTTCAATTGTGAAGCGTCAGCCTCCTCCTCCTGGGGGCGGGCAGGGAAATAATATGCAGCACTTACTGATACTCAGACTCCAGTTATTGGGTTGTTTTACTTAGCGAGGGAGTCATTTCTGCTGAAAATGACTATCTATTTGAACTATCTAATTGTGCCTTTCTGTTTTCAAGGTTCTAAGCTCCAAACTCATGCCAACAGCTGACGATGACATGGCAAGAAACTGTGCAAAATCCTTCTGTGAGAACTTCCTCAAAGCAGGAGGATTGAGGTTAGAGTTTCACTGTAAAGTCAAATGAATTGCAAAGAATGAATAAAGTTATTGTGAATAATTTCTCCTGCCGGGCCTTGGTGATTCCTGTAAGGTGTTGTGTGAAGTGTCATGAGAGTTATAAGAAGAAGGAATGGTATTTCAGTCTTTGGAACACTTAAATTCATTTTATGAGTTTTGGTTATTTGAGGAACTGGCGGAAGCACATCTCCTTCCCTCCGGTAGTGGGAGAAATTCCTGAGGAGAGGAGAGGAAGCAGATCTGTTTCCGCTGATCCCGCATCAGTCTGACACCGGGCAAATTTGATTCCTGGTAATGGTTTTGTAAGGCCTTATTAGTGCTGGCAATGCAGAAATAACTTAGATCTCATTCCTGCTCCTAGAGCCTCATGATTTAACAAAGAATAATAAACCTTTACTACAGATATCAAAACAGGCTCATAAAAAGTGCTTTGGGTAGGAGGCAGGTAGGGGTGATGGAAGAGTGCACTTAAAACGGTGACATTTTCATGAGATAATAAGATTAGGAGAGGACGTTTGAGCTGGGAATTGAGAAAAGAGCAGGAGCAGTATTTCACGGGGAAAGGGCACACTAAGCCAGAGGGGGTGGGATGAGTAAAAGCACCATGGTGTGTGGCCTGTCTTGGGAGCCATCATTGCCTGGGAGGCTAGAGCAAAGGATGAAGGAGAGAAGTATGTAGGAAGGGTCACCTTGAGGAATTTCAACATTCGTGTATAGACCATGGGAAAACGGAGGTTTCAAAGCCAGGAGTTGCTTGGCACAATCACTTTGGCTGCAGTGGAGACGATGAATAAAAAAAGTGGGAGAGAAGGAGGCAGGGAGAGCCATGCAGTGGCCTTGAGAAGAGTGTCAGTGGTGAATGTTGGGCAGCAGTAACCAAGATTTATAAGGTAACGTAGGCAAGTCTTTATGTCTAGAAATAGGGGAGGAAATGTATCAACAACCCTGTAATTCCTTGCGTAGGAGAGGGAGGGAACGGGGAACATTCAGTCCACGTTGGAGGAGGACGGAGGACATGGGACACAGAGAGAGATGAACGCAGTTGAGGCACATGAAGTGAGGAGCGGAGAGTGGCATCAGAGACGTGGGGGACACAGGGCAGGGGTGACGGTGACTAGAAGGGGAGAACAACTGAGGGGAAAGATTGCTTTTCTGTTTTGCTTTTACCTTAGGGAAGCCTAGGTTGTCTTTGCAGGCTGACTAAAGAAAGATCAAAGGAAAAGGGATAGTCATAGGGCCAAGTTCTCCTGCCCTGGAAAGAAGCAGGCCTGCATTTCCTCGGGCGAGGAAGGAGGGAAGGCTGGAGGACAGTTGCAGGAATTCCCCTGGGAGGCCTGGCGGGGAAGAGGCTGGGCCAAGACCCAAAGAGATAAAGGGAGTGGGGCTGAAAGAAGCCCCAAGCCGGTGGAAGGCCTTCTGCCCGGAGCTTGATTTCATTTTCAGAATCGCAGAGGTATTCTCAGTGAAAACTCATTTCCGATACTCCCAATCACAGAGCTCTGGAATAAAGCCATATTTACTGCTGGCTTAGTTCTGCATGTCAGTTAATCTGCATGCCAGGCAGTGTTCTGAGCACTGAGAACAGAGCAGCGAACAGATCAGAAAGCACTCCACGTGCTTGTGAAGCGTACTGTGTGGAGGGGAGAGAAGCAGTAAAGAGGTAAAGGTAAAAGCATATGCCAGCAGGTGATATAGAGAAAAATAAGACAAGAGGGAGTGGACAGGGTTGTGATTTTCAGTAGGGTGATCAGGGAAAGTTTCACTGATGGGGTGACATTTTTACAAAGATGTGAAGGAGGTGAGGAAGGGAGACTTGGGAATCCCTGGGGGAAAGCCATCCAGAGGAGCAGCTATTGTGTCCCTGCGCAAGACAGACCCAGTGCCTTCAGAGACCAGCAGGCCCATGCGGCTGGAATAGTGGGAGGGAGGCAGAGTAGCTGACATGAGGTTCCAGGCATACCAGACGTCAGCTTATGGGTCTTACAGGTTACAGGTTTCTGGCAAGACTCTGCCTTTTCTTCTCTCTAGGAAGTAGGAAGCCATTAGAGGGTTTGTGCAGAGGAGGAGCTCCATGATCTGGCTGAATATTTTAAAAGGGTCATTCTGATTGATCTTTTGAGAATAGATTTTGAGGGTGGAGAGGTCAGAGTTGGGAGCAGGAAGAACAGTTAGGAAGCTTTTTTAATAAGAGAGGTGGTAGTGGATGTGAAAATAAGCTTTATTGAATATACCAAATCTAGATAATGTTTTCTAATTGGTAGTTCTTCTGGTAATGAGATCGTGGAGAATCCGTGAACTCACACCAGTGAATGAGAAGGAGGACAATCCAAACACTCTACCTTTTGGCTAAGCAAGGACTCTGACTCTACGTAGACCAAGAGTTACGGGTATCATAGGAAATTGTTATGGTAGAAACATGTAAGGTTTGTGCATATAGAAGGCTCTTCTAGAAATTTTAAGTAAATGATAACATTTACATGAACAATTAAATTAGTTACAGAAAATTTCCTATGAAAGAAATGAAATCTTTATTAATATCCTGCCTTTTTCTTTTCTTTTCAGCTTGGTTGTAAATGTCATGCAGAGGGACTCCATCCCATCAGAGGTGGACTATGAGACCAGGCAGGGAGTTTACTCCATCTGTCTACAACTTGCCAGGTACGTAAATACAACATCTTAGTCTCACAAGGCAGTACTGCCCTTTATTTCTTTTCCCAAATGCTCATATTGAATAGTGTGAAATGACCTCAGATAAGTCTAGCTTTTTGTCTCCTTTGCAGGTTTTTACTTGTGGGACAAACAATGCCCACATTATTAGATGAGGACCTCACCAAAGATGGCATAGAAGCACTTTCTTCTCGCCCATTCCGAAACATCAGCCGGCAGACAAGTAGGCAGATGTCCTTATGTGGTACCCCAGAAAAGTCATCCTACCGACAGCTGTCCGTGTCTGACAGGTCTTCCATTAGGGTCGAGGAAATTATCCCTGCTGCACGAGTTGCAATACAAGTAAGTGACTTGTGTGTTCAAGAGAGGAGAAGTCCTAAGTGACTTGTGTGTTCAAGAGAGGAGAAGTCCCTCCTGTTATAGGGAGGGGCTGTGCACACATAAAATTTCTTGACACGAATGTAGCCTTCACGGAACCTGCAGTGAGCCGAAGAGAGACCAGCAAGGCAGAAATCGCTGTAATTCAAGGTGGGAAGTATCCGGGGTTATAGGAGAGCTACAAGGCCAGAACATTCGTAGGCCTTCAGGGGAGGTGGAACAGTTGCTTTCACCCGTGGCTGTCGTGGACGATTTTACCTAGGAGGTGGCATTTGCACCAGGCCTTAGAGCTAGATGAGGTGACAGAGAAGCATGGAGAGTTGTTCCCTCAAGAGTGCAGGTGTGAGCAAATCTAGAGAGAACAGAGCCTTGTAGGGAGGGTCACGGGGTCGTTCACGTGGCCCAGAACGTACAGTGTGGAAGAGGAGAAACCGTAAAAACCAAATGAGTGACAGGTATCTTAACGCCTGAGCATGGAGGTCAGGCTCTGGGGAACAGGTAGCGGAAGTACTGAGAGTCTTTGAACAGTCTAGAAGCATGAAAAAGGCTGTCCTGTATGATCGTGGAGGAGAATTAGTCTCACAGAACTGAGACCAGTAAGAAGGGGATGGAAGTCAGCAGGAGGAATGTGTTCAGGTGCTTCCTTTTCTCATAACAATCTTCCCGCCCTTGTTTAGACAATGGAAGTGAGTGACTTCACGTCTACTGTGGCTTGTTTCATGAGGTTGTCATGGGCTGCTGCTGCGGGACGACTGGACCTGGTTGGGAGCAGCCAACCAATTAAAGAAAGTAATTCTCTGTTTCCTGCTGGAATCCGAAGCCGACTCAGCAGTTCAGGTACTGATTTAAAAGGATAAAGTCATTAAATCACCAGGCAGGAAATAAGTTGTGAGAGTTACCTATGCATAGGCTGTTGGGAGTCACAAAAAGGAGGAAGCCTTTTCTCTTGCTTTTGAGCATGAGTAGAAACCCATCAAACTGTGCACCTGAGACCCATGCACGTTACTGTACGTAGGTCAGACTTTCCGGGAAAAGCGTTGATAAGCGCAGGGGAAGTGGGGAAACCAGATCAGCAGAGTTTTTAGCTTGCCGAGTGTTGTAAAAGTGCCATGAGGCCAATAATTGGGGCCATAATAAAATTCATCTGGAATTCCTACCTGGAGAAGTCATTTGCTTGGTTTGGCCAGTTATTTTCTGTAAGGCTTTTATAAATTGGTTTCCCTCTTCAATTTTTATATGTATTTTTACCTCAGAAAAAGTTTTAAAAATGTATGACATTCATGGAGTGAAATGCAGAAATGTTAAACGTACAGGCTTTTTAGGATTTCTACGTACGGATGACGCAGTGAGGTAAGGATGAGGAACATTTCTAACATCTCAGGAAGGCTCATGCCTACCAGGCTATTCTGTTCTAACTGCTGTTACCTCAACTGAGTCTTGTGTTCTAAGTACACTGTGAGTGCCTCCGAATGTGTTTTAAAGCAATTGCGGCCAAATAAAGTGATGGTCTCTCATTTCTTAGACCAGAATGTCTCCTTGCACTCTTTACTTTTACTTGAGGATTCTGGAACACATGAAAAGGATATTATGATACCATGAGGGTCTGGTGGGGTCCGCAGTAACATTCTGCTTACCTGTTCCCAGGAAGCAACTGCAGCTCTGGGAGTGAAGGGGACCCGGCAGCCCTGCACGCGGGCATCTGCGTGCGACAACAGTCTGTGTCCACCAAAGACTCGCTGATTGCCGGGGAGGCTCTGTCTCTTCTTGTTACGTGCCTGCAGCTTCGGAGCCAGCAACTGGGTAGGGAGGAGACTTGTTTGCCCTTCATCTCTTTCAGGGAAAGGCCAGGTTTCCGTTGAGAATTACGCACATTCCATCGTAGGAAAGGTCACACTAATAGAAATGGAAAGGGGTCAAAGCTGGCAGGTAGACTAGGTAGGAGGAGTGATTAGAGCGGCCAAATTCTGAACAAGTATTTATTGAGCACCTTCTGTATACAGAGTTCCATGGTTAGGTAGTAAACGGGCAGTATATCTGCTCTCTAGGAGCTTACTGTCTAGTTGGGGAATGAAGACAACCCAGATTTATAGGTCATAAACTGCAGAATTAGAATTCTGTATCAATCCCTGGTGTATCTGTATCAAACTGGTGATGACTCTAGCATTCAAAGTTACAGAACTGCAGATTTTCCCTTTTATCTTCATCTGTGGGCTTTGGCAAACTGGGACTGTTATTAATCACACTTCAACATTAGAACACCCCAGGGTCCAGCCCCTGGTCACTTTCTCTTCTCTGTCTACACCCCTTCTCCCCATGATCTCATCCACCATCACAGCCCCAAACTCCCTCTAGTGTCTGAATGTGGAACTACAGCCTCGCCCATCACCCTGACACCTCCACTTGGCTCTCAAGAAGACTTCACAGGCTTGACGATGGGTCCACAGCCCAACTACCTAGCTGGCCCATACCACACGTGTTTTCCCAGCTAAAGTAAAGAAGTTTCATTCATCTGATTGCTCTGGCCAAAATCCTTGAGTCCTCCTTGATTCCTTTTTCACACCCACTTCTGTCAGCACATTCTCCTTCCAGCCACGTCAGATTCCGCCCTCTGGTACCATCACTGTTACCCTCCCCTGCTCTGGCATCCTCCCTCGCTCGGGTTATACCTGTAGCGCCTTAACAGATCTCCTGCTTCTACCCTTGCAGTTTATTCTCCACACAGTAACCAGAGGGGATGTTCTGAAATGTAAGTCAGATTGTATCACTCCTCTGTTTAAAACCTGGTAGCAGCTTCTCAATTCCCACTGAGTAAAAGCCAAATCTTTACTAAGGCCAGACAGAGTCCACCCTTTCGGGACCATCACCTCCTGCTCTCCCCCTCACTCACTGTGCTTCGACCTCCCTGGCTTCCTACCTGTTCCTCATCACTCCCAGCACATTTCCTGCCTCAGGGCCCTCACACTGGCTGTTCCCTCCTCCTGGTATGTTCTTCCCCATCTTTCCCACGTGGCTCTCTCTGCCTCATTTCCCACAGGTGTGCTTAATCTCAGCTTCTTAGTGAGACATTCTCTGACCACAACCCTCCTGTCCTCCCAGCACTACCTGAACCCCATACCTCGCATAATTTATTTATTGTGTTTATTGTCATCATCCCTCCCCACCTAGATTGTAAGCTCCACAAAGAGACTTTTGTCCATTTTGTTTCCCACCGAATCTCTCACACCCAAACACTGCCCAGTGTATAGCAGGCCCTCAGTAAATATTTATTCAGGAATGAAGTCTTAACAGTTCCACTTCTGAAAGCCCTGTTCTTCCCTATTATTACTGATTCAGACGACCTGTTACATCAGATTGTTGACTGTTAATGTGTTTCGTGTAATAACCAAACTCGTCATATAAGATAAGGTAGATATAGAAAAAGTTGGACATTTGTAGGACAGTAATGTAGTGTCCGAAATTACTTACTTGGAGCAAGAGTGCTTTTGAAGACACATATAAGAAGTACAAGTCATTACGAAATGTTTAGAACAAATGCTGTAACCGTAGTTCAATTTTCCTATAATTGTTTAGTTTTAGAGATATTTTCAAGTCAAGATGAAATAATTACAACTTCCCTTCAAGCTTTTTATCATTTGTACTTTCATTGTAGAATATTGATAGTTTATCAAGGCAAGACATACTGTTCGATAACTGGTGTGTACAAGGTGCTGTGCTAAAATGTGGGGGCAGAGAGGTGACCGAGACATGGTCCTGCTCTTGGACACCTTGGGTTCTCATGGGGGAAACTCAGAGATGTGGAGGCAGTGGAAAGTACTGAATTCATTTCCAAGTAGAAGAGTTGAATTTCTGCTATATTTAAGCTTAAGAAAGTATTCAGAATTTTTGAAATTTTGAAAATGCATTTTCTAACTTGGTTCCCCCCCTCCCGTCCCCAATTCTCTTTATTCTTCTCACTAGCATCCTTCTATAACTTGCCCTGTGTTGCTGATTTTATCATTGATATCCTGCTTGGATCACCAAGTGCTGAGGTAAGGATTTTGTACATTACATAAAACGTCCCCTTGGTCCTCTTCTGTCCACGGTCCTCTGCATACCTGCAACGCGGCGCACAGGGCGGAAGGCATGGCGTCTGGTCCTCTTCTGAGTCCTACAAAGCCCTCCAAGAGCAAAGTGACCATTTGGACACTCTGCCCTCCTTTCTGTTCTGTGTTCCACCAAAAGTTCAGAGAGTAGTACTAAGACTAACTTGTGTTTGTTCACAGCAAACAGTGTTATAGCTGGTGTGCACCCGCAGCTGGCGTTCAGTGTCACCATTGTCAACATTGTCAAATCCAGAGAGACCAGCTTCAGGCCATGAATTCCCACTAGATTTTATAATTCTGATTTTCTTATTTGACCTTGAAAATTAATTTTGAAATACCTGAAGAGTTTTTTCTTATTTTCATTTATATTAAATTAAATTATGAAACTTTAGAGTAGGAGACTGGAATAATTTGGGGGATCAGTTCTCTGAACACGCTTCTTTTTAATCAGCCCTAGTTTATTCAATGTAAACATTACCAGTAGTGATGAAAACATTCTCATCCTGATAGCCTCCCTCAGAGTGTGGACTTCAGAGGAAAATCACTTTGTAAGCAGTGTCTAAGTGTTGACTGATGTGTGTCCTTCACCACTGATGATGTAATTTCAGATTCGCCGTGCTGCCTGTGATCAGCTATACACTCTTAGTCAGACAGATACTTCAGCTCACCCAGATGTACAGAAGCCAAACCAGTTTCTCCTAGGTGTGATTCTCACGGCTCAGCTACCTCTCTGGTCCCCGACTAGTATTATGAGAGGAGTCAATCAGAGGTATGGAATCTAGATTAAAGTTCATGTTAAACTGAAAGAGAATAATGATTTGTGTGCCGCTCCCCTGAAGTCATTGTTGAGATGACAGGAGATTTTCTCCTTTCCTTCTGTAACATTTGTGTCCCAAACGAGGGCTTTTTAGTTCTTATTATCCCCACTCAGGACGGGAGAGTTAGAGGAAACACTACACTGCCAGGCTTCCTTCCCCTTGAATCACTTCCACCTCCCACCTCCACCTGAGCTGGTCTATCACCCCCAAGAGAAAGAAGAGCTCACCTGAGTGGTGAGAGGCTGAAATTATGGGAGCCCCATCACTTGATGAAGGTCATACTGCTCATGTCTTTGAGTTTGTCACTCAGATCAGCATACTTCCGAACTCCCTATCTAGATGTAGCTGGGGTGTCCTTCTAGCTCTCTCCCTTGGTTTTACAAGTACCCGGGCATGGAGGGAAGCTGTGGTCCAGGCTGATGGAAGGGCTTGGATAAGTCCATTCTGCCCACCCTGCCGTATCTCTGTGGGCTAGCCTGCGTGCCAGGCTGCCCCAGTCTGGGCCCAGGATGGGAGGGAGGAGATCTCACACCCACCTCCACTTTCTCCAACTTTGCTTCACCAGAGAAACCTTGTCATAGGACATGAAAGGTACCACTGAGATGTGTGAAACCAGTATTTGCTTTTCTTATGTATATATTTTACAAATGAGAATTTTGCAAGGGAAGAAATGTTAGAGCCCCAGCCTCCTACATTTGGATAAGTATCCAGAGCCCCAAGTTTGTATCCAAACTTGGTCTGTTTAAGCATACGTAAGCATTTAAGCATAAATTCAGTGGTATTAAGTATATTCTCATTCTTCTGCAACCATGGCCACCATCCACCTCCAGAACTTCTCATCATCCTGAACTGAAACTCTGGACCTGTTAAGTCATGAAATAAAAGGCTGATAAATTCAACTCCACAAAAATTAAATTATTCTGTGTGGAAAAAAATACCATGAAGTCAAAAGTCAGTTCACAGACTGGCCGAATAGATTTGTAATGGGACAGACAAGAAACTCATTTAATAACATATATAAGAAGCTCTTAGAAATCACTAAATAAATGACCCAACAACCAAACTGAAAAATGGACAAAGGACATGAAGAGACAGTTCGAAAACAAGTGTTTTTTTTTTATTTTTTTAGATTTGCTAGAATTTTTTTTTTGCTGCAACAAAATGTACATAAAATTGATCATTTTACTCATTTTTAGGTCTAGAGACCAGTGACATTAAGTACATACACAGTACACATTGTTGGGCAGCTTTCCCCACTACCCATTCCCAGAACTTTTTCATCTCAAACTGAAACCCTGTACCCACTAAACTTTAATTCCCCATTCACTCCCCCTCCCCCATTCTACCCTTTCCAGGTTCATCTGTGTCATGGTTTCATCTCTAACCAAGACTGAAAAATACTTCCTTTGTCTGTTCTTTCTTTTGTTGCCTGTGCTCTTGGCATCATATCTTAAGAAATCATTGCATAATCTAATGTCATGAAGTTTTCCTGCTATATATTCCATCTTTTTTTATAGTTTTCCTTCTTGCATATATGTGTTTGATCCATTCGAGTTAAGTTTTTTGTGTGACAGAAAGTAAGAGTCCAGCCTCAGTCTTTTCCATGTGGATAATCCAGTTGTTCCGGCACCGTTTTCCCCATTGAATGCTTTTGACAACTCTGGTGAAAAATCCTTTGCTTGCTTGCTGATTGATTGGCTTTTCATTTCTGTTCCATCGATCTGTGTGTCTTTACACCAGCACTACACAACTTTGTTGCTCTAAGTGTCGTATTCTGTCCTGGTTTTCTTTCAGCGTTGTTCGTCCTTCTCACTGTGTGAGTCTTCTGCTTCCTTCATTAAGTGGATGCCTAAGTACTTTACTCTAATTGATACTATTGTAAATGGAATTGTTTTCTTACTTTTCATATTGTTTGTAGGTGTATGGGAGCAAAACTGATTTTCATGTCCCAATTGGGTATCTTGCAACTTTGCTGTATTTGCTGATTAGTTCTAAATTACTTTGTGTGGACTCTGGGGTTTTCCATATATAGGACCATGTCATCTGCACAATTAGAATTATACTTCTGTGTAAGCCATTTTTTAGGAAGTAAACTATTGCACTTAATACTTTTTGTAGACTCCAATTATTTAATATAACTAAATGTTAAGAGTTTGATTTTCTGGTAAATTTCTCAAAACTCAGGAAAAGAAATAAAGCATTGGATGAGTTTTTAACATTTTGAAACAATCTCTTGGATGTAGAACATTTAACTTCACATAAAATTAAATCTTTAATTTTTTTTATAATTTGAAAAATGTGTTTCACAGCTTACTTGAATGCCCAGGTTTGGCACATTTCTTCCATATTAGTGATGACAGTACTAGCATTACTGTGGTCTGATTGTGCGCCATGCAGCATGCTAAGTTCGTTGCATTTCTTTATCATTTATGTCACAAAGGACAAATGAGCTTATCAGTTATATTATCTCCTTAATAATCATAATTCTTGGTTCATTCTCTATTCTTCTCATTAGTATATTCTTAAGCCTTTTATGAATGTGCATGTATATGTGTGTGTGTTTATTTCTAACACTCTAACAAGCATTTTAGAAATTAGAAACCAAAGAAATTGGCCCTAGACACCCAACTATAAGTGATGGAGCCAGGAATAAAACCAAGGTGCCTTGACTTGAAATTTTGTGCCCTTCGCTACTTTAATTGCAGAAAAGCTTAACTGATCATCCTAGATAAAAGAATTTACCTTTCTCTCCTCTTGCTCCACTTTATTTTTCTTCTTAGTATCACCAGTTAACACATGTATTTTTTAAATTTGTTTGTCTCTTTTGTTCCTTTTCACCTGTTCCTCTAAAACAGTTCCAGGCATGTAGTAAGTGCATAGTAAATACCGGTTGGTATTTGAATGAATGAGTGTGATCTAGTTGATGTATTCAGTCAGTCCGTACATCATTACAAAATGGGAGATTTAGTAAGTTTCTTCTTTTTACACTATTACTTCTGTAGTGTATCTGTATTAGCAGAATCTTTAGTATGCTTCTTGCTAAGATACTAAAGTTGAATTGATGTAAAAGTAGTTCTTTTATGCTTAGGAAAATTCCATTGTTCAACTATTTTATGAACCTGTTCTTACAAGGAAAATGCTTTTTATTTTAAAATTGACCTTTTTTAATACTTGAAATCTTATCTGTTTTTTAGACTGTTATCTCAGTGTATGGAGTATTTTGATCTAAGGTGCCAATTATTAGATGATCTGACAAGTAAGTAGATGTAGGACTTTGATTTGTGGGGAAAGGGGGGGGGAGTAGAAAAGAAAGCCAAATGGACATTTCTATATCTGACTTAATGTATTTTCAATATAAATGAGATTATATTTACTTGTTTGAAATTGAATTTTATTTTCTTGAAACTTGCACATAAGCCCATATACCAGTTCTCTTTTCTACTAGCATATACTCAGCCATTAAAGTATTGAGAAGATTTGTTGATTTTAAAAATTGTCAAAGACACATGTTTTAATTACACCAATACAGAACTGTTAGGAAGAGCTTTTCTCCCTAGTATAGTGAATTCTGACCATTTTAAAGGTCGATCACTAAAGGAAAGAGGGAATCACTGTTGAGGTATGTTGATAACGATAGAAGTCCATTAATTATTTAGTGTTAGGTGATTGAAGTGTTGTTCGAAATTTTAGTGTTGGAGCATTTAGATTTTGATCATCTGTGCTTACTCATGTATAAGGCAGAGGTATGCTGGGGTGATCTGTGTAAATTTTAGTTGTTCACATCAAGAGTTTATTAGTTCATTCCCCATTCTCTACATAAAAAGATTTGCTTCAGCTTCCAGGAAATAAATAAAAATCAGGATGGACAAAGGATTCATTGGAAATACTAATTGGGAAAGAATGTCCAGACTGGGGGAGTTAAACAGAAACACTGTGCCTGTGTGCGGGCGCTAAAGCTTCACACAGTCAGAATTTGGTCATGAGGTTGCTGGCAGTCAGAGGGAAACAGGAAACAGCATATGTTTGCTGTTGTCAGGACCCTCGAAGAAAACTGAATGGTTTCTCAAAAGAAACAGATCTTTTTGATGGCACTTAAATCTGAAAGGAAGCTCGCGAAGAGGTCTTTGTCAAGGACACATGAAGACATAGTGACTGTAAGCCTCCGCGTAGGTCTCCAAGGCAGATGCCTTCATCCGTGTCCCAAGTGTCTCTTGAAGGTGGGAGAGGCAATGCTCTGAGTGGTGCAGTGAAACAGGGGTGTTGAAGTCTGAGATAATGTAGTTGGAGTGCATGCCTGTCCTCTAGACACATGGGCTGGGCGGGTGACATGTCCGTCTAGCCGAGTGCCACATTTTTCAGCCAGGCTTCTGTTGAAAGCTGGGTGGCAGCCAGCAAGGTTTGCTCTCTGGCTTGGACTTGGTGAGGGTGGTGTGCTTTGCCTATCGAGGGCTGGAACCATGAATTGGCTGTGACACATACGACTATAGAAGTCATGAACAAGCACTTCACATAGGCCTTCCCTGTGTCACTGACTGACAAATGAGGGAATCCAGGGTGCCTTGTGGGAATGTTGAATGCAGAGTGGGAGTAGTAGCAGTAGTTGTCATTTGGGGAGTAATTTGTATATGCCAGTACCTACGCTAGGCACTTCAAACCCAGATCCCTGCCGTCTAGGTGTTAGCCGAGGGTCCACTGTGAGTAAGTGGACTCCTGTCCCGTGCTGGTCCCACTCTGACTGACCCTGAAGTATTCCTCTTCACCTCATCCTGTGGGACCTTACCGCTCTTGGCTGTTTTGACTCGGAAGGAGAGCGCAGTCACATTTTCTCTCCTCCCCAGTCCCATCTTCTGGGACGGAATCTGGCTTTACTCCTTATTTAGAGGAGAGCAAGAGAACTTACTACAGCAGAGCAGAGTAGTTCTCCAGGGTTTGGTACACTGTCCAGAAATACTGTGCTGTGGACCTCCTCCTTTGCAGGACTCCCTTGGCCTAGGTGACACTGCGGGAGCATTGGCTCTCCTTGTACCCTCATTCTTGCCTCCGCTCGGGACACGTGCTGGCACACACACACACATCCTGCCCCCAGACTAGGAGCTTCTTCAGAACAAGATTGTCCCTTCCTGAGACAAACCATAAGAGATTCTTAATCTCACAAAACAAACTGAGGGTTGCCAGGGGGAGGGTGGGAAGGAGAGGGTGGTGGGGTTATGGACATTGGGGAGGGTATGTGCTATGGTGATTGCTGTGAAGTGTGTAAACCTGGCGATTCACAGACCTGTACCCTGTACCTGGAGCTAATAATATATGTTTATAAAAAATTTTTTTAATTATTAAAAAAAAAAAAAGATTGTCCCCTTCCTGACCTGCACAGAGGGGCCCTCACTACATGTTTGGTTTAGGACTGAGAGAGTGAGTGGGTAAGGAGTGAGTGCGCATGCGCTGTCCCAATCCTGGGGCAGCAGGTCCAGGCCACTGTTTGTTAATGACCGCTGTCTCCGATGGAGGAAATGGAAGGTTGGGACTTGACTTTGCTACTGTAATTCAGGATTTGGACTCCATGAGGGGAAATCCTTCTTTCTTCAAATGGACTTTTTTTTCCCCCCTAAGCTTCAGAAATGGAGCAGTTAAGAATCAGCCCAGCGACTATGCTCGAAGATGAGATCACTTGGCTGGATAACTTTGAACCTAATCGCACCGCTGAATGTGAGACCAGTGAAGCAGACAACATCTTATTGGCAGGACACTTACGGCTCATTAAGACCCTTCTCTCACTCTGTGGGGCAGAAAAAGAAATGCTTGGTAATTATTGCTTCATCTTCCCATGTGATAGAATACCTCGCTTCTTAGTTACTGCCGTAGTAGTGTGTGTAATTAGGAAAATAGAATAGATGCTCCATGCTCCATAGAAGACTGGCCCTTCAGGTAAAACGAGATTACCTGGGATTTTAGTGGCTAACAAACTTAAGGTTTGTTTTACCTGCGTCATTAAACCATGTAGAGAATTTTATAGTATTCAAAACGGATCATGTAACTTCTTAATATCAAGTAAAAATTAATTCAAAGTAGGGTTTTCTCTTTTTGCTATTTTGTGCTTTATAAAATGTTATCTGTTGTAAGTCTCACTTATTTTAAGGGTAATTCTCATCTGGGAGGCAGCCCCAACCACCACCCCCTGCGTAGTGGGGTACATATGAGTGTCCTGGGGTACACATATAATTTATGAGGGCATATTCATTATTATAAATTATATTCAGAAAATAAGTCAAAACATTAATTATTACTTTTATCACACAAACTAAGCTCTATAAAAATCTTCTTGGCTACTGGGGATACATAGAAAAGAGTGATTCTAAACCAGGGTGAGAAGGGCACATCATTTTACCCAAAGAAGGCAAGATTTTAAAAGTTTCGGAAACCGTGCCCCCTCCACACACCCAGAGTAAGAATTAATTGTTCACTCAAACTGTTCTGCCTTGTGGTGGTCTTCGCATTTGTGTTTCTAAAGTGAAAGCATGGCTTCTTTCACTCCACCGTCAGCTCCTAGAGGAAGGTACCCTTGCTTCTCTATCCTTGTTCCCTGGCCACGGCCCTCCAGCCCCTTCCCACCCCTCTGCCCCACAGAGCTTTGCTATGTGTTATGTAAGTGCTCACAAAATAAGCATCAGATAAAATTGAATGCCCTGCCATTGGGTGGCCTTGGGTGCCTTTGCTGCTCTGATATGAAAGTACAAAAACAGGATCTTTGAATTAAAATGTGTTCCTCCTCAACATGAATATTATGCTCTATTCCAGGTTCATCACTCATTAAACCATTGTTAGATGACTTCCTTTTCCGAGCTTCTAGAATTATTTTAAATAGTCATTCTCCAGCTGGCAGTGCCGCCATCAGTCAACAGGACTTTCATCCAAAGTATGGAAAATGCACGTTGTGTTCAGTTTTGGTAAAAATTCTAATTCGAAACTCTAGTCCAAAAAAGATTTTCTTAACTTGGAATTTGTCGTCCATCTCGTGAGTGTGTGTAGTTATAATATCCACTATATAAAGAAATGCATGTAAAGGGGCTTAGGATAAAGCCTGTCTGGCACATAATAGGTGCTGAGCCGTGTATGCTGGAACCAGTCTTATCATCCAGTTGGAAGAATAAGTAATAAATTATGTGGCTAACTTGGTCGGTAACAAATTCCAAGAGAAACTGAGGTGGTAAGGATTATGTCCAAAGTAAAAGTAAATAGGCTCAGAATCTCAAGAGTTTCTTCTCGGAGGAATGTAGGTGCTGTAGTGCATGAACTGTGATTTGCTGTGTATCTGCCATGTCCTGATAATTACAACTGCTAGTGATTTATTGTGGTAATTTTAGAATCCCATATTGTATTCGCTTTTATGGGTAGAAATTTAAAAGATCTTTTTGTAATATTGACCCTACTTGGGTGCTCCTAGAGCTAGGAGGAGGCTGCTTCATGCTTCCCGTCCTTCCTCTGAATCCAACTTACTTTGCTCTTAGGAAAACCAGAGTTAATTAAATAATCCTGAAGGAACTGGGGATTGGATATTTAACCAGTGAAAAATATTCCCATATAATCGTAGTGGTTATTGGAATGGGCAAGGCCTAATAAGCAGTATTTCATGGAATCTTAAACTATATCTTACCATGTGTGAGTATTTCTCTGTGTAGAGTTTTTTTACTAGCAAAATCTGTTTCAGGTCATAAACCTTCCTTAGCTCTCTTGGGCTGTCTCTTGGGCTGTGACTCCCATCTTCACCCCTGCTCCAGTCTTGTTCTGGAATATCTGGTGCTAGCTCCATGGGAATCTTTTTGAAAGCAGTAGAAACACAGGAGTGTTCCAGCTTTCAGTGAATGGAGAAAATAAATCTTCAGTAGTTTGGTTTTTTTTTTTTTTATTTAAATGCAGATAACCTATAGAGTATTCTTAGTTTCAGAGGTAGAGTTCAGTGGTTCTTCAGTGGTTTTATTGAAATTTTATTCATGAATCCTTTTCCTTGTATTTATTAAAAGCAGCCCCTCCATCAGCAGGGAGTTGGGTTGTTTTAATCGCGCACAGCGCCTTGAGTAGAAAACTCGGCATTTTGTCTCATCCTCCCCTGTGTACTGAGTGATACTCATTCATCACAATGACTCCCCGCCCTTTCCCACCTAAACCCTAAAGCCAGAGAGAGAGTTACAGTACACAGAAGTGTTTTCACGAGTAATGCTTACTAACACTAACAAAAGAAATTTTTCACATTTAGTCCGTGTGTACAGTACCTCGTATGTGTTCTTTACGGGTCCTTTGCAATCCAGAAGTCCAAAAAAGAAGCCAAGGACAGTGCCAGCTCCTGGGCGCTGTCCTCAGGATGTGGTGCTGATCTAAGAGCCAGCCCTGTGGCCCTCATTCCCCAGCCCATGAACACATCTCCTACACTGCACTGCATATGTGTTTCTCTCAGAGGTTGGATGTCCTCTTTTCTGTGTATCCTTCCTAACCTGTGATCGTCTCAGTAAGGCAAGGTTGGCATAGGTGACACTGAGAAGTTACTGTCCATCCCCAAAATGATGTCTACTAAAGGTGAGCAACATCAGAAGCCTTTAGTTTCCTGCAGGATGCTTGCTAGTTACCTTTTATCATCATTTTTAAACAAAATTAATTTAGCATACCACACATTTCTGCCTCCATTTTCTTAGCAAAATGAAGCAGATTCATGTCCTTGAAGAATTTTTTTGTTTTTGTTTTTTTTAAGTCTTCAGGCACAAATAGGCATTTACGGGCATTTATTGTGATTTGTATAGCTTTCCTTTTCTGCCATTTAGATATTTGAATTTCAGGGTGATAACAAAAATTGCTCTTGCTACTCTCATGTTGTCTTTGATAAAATTTTTGGACTCTTTGTCCTCCTTTTTTGCTGACCCAAACCTTAGATAAAAATACTCTAGTCCTAAGTAAGAGATTTTGCTACTCTATCAGGCCAAGAAGATATTTAACTCTCAACCATAATCATCCTTCCTGTATTCATGGCCTCTTCCTTTAAGTAAACACTTCCCCCTGGGTTCCTGGAGTTCTGCCATCAGACCTGATTAGCCCTGTTTGAGGAACTGCAGCTCTAATACTTTCATTTCAAATGTTGATTTAGTTTAATGAGCTATCTAAGTAGACTATTCACTGTTGGAATTGACTGGGGTCTTCTGTTTTCAGGTGTAGTACAGTGAATAGCAGATTGGCAGCCTATGAAGTCCTGGTGATGTTGGCTGATAGCTCACCTTCAAATCTGCAAATTATCACAAAAGAACTGCTTTCTATGCATCATCAACCCGACCCTGCTCTTACTAAGGAGTTTGATGTAAGTTTTCTAGACCTTGACACACGTCGTGTTTTTGGAATGATCAATTAAACATACAGCTTTAAAGCTTATGTTTGCTTTATCTAATCACAGAGAAAGTATTATTCGTATATACCTATCGTGTTCACCTACTCTAATCAACTAGAAACTACAAAGTTACTTTATTGCCATTGTCATACTATATTACTCCGCAGTACCCTTTTTCTTAACTAAAGAGGAGACGTGTTCAAGTCAGCTGATAGTCACTTTCAGAAAGAAGTAGCACTTCAGCCTATTTGTGGAGTAGCTGGGGGCGGGGGGGCACAGTGCCCTGCACTGCAAATACCGACTCAAGACAGTGGCTCTGCCACTGTCTGCATTCATTAAGATTCAGCTAAGAGTTACTGGGCTTACTAGGCACTAATAGGTGTGTTGGGCTTTGGAGCTCCTAAATGAAGATAGGATTCCGGCCCTTGAGAGAGGCAGTGTATAATGGAGGAGACAGAGCCATAGTCAGGTAATTTCAATATAATGTGATGAATTTTAAGAGACAGGTCATGTCCCAAATGCTCTACCAACAGAGAGGCACTTCACCACCAGGTGGCGGTATCTTTAAGAGCTGGGGAGCCTAGGTGGCTCAGTTGGTTAAGCGCTCCACTCTTGATTTTGGCTCAGGTTGTGATCTCAAGGGCGTGAGATGGAGCCCTGCCTTCAGGCTCCCCCGCTCAGCGAGGAGTCTGTTTTTCTCCCCCCACTACAACCCCCCACCCCTGCCCCACTGTCTCTTCCCCTCCCCTGCTCATGCTCTCTCCCAAAAATAAATAAATCTTTCAAAAAAAAAAAAAAAAAAGAGAGAGAGAGAGAGAGAGAGAGCTCTGATGCCTCACAAGCCACCCGAAGCACAGTGGGAAGGTCATTCCAGCAGCGAAAGGCTACAGGACGAGGCTCTAGGGCCGGCCAGCAGTTTAGTGTTGGTTGAGCTCTGCAGGAGGGAAGCACACCGCAGGCACGCTGCAGTACCAGACCGGGATGGGAGGATGCCTTTAGAGCTGCCTCCGTGTTCTCCACGAACATCGCAGTCAGGTTTATCCGTTTGGAAGCCTGAGCTGAGTACTATGCAGCATACGGGGAAGGAGGGAAAGGAAGGGGCACCAGATAGAGAAAATAGCATTTGCAAAATGAAATATGAGCATGGAAAATAGAAACTGTTTTTGTGTTAAAACTTTCAGTTTATAAGTATGTTTTTAGTTTTACATTATTTGTTTAATAGATTTAAATGGAAATTTTATTTTTCTCATAAGGGATTGTATCAGCAGCATGAAAAAAGCATTTGCCTCATATAAATACTTATTTTTTAGCACTATTATGAACTCACTTTTCTTATTTTGTAGCTTTTTTAAAATCTCTGCTTTGGGCTACAAATAAATTGTAGTGTTGATTAGATCTTAGAAATCCCCCTGCTCTACATGTATGTCAAATGTTAGTGGAAGGTATGTCCTATTTAACAATTCCCTGAGGTCCAAAAGATCTATAGGCTTTTGTCAGTTGGTTATTACATGGATGCAGGTACTTGAGCTATGCAGGTTAGGTGATTCTGGGTATGGCCTTAGAACCAAGATTCTGCTGACATGGCATTCAGTATCCTTTTCAACTTGGAGAAGTGCCATGTTCAACTTCATCCAAGATGCCTTCCCTAGATTATTTCTAACCAGAAAAACATTGTAACAGAGTTAGTATAAGGCATCTTTAAGTGCAGTGCAAGCATAATTACTTATTTAATTGTATGCTTACTATAAGTTATTCTGTAGAAGAATGTTACTTTCTTAAAAAGGAAGGGAAGGAATATGAGCCTTCCTTGACCATTCCGACTGGCCAGGATTCTTCATAGTAAATACTTCATAGAGTCCTATTTGTTTTTTGCAGAGTATTACCTCAGTTTGTAAGTAGATATATTTACTTGACTGATGTCTGTGTACTCTGCTAGACTGTGAGCTCCTTAGGATAAGGGACCACATATACCTCCTGAGGGCCTGGCACATAGTAGCCTCTTTGTGAGTTTTTGTTGAATGATAGGTGACAGAATGCATGACTACCAGATGGACAGACAAGTAAACAGTATGTTAGGTACTTCATGAATAGAAAAGGAACTTTGAGATAGTAGTATTTTTTATTTGTATTTGCATCTGCAGAGGTATTTCAAGAACATAGGTTGGGTTAGCCTGACTCCTAGTCCACTGGATAGATGAGTCTGTGAGTTTCTGTTTTTCCCTCTCAGCCCCGGTGCGCATGTGCTGGTGGCAGATACACTCATTCTCTGTCTACCATTTCCCTTCCTCTGTTTCCTAGTACCTTCCACCCGTGGATAGCAGGTCCAGTTCCGGCTTTGTGGGACTGAGGAATGGCGGCGCCACGTGTTACATGAATGCAGTCTTCCAGCAGCTATATATGCAGCCCGGGCTCCCTGAGGTGACTTCTCTCTTCTTTCCTGTATGGTATGAAAGAGAATGTGTACATGGCCTGAAAATTGTCCCAGATTTACAGATCACAGATCACAATGTTGACTAAAGCTAGACATAACTAGGGATTTTGTCAGAGCTTCTGAAATACATGTAGACAGCATGTTGGTGGTTATGTTTTTATAAATTTGCTGAGGGCGTGTGCTGCCTATTTGGCAGATAGACTTGACTAAGTGGGAATTTTGAATGAGGTTACTCTCAAATTCTATTCCATAAAATTACTTTATGTTTTTAGTATTTTAGAAAAATTTAGGGTCTCTCATTCATGCTTTGTAATAGTTCTGTTGACCCTTGAATGCAGGAGTTAGGAGCACTTAATGCTCCGCCCTCCCAGTGCGGTCAGAAGTTTGCATGTAACTTTTTACTCCCCTAGAACTTAACTACTGACAGCCTACTGTTGACTGGACACTTAACTCCTATTCTGTGTGTTCTGTGTATTACATACTCTATTCTTACAATAAAGTAAGCTAGGAAAGAGAAAATACATTTATGGTACTGTTCTGTGTCCAAAAAAACCATGTGTACCTGGACTCGTGTGGTTCAAACCATGTTCGAGAGTCAGTCTGTACCAGAAGTTGGTGCTATAGCAGTTAGTAGTTTTGAGAATATTCTATGTAGATCATTTTTCTTTCATAGAGATACTGGTATCGCTAGTTCCAGTTTTTCATGATCAAACTGAGCCTCAGAGAAATGACGTGTCCTTGATTCCACCAACTCAGAAGTAACTAAGGCTAACCCTACTCAGAGCTGTAGCCTCATCCAGACGTACAGAGTGTTGTGACAGCAGTGTGGGTGGTACACATGCGTCTGCCCAGGGCCCTGAGCAGCAGTGAACTAGTCCTGGCTCATGCTCCTCGTTTCTGTCCTTTCCATGTAGTCATTACTCTCAGTGGATGATGACACAGACAATCCAGACGACAGCGTGTTCTACCAGGTGCAGTCTCTCTTTGGGCATCTGATGGAAAGCAAGCTGCAGTATTACGTACCTGAGAACTTCTGGAAGGTATGTTATCCAGTTAACTCTAGATTTCAAGATACTGGATCCTTGGATCTGGCGGTAATTGTTTCTGTCTTTATTGGTTCTAGACTGATCCCACTGCCAGGAATCTACAGAAGAATGGGCTACACCATTCTGCTTAAGATTGATGCTTGATTTCAAATGATTAGAAGATTAAAAAGAGTCATTTATAATTTTAGGGATCTGCTGATCTTAATGATTTTGAATATTTCTCATGATTCTAATTTTGGCTTTTGGGAGTATTTGTTCAAATTATCCCAATTCACTAATGTCCTAAATGAAGGACATTACTCTGTTTCACAGGAGGAGTACCTGGTATCTTCCCCTGTGGTTCAGATAGTTCTAAAACGGAAACTCTGTTCCGTGGCCTCAGATCCCACCCTGTGTGGCCTCACAAACTTGTGACAGTAACACGGGGGCCAAGAGCAAGCCTAAGTAGCCAAACACAAGCTTATCACACTTCAGTGAAAGTGTCTACTGCCCTAATAGGGAATTTGGTTTTTAGAAGCGCTCAAGTGCTCTCTCACATTTGTGTTCTACCGTGTTCAGATATTGCTAACTTTTCCTTTAACGGTGTATTTAATTCTTGTTGCATAGATTTTCAAGATGTGGAACAAAGAACTTTATGTGAGAGAACAGCAGGATGCATATGAATTCTTCACTAGTCTTATTGATCAGATGGACGAATATCTTAAGGTAGGAAACAAATGTCACTTTCTTTCTGACTCCCTCAGACTCTAATACAAGAGCGGTGTGGCAGGATGGCCATTACTGTGAAACTGGCCAGTCAGAATCTGGTCATCTTTAATACCACAGCTGTGAGTCAGTTCTTCTGGCGGGGTTTGAACATCAAAAGAGACTAGACTTCTTTTCTTTATTCATGCAACTCTTGGTGAGGTGTGGAGCTCTTAACCTGTACTCCGGAGTGACCACTGGGGGTGCCCCAAGGTAGCCTGGCTTCAGGCATGCTGCCCTCACTAGGGACCCACCAGCCCATGCTCTGCAGTCTGAATCTGCCAGAGGGCCAGATTAGAGTTGTCTGTGGGGGTGTGTGAGCCCAAAGCTTCCTGCCCCCACCTAGCATGACGTGTGACCAGCTTCCCTAGTTACAGGGCACCTCCCAGTGAAGCAGGAGACCCAGGTTACTTGTTTCCTTTTTCAGATCATTTAGGAATATATAGCATTTTATCCACAAGAAGGAAGAAAAGATTAGGGAGAGTTGCTCCTAACCCAGTGGTCACTGCGGGCAGTGTGGGGAAAGGATTCAGAATCACCACTGAGTGCTGTTCTTGTCACCAGCAGGGACTGGGCCATCTCCTCTTCCTTCACCAACAGGTTAGGCTGTTTTGAGAGTCGGGCCAGTGGCTTTCAGTCGTCCCATTTGATCCCAGCTTAAGCTAGCAACATGACTCCCTGTATTTTAGCTGTTAAGTTGAAATCTGCACTTTAACTTAGGCTTAGATAAAATTCTGTGTAAGCGACCTATAAATTCTAGGGGCATCAACTAAAATTCTATCCCTTTATTCCAACAGAAAATGGGGAGAGACCAGATTTTTAAGAATACTTTCCAGGGCATCTATTCTGATCAGAAGATCTGTAAAGACTGTCCTCACAGGTTAGTGAAGATACCACGGACATCAAAACTGATCATCTTCATTTTTGGGTTTTTTTCCGCTTAATTGGTAGTACTTTATTGATTTTCATCCATGTTCTACTTGACTAAAGTGACAAGATCTAAAAATTTCAACTATGATATTTTTTAATAGTATTTTTATTTCTTAAGCTGTTGTAACAATTTATTGGCATGTTTGAGTTGAGCCAATTTCTAGAATATTCAGATTCATGCTTAGTGTTAGGCAAATCATGATGCAAGCAGAAGCTTCCGTATTCATGTATTTAAGGTGGAGCTTTAAGAGTACTGTAAGTTTCATCTGTCAGTACATGGATTTCCACAGGAAGTCACAAATCCTCAAACAGAAAAGTTGGCTCATTTTGTTAAGCAACTGCCTTCGGCTCAGGTCATGATCCCAGGGTTCTGGGATCGAGCCCTGTGTCAGGCTCCTCGCTCAGCAGGGAGCCTGTTTCTCCTCTTCCTCTTCCTGCTACTCTCTCTGCTTGTGCGCACACTTGCTCGCACGCTCTCTCTCTCTCCCCTTCAAATAAATTAATTAAATTAAAAAAAAAAAAAGCATGTGTTCCCTGGGTTATCCTGATGCAGATACTAAGCTCGGAGGAAATATTTTTGCAGTAGAAAAAGGCTTCAGTATTGAGGTGAAAACATGGAAATTGCCAGTTGGCTACAGTAGTACAGCACATGATCGTCATCCTTTTTAAATGATGCTGCTGGTATGTCATGAATTTTTTATTGTTGAGAGACTTACAGATCTCTCTCTAAGTGGACCTATAAATGTTTATTGAATTAAGTTTCTCTGGTTTCCACTTCTAAAATTCTTTGCTGAAAATCATGATTTTTTAAGGAATTTCTCATCATCAAAAATTGATTACCAGTGATTAATTTCCCTGTTTATGAATGTAGTTCTCTGTACAGTCTCAGGTATTGTGATTGTTTCAAGACCTTTACATTCCACTGTTTGATTATGTTTTTCCTGTGATTTCCTAACCAGGTATGAGCGTGAGGAAGCTTTCATGGCTCTCAATCTTGGAGTTACTTCATGTCAGAGCTTGGAAATTTCTTTGGACCAGTTTGTTAGAGGAGAAGTTCTAGAGGGCAGTAATGCATATTACTGTGAGAAGTGTAAAGAAAAGGTATTACATTTGCCTTTTTTTAGAAAACAAGATTAATTTGTTACTCGTTTGTGTTTTATGTGAGGGCAATATTAAGCTTCTAGTGTTGTTCCCATTAAATTGTGTTGTTACCTGTTTTTACCTGGGCAGGAGAAGCCCATGGAAATCTCTGACCTTTATATGATTTGGCTGTTTTATTTCCTCCATGGAGATAATTGGGTTTTGCTTTTCTTTAGAGAATAACCGTGAAAAGGACCTGCATTAAGTCTTTACCTAGCGTCTTGGTAATTCACCTAATGAGATTTGGATTTGACTGGGAGAGTGGACGCTCCATTAAATACGATGAACAGATAAGGGTAACTTCTTTTCATTCCCCCCGAAATACTTTACAACCATGACCTCACCTTTCCACTGTTTACTTTTTACATGTTTAATTTCCATCTCTACTGTGAAAGGCTGTGGTCTCAGCATTCAGAGTTATACAGGGCCCCTTGTCTTAAGCAGCTGCTGCCACTGGACAGGCACATCTGGGAACAGCCCTCCTCTCTAGAAGTCGTCCTGGCCAGAGTGTGGAGGCGGGCCTAGCTAGAATTAGGAAAACAGCCCTCTTATTTGAATCTGACTTAATGGGGTACTGCTGTCTGTGTTACTCATCAACACTAATGTGGTCTTTTTGCTTTTAAATAGTTTCCCTGGATGCTAAACATGGAGCCTTACACAGTTTCAGGAATGGCTCGCCAAGATTCATCTTCTGAAGTTGGTGAAAACGGGCGAAGTATGGACCAGGGAGGTGGAGGATCCCCACGAAAAAAAGTTGCCCTCACTGAAAACTATGAACTTGTCGGTGTTATTGTCCACAGTGGACAGGCACACGCGGGTCACTACTATTCCTTCATTAAGGACAGGCGGTAAGAGGGACTCACGCCACTTCCTCCTCCTGCCTTCCAGTAGTCCTACTTCCACTTCCTCTGCATTCCTGTCCCTTCTCCATTCCTCTTGCCCTCCTCTGTCCCTCCTTTGCTCCCCCTGCCCTGCTCTTACCATCCATGCCTCTGAGTGTAGTGTAGAGAAGCTACATTGCATTGCTCTTTGGTATATTTCATATTGGATTTTTAAAATGTACTGTAACTGTTTACCTCTTCAGTTGGAAAAGTTTTTTTAGAAGTTTAAGTTTTTTTCTTGAGTATTTTCTAATAGTAGTCATCCTATGTATGTGTAGACAATACTTAGAGATAAAGGCTGGGGAGGAAGATGTTGGGTTTTAATCTCGTAACGTTTGTTTCCTCTCTGGGCTCCAGAGGGTGTGGAAAAGGAAAGTGGTACAAGTTTAATGATACAGTCATAGAGGAATTCGACCTAAATGATGAGACCCTGGAGTATGAATGCTTTGGAGGAGAATATAGACCAAAAGTTTATGATCAAAGTAAGTATTTACAAATGGATGTTTCCCATTAGTTTTATTTTTTTAACTTACGGTTTTCTGTCAGATTGGAAGTAGTATTCTTAACATAAAATGTAATTCTTTTATTTTTACATACCATTGTTCTAGCTATATAGATCCACAAATTCCTTGATAGCCAGAGAGAAAATACTCAGGCTGCTTACAAAATGTTTTGAAACTATTTCCTTGCAACAGCCCTCAGAGGACAGGTGATAGAGTAAGTTAAGAGGAAGAAACAAGTATCAGAGAGTAACTAATGAATGCAAAATTTCAACCTTAAAAATAATTTCAGAAGAAGTAGTTGTCCACTAAAATTCTCAAATTTCCTTTTCACTTACATAGAGGCACAATTAATTACAGAAGACATCCCTAACACCTGGGTTTTAAAACCGTGTTTATGCAGTATGGCAAAACAGTCTTTCTCTCTCCAGCCACCACCCCCAGAAGAAAGACTATGAGGAAAAGGACCTCAGAGAATCCAATCAGAATTTGCTACTTGGGGGTGAGGGGAAGACCTTTTATAGAGACCTTAGCGTTTCTGAAACCTGATTTTGTAGTACTCTAGGGGCATTTAAAAATTTCTGTGTTTGGGTTAGAGGAAAACAGGGAAAATAGGTGAAGGGACTTAAGAGGAACAGACTTCTAGTTAGAAAATAAGTAAGTCACAAGGATGGAAAGTAAGCATAAGAAGTATAGTCAATAATACTGTAATAAGGTTGTGTGGCTACAGATGGTAATGACACTTACCATGGGGAGCATTTCATAATGTACCTCATTGTCAAATCATTATGTTATATACCTGAAACTAATAGTATATGTCAACTACACTTCAATTAAAATTTTTAAAAAATTTTACCCGTATTATATCCACTATATTAGATTTTGATACCATACCAAGGTAGTCCTTTGTCTAAAGTAGTTACCTTTGGCTACAGATAGTTAATGGTTAAAGATAGTATCGTTGCCAAAACTTACCTAGATTTGGCTTTCCTATACAGAATTGGTTGAGGCCAATTATAATCCCATCCTATGTCACAGAATTTATTTTTAAATGTTAATCTGCCTTTTGGTTAAATTTAGACTTGCCTAGGAATGTTTACCTTCTTTACCCCATTATCATACAGCTTTCTTCCTATTCCTCTGTATTACCTTTCAAATGATTCTAAATAGTATTACTGGTAAAAAGACATTTTACTTACATTTTGCTTATAAATTTTGTAAGTATTTGCTTTATTTATAGGTCCTTTATTTTAAATTGTGAAGACAAGAAAACATTTTTTATTTACAAAGATTTCTTCCTGTCTTGTTATAAAGCAAACCCATATACTGATGTACGCCGAAGATATTGGAATGCCTATATGCTCTTTTACCAAAGGGTCTCTGATCAGAACTCCCCAGTGTTACCAAAGAAAAGCCGGGTCAGCGTCGTCCGGCAGGAAGCTGAGGATCTCTCTCTGTGAGTTTCTCTTCCACATAATTCACTGCACCATTTCAGCAGGCAGTCATTACAATCCTGAGTATACTGTTTGGCATTTAAAAGTAATTTGTTAAACAAGCTAGAGAGAAACTCTAAAAAGAAAGTAAGTAAATACCTCTACCCCTTTTCTTATTGTCACCTGTTTATGATTCCTTAGCAAGAAGTTACTTGGTATTTAGAAACATGTATATAAATGATTTCATTCTAGAATTGCCATTTTTTTCTAATCTCAGCAATTATTGGGTGCGCTTTATGTCCAAAGTGTCACACTTGGCTAGCACTGCCAGCGTTGCTGGTTTTTTTAAGGTCCTGTTATCTATGAATTTGCATTTTCCTATATTGGATCTGGAAAGTATGCAGTTTACTGCCAAGTCTAGTGCCTTGTTACATAAGTCTGTCGGCTTTACACCAGACCGTTTTCTGATTCCATCCTTAGGTCTGCACCATCTTCTCCAGAGATTTCACCGCAGTCCTCTCCCCGGCCCCACAGGCCTAACAATGACCGGCTCTCTATTCTAACCAAGCTGGTTAAAAAAGGCGAGAAGAAAGGACTGTTTGTGGAGAAAATGCCTGTGCGAATATACCAGGTAAGAACCATATCGAAAATTCTAAAGGAGAAAAATTCAGATAAAAGTCAAAATCCACCTCAGAGGTCCAGATGTGTTCCTGCTGGCCTCCTCGTGGACTTGGTTGGATCTCAAGTGCCTTGTCCTAACCACCTTGTGCCACAAGTGTCTTATACCAGGTCACAGAGGTGACCACAGACTCGAGGTGGCCGGCACTATCGCCAGCCTGCCGTGTGACTGGAGGGTGTCACAGATAGACACGTGGGAGGGCGTGAGCACTAAAGACACACACGGCTGAAATATAGGGTTCATTCCTTTGGGGAAAACTGTTGTGACAGTGATGACCATCAGTTATTGAATATCTACTCTGCTACATGCTGTAAACAAATTCTTAATTCTTAAAACATTCTTGTGGAGTACTGGGTTTTACACTCATTTTTTAAGAGGGAAAAAGTGAGCTCAGAAAAGGAGAAGTGACCTGCCAGTGTCACAGAGCCAGGATTTAAATTCAGCACTGTACAACTATCCAGCCAAGTCTTTGTACACTAAGTAATCAAAAGCTGAGTAACCAGAACCAAAGAATTTAAGAAAAGTATGGAGTTATTTGTTTAAAGAGGATGAATTAAGCTCTCCAATGTAAGGAAAACATTGAGTTAGTTGTACTTGGAAAAGCTCTGTTTGCCCCTCAACCCAAAATAGCAGGTTTGAATTCACTTGTCCTTTACATGGTGGTTTTCTGAAATTTCCCAGAAGAGTTTGGTTTGATAAAGAATAATTTACCTTATTTCAGCTTCTTACAGTTGAAAGGAAGATTTTCCTCTCTCCTTTTTTTAAATTTCAAAGCTCAAGAAAAGGGTTCTTATGAACCCTTCTAACCTAATATTTTTAAAAAACCCTTTTTTGCCTAACATATCAACAAAAATGTCTTCCACACATTTTGCCCTGTTTCTTAAAAATAATTACTAATTTTCTTTTGTAGATGGTGAGAGATGAAAACCTCAAGTTTATGAAGAATAGAGATGTGTACAGTAGTGATTATTTCAGTTTTGTTTTGTCTTTAGCATCATTGAATGCTGTAAGTACTAGTTGGCTTCTTAGTAGAGGACTGAGAAAGGAGCCTAGTTAACTGTCAGCTCAAGCATTCAGTGACTCATCCTCCCCCTCAGATTAGAGGCCCAGAATGTTTGCATAAATATGTCACTTCTGGGGTGATGTTAAAATACAGGCAGTGCTCAGAATGTGTCCTGCAGATTGTGAATGGGTGCGGGTTTCCACATACTGGCTTTTTTAAGTGCTCTTCAGTTTTGTAAAGAATTTGAGAATAGCCACAAGATGAGGTCAATGAATGTTGGGCTTTGTGGACATCAATTTGTCCTATTTGTCATCAGACTTTACCAGACTCAAGATGAACTTCCAAGTACTTCTGTTTCTTGAGTACCATGATTACAATTTGCCAGTAGGGGGAAGTTTCTTAGTCTGCTGACAGGTTACCTATAACATGTCCATGGCCTAAAGTCTCTATTTTGAGAGGGCTTCATAAAAGAAATGAAGAGGATGTCTTTTCTTACCCTTTTAAAAAATTTAAATGGGACACTTTCTATAGTAAGCTGGCTAGATTTTTCTTAATGATATTAATTATGTATCATTATTCAACTCATAACATTTAGTAATCAATAAAACATCAGTGAAAAATAGCCTCTCTTTTCTCCCTCTCTCTCAGACTAAATTAAAGCATCCATATTATCCTTGCATGGCAAAGGTGAGCTTACAGCTTGCTATTCAGTTCCTTTTTCAAACTTACCTACGGACAAAGAAAAAACTCAGGTGAGAAATGATATGTTTTGATAGTCTGTTGTGGCAAAAGGCACCAATGAATTCGATTAAAATAGAATTTATGAATTCAGAGCATTGTGAAGGCACCTACCTGATAGACTTAGGTGATTAAGGCATGGTTCCTATCTTGAAGGAATTTCTAATCTCATAGGAAGGATAGATAAAGCGGAAAAGGCAAGGCATAAATGCTAGACATCTTCAGGAATTGGGCAAAATCATATCCAGATGGGTATTGGGGTAGGTGTCAAAGAGAGTGACAGTGTCAGGATTTTGAAAGGTGAAAACAGAAATGGAGGGACCAGTCTGGGTGAAAGGGGAAAATCTGAGAAACGAAAAAGACTTGCCTAAAGAACCGTGAATGACTAGTGTTTTGCTCACACATGTAGGAACTCATTGGAAGTGAGGTCAGATGTGGGGTTTGGATGAACCCATTGAGGGTCCCGATTACCACAGAGGGGAGTTGGGACTGTGTTCAGCGGGAGATGGTGGAGGGTTCTTGAACGGTTTCTGTCTTCAGCACCGGAAAGGTGCCCGACGCATTGTAGGTTGCGGGTGCAGAGGTGCTGTGTGAGTAGTGTGTGATGGGTGAGTGGCTGCGCCCTGGCTGGAGCAGGAGCCCAGAGCAGGCAGGGACTCGGGGTGAGGAAGGCAGGGACAGCTCGGCGAGCCTACTGCGGGGAACTTCGCCAGAGGTGAGGGGCTTGGGGAAAGACTTTACAGTCAAGAGACACTTGAGAAGAAACAAATAGAATAGCAACTTCATTTTTAGGTGTAAAAAGTTGTATTAAATGACATTGATCTTTATTATTTGATTGGAAAAGAAGACATCATATGTTCCTTTCTCTTTTAACGTCTGGCATAGGACTAAGGAAATGTCATTACTTCTGTTGTGAAATTGACTCACGCCAATGTCTATGCATTACAGACTATTTTCATCTTGGTTATATTCACCATTTTGGGTCATGAGAGAATGGAGGGGGTGTTATGGGAAGTCCGGGTAGTATAGTCGTGACAGCTCTTTGTCTGCCCAGATGTTTTTATTCCATGAGGTAGGATATTAATGATTATAACAATGAAGTATAAAAATGTTGATGTAGTACCTATTCTGAAAGTGGTCATTTTACACTTGTAACTTAGTTAAGCAACACAAAATGCCACAGTCAGGCAATTTTCCTGATTGCAGTTGTTTGAAGAAGATGGGGAAGATAAAAGTTAAAGTCTAAGACTTGAGCTTCTTCGCATTCTTTTGTGGGGAGGTGAGCAGAAGGGAAAGAACGCAGAGCCCTGGCTTGTGGGCCCCGCGATCCATGTTAGTCAGTGGCCATCGGGTGTTCAGCTTACCCTGTACCCCACCTCCCTGGAACAGTGACACTCCACAGGCTTATTCGCTGGGGACGTGCTCCTTACGTGTCTGTCTTTGCTTTTTTAAAGGGTTGATACTGAAGAATGGATTGCCACTATTGAAGCATTACTTTCCAAAAGTTTTGATGCTTGTCAGTGGCTGGTCGAATATTTTATTAGTTCTGAAGGGCGAGAATTAATAAAGTAAGTGTCAAGATCTTTTAATTAATTAAAAGAAATCGCTATCTCTTCTGGTGACTTAGAGCTGCTGTTTCTTATAATTGTTTTTATTTGTATTTGAAATTACTTTTCGGATTGGAGTCAGTTTTGAACTGTTTTCTCTAGAAGTGTGAGGAAACTTTTCAGGTCACTCTAAAATCATTCTTTCGAAAACCTTCTCCTTTGGACTATAAGCTCATTGCGTGCGAGGAGAGCATGTGTACACTTAACCACAGGCTCACAGGCAAGCATGGCCTGAACTCCTGCCGCGGCCCAAGAGATTCCGAACGTGTGTCCCCTCCCTCAGGGACTCACACTCCAATGGCAGGGAGGGGAGGTTAACGATCCTCCGTTTCTACACAGCAGTACCACAATATTGTCTGTGTTTGGATTCTGGCAAAAATACTATTTTTCAAAAACTTACTGATACTGTAATACCTATGGTAGTAAATTTACCTACATACCTATAATAAAAAATAATTTGCTTTTTCTGGCAAAAAGTCAAGATGCTCAGTCACTATGGATGTTTACACTCTACTCCCAGTCATCCTTGGCAGGTCGGCCTCTCTCATCCTTGACAAGTTCAGCATTCGTGTAGGGGCACCCATGATCTCAGTGTTTTTGTCCCCATTAGGCTCCTCCTTCTCCCTGCCCCCGCTCTACCTCCTCACCCCTCTCGCCTGCCATGCCAGCACACCCCACCTCCAGTTAAGGACCTTGCCTCAGACTTCATGAAGAAGGTATGAGTCACAGATGAGCAGACCTCTAGGCCTGGCGCATCAGAGCCTGTTCTCATCTCTTCCTCCTGTTACTCTGGAGGAAGTGTCCTCTCTCCTCCAAAGGAATCACTACATAAGCAAACCCTTTATCAGCTGTCATTCCTGCATCTTTATCTTGTAGCATTTTCTATCAAGTACTTCCATCAACTATAGATACGCTCTGGTATCTCTCAACTTGCAGAACAGGGAAGTCAGAAATACAGGCCGCTTCCACAGGGAGCTCACAGTTTGGTTCCACGTTAGAGAGCTAATCGAAACTCTTGGTCCTATGTTCTTCTCATCTCTAGGACTGAGCTCCAGACACTCATTTGCCTACTTTAACTCTCCATTTCTTTCTCTAATCTACCTCATAACAGCAACAAAAGTGGTTTGATTTGTTTTTTAACAAACTGGATCACATTACTTCTCTGCTTGAAAACTCTTCAGTGTATCCCTGTCACACTTCTAATAAAACCCACATTCTGTACCATAACCGACAAGGCCTTGAATATGGTCTTGTTTCACTTTCTTCACATGGGCTTGTTGATACTTTAAACACCCTAAGCTTTGTTTTCTTGCCTAAAGACCCTTGCACCTTTACTCCCTCTATCTGGAACATTCTCCCAGCCAGTCCTGTATATAGTAAGCCCTTCCTTACCCTTCAGATGTCAGAGAGGCTGTCCCCTCCTGACAATCTCCTCTAAAGCCAGTCTGCGCAGTTAGTCTGCTGTGCTGTTTGCCTGTCCCCTCACTAAACGCTGGCTTCTTGAGGGCAGAAGCTAAGTCTGCTTGGTTTTCCTTTTGTACACAAAGAGCCTGACACATAGTAAGCACTCAAACGTTTGTGTATGAGTGTATATCGTATCATGTGTATCTCTTTATCATTCATAAAGAGAGCAAGCAATATGTCTCTGAAGTGTTCTGTGTGCCTGTCCCTTAAGAGTTTGCATCAGAAGGCAACCTTTCCCCCATTAGTGTAATTCCAGTCTCTTTCCAATAGTGGGAAGTAGGGCAAATACTTAGTTTATTCCCTTATAACAATTAGACGTGCCTTTAAGTATCTCCAGAGGAACTTGGTGACTCCTTTGGTACTATGTTTGGTTTCTTAGCGTTCCTCATGGTTAAGAATCCCAATGAATTACCAATTTGAATCCTTCCTGAGAGAGTTTATTATATTTTTATCTCTTAATCACCATCAGTTTGTCATCATCATCTTGATTTTATATAAAATTGTATAATTAATTACTTCTTTACAATTTTTAAGATAGCTTAGGTTATCATCATTACTACTGAAGTAACCATGTGAAGGGAGTGCTCTTGGATTAGAGCCTCTCAGTGTAGTCCTTTTTTTAGACAATGCTTAAATGTAACCATAATTGTAAAAATTTGAATTAGTACTAAGTATTGCTTGAAAAGTTATCTGAAGAAATTAAAACTACTAGCAAAAAATATCTTACATCTTTTAAAAAGTTTTTATTGTGAAAGAGGTTTAAACATACAGCCAAGTAGCCAGAATGAGAACCCCGTTCTCTGCCTCTTCCCAGGTCAGGTTACTAGCACTTTGCCCATCTTGTTGCCCCTCCCAGTGCCCACCACTCACTCACAGGCCTGCTTTTTTTTTTTTTTCCTCTCAAATATTTTACTTTTCTTGTAATGCTTTTGCACCATTTTTTTTTAAAAGATTTTATTTATTTATTTGACAGAGATCACAAGTAGGCAGAGAGGCAGGCTGAGAGAGGAGGAAGCAGGCTCCCTGCTGAGCAGAGAGCCCAATGTGGGCTTGATCCCAGGACCCTGGGATCATGACCTGAGCCGAAGGCAGAGGCTTTAACCCACTGAGCCACCCAGGTGCCCCTACTTTTTTTTTTTTTTTTTTTTTTAAGATTTATTTATTTGAGAGAGAACACATTTGTGCGAGAGAGTCAGGGGTTGGGGGGCAACAGAGGGAGAGGGGGAGTGAGAATCCTAAGCAGATTCCCCCCACTGAGTGCAGAGCTTACCAGGGGGCTCAGTCCCACAACCCTGAGATCATGACCTGAGCCAAAATCAAGAGTTGGATGCTCAATCAACTGAGCCACCTGGGTGCCCCTTTTCCCCTCAAGTATTGTAAAGTAAGTCTCAGACATCATATAATTTCACTATAAATCTTCTTGCATATATCTCTAAAGGCAGTTTTTTTTTTAACTAAGCACTCTACCATGATCACACTAAACAAAAATATTTCTTTCATATCATCCTAAACCCAGTCCATATTCAGATTTCCGCAGGTATCTCAAAAAAGTTCACTTTAGCACTGCGTATGTACACATCAGGATCCAGACAAGCTCCACGTGTAGCATTGTTTGTATATGTCTCTTAAGACTTATGTAATCTGTAATTGTTCCTTTCCTCCACCACCTCCTTTTTTGTCATGCCATTTTTTTGAGGGGCAGACTGGTCATTTGCCATGTAGAATTCCCCACAATCTGGAATTGTCTGCATTCCCATAGTGCCTCCGAGTGTCTGTGATAGGAAATGTAGAACAGCCCCTGGAGATAGTCTCTGAAAGAATTGTACCTGAATCAAGCCTCTAGAGCAAATATTACAGGCACACTTGTTACCTCTATCTTTCTTGTAATTGTCCCTAGAGTCTTAGGGGATTTTGAACACAGCCTTGTCAGTCTGGTGCAAATTGGGTCGCTAACCGGTAGCATTAGTGGTTACGGGGACTGAGCAGCAAGCAGAGTGATCTCAGCTCCACTCTCCGCATACTCCGCAGAGGGCAGGAAGGAAATGCCAGTGCTGCCCTCAAAAGGGGACCAGCACAGCTTGCTGCTGGCATCTGGAGGACATGGTCATCAGAACTCGGCTGTATTTAAATCTTTCATGCAGAATAATGAGAACTTTCTGTCAAGAAATGGGCAAAAAGTGAGGTGGGTTTTCACTTTCCTGTAACAGTGTGGGTTATCAGGTCCAAGTGAGCCTAGGAAGCGAACAAGAAAGGCTGACTGTGGAGAAGGCTCAGGGGGCACTCCCACCCCACATGCCCCAGAGCCGCGCTCCTGCCTGACCACACCCCTCTCCAGCCTGACCACGCCCCTCTGCATAGGAGGCACCTCCCCCACCACTCTGCTCCCCTCCACTCCCCTCTTGCATGGCTCCTCTCCCAGTGACTCCTCTCCCTGCTGGGCAGGTGTGTAAAGGTTCGAAGTAGTTTGTGTGCAGTGCTGGAGATCATGGAAGCACCTGATCAGCCTTGACTGCTGTGGTCATCACCGTCATAGATGAAGAAAGGAGGAAAGTGGGACCTCTTGGGCTGCAAATGCTTGGTTAAGGTTTAGGCCTGGGGAGGGAGAGCAAAGGGAAAGGGTAGAAATACTGGTGCATGGGTAGAGTAGGAAGGGCTCGCTTGACTGCAAGCTTTAGTATCTTACTCTGAGAAATTCAAAGGGAAGGTAGGGTTCCCCTGGGAGAGACACAGAGTGAACAGAATTTGTTACATTTTAGGTTCTTTGCTTTCATCTCTTTTCATCCATTTATCTGGTTACCCCCATTAGATTTATACAGATGCTCATTTTAGGAAAAGGGGGGAAATCTGCTTTTCAGGGTCCCAGGGTCTGGATTTTCCTGTTTGGCCTCCTCCCTCCATCATAGTAGCCTGTGAGTGTGTCCCAAAGCTCTCAGGAAGCTTGACTCAAAGTCTTGGAGGGATTTTGTGTCTTGAATAGTAGGTGGGCCTGGTCATGGGAGGCTGGTTTATAGAAATCCATTTTGCTTTCTCAGCGTGCATCTTTTCTGTCTCTGTATTTTAGGATTTTCTTGCTGGAGTGCAGTGTGAGAGAAGTGCGAGTTGCTGTGGCCACCATTCTGGAGAAAACCCTAGACAGTGCCTTGTTTTATCAGGATAAGGTCGGTCTCATTTCTTGGATGTTATTTATATATTCTATTCCTACCAAGTGTTCTGAATTGCATATTATATAATAAGAGAGAGCACCTAGGATAATTTTGCCACCCAAAATGCACCTCCCGTGGACTGCCTTTCTGATAAATGCCAGGGTAGAAGGCACGTTGTCCTTGCCGCCTCCTATCCCAGGAGTCAGGATAGGCTAGGAAGTTAGGTCTGCTCTGGTCTGCTTCAGCATTTTCTAGAGCACTGCTTTTTCAGAGTCTTCCATAAAGAGTCTGTGTTAGATTTCACTGAACTGAGATTAATGTCAGTCTAGAGACTCTGGGCTAGCCCAGTAGGCATTTTGAGCCTCACTTGGCTTTGTCTCTTTGCTACTAAGCTATTTGCATGATGCAAATCCATCAATTGGCAGCCAAACCAAATAGTGCCGTCCCTCCAGGAGCAGCCACCAAGATAGTTTCTTCATCGATCTCTATTACTCCCTAGGCTATGTTCCTGTTCTTCTGGATTTCTTCTTCCTAATTCTATTTTCAGCAGTTTATTTTATGATTCACAGTTCCACACATGTGAAAATAAACCATGGTATTTATTACTATCCTCAATCCCCTGAAATTTAAGTCTTAGGGAAATAAATGACATATACTGTAAGTCTGATAATTCAGTCTGTTATTAAGTCCTAACAATATAGCACTTCTTCCCAAGTTTGCTGTTTCAAACAGCTGACACTACATGGAAAACTTTGAAAAATGTTATTTGCAGATCTGATTGGCTCCTTGTAGACCTTGGCTGGAGGCAGTGTGTCTCAGTGAACTAAATGCAAATTCTAGGAATTGCTTCAGATCCAGGTGTTACTCTGCTGTTCAACCTTGAGCAAGCCCTTAAAAAAAGATGCTAACCCAGTCACAGTAGCCGGCACCCGTCAGCATTGCCCAGCCCAGCAGTCACTGTTAGACCAGACAGCCACAGGAGCTTTGCTTAGCCCAGAGTGAACAAGGAGGTCAAATACGCCCTTTAGAGAGGACCTAGAAGAAGTCGGTGTCTCAATTCCAGGAATTGTAAAGATGCTGACGTTTGGTCTAAGGCACTGGTTTTCAGTCAGCTTAAACAGCAGGACCATTTTTCAAACTTCAGCTTACCTGGATGCAGAATATGTAAAATTGGTCACTGGGAGCCACTTAGGACAGTTTGGATACCATTGCTCTGAAAAATCCCCATGGAGCTTTTCTAAAATGTTTAACATAAGGGCCTCTAACTGTCCTCCTTCCTCCCACGTGCCAACCCAAACAGAGGATAAAAGCAGAATTAGTGCAGTCTCCCTAGAGATGGGGTCAGGCTGTGGCATAGTAGTCCACCAACCTCTAGAGGCAAGAGCACAGGTGATAGAAAGGGAAGGGAGTGGTGGAGGACAGAAGCATGCGAGCCATTGCCTCAGCGAATTCTGTCTGCTTTCCAGCTGATGTATTTTATGTCTGTTTTCCCCCCATCATGGAAATGGTGCCTCTGGCCACCCACTTTATATTGTAAAGTACTTTGAAAATGAGGTGCTATATAAACGTGGGTTTTACTATATTTATAATGAGTGTGGCAGGACGGATGGGACTGTTTGAGAAGCCTGTGAACACCATCTTCAGGGGAGATGAACTAAACAGAGTAGTAAGTTGGTCTTACTTCTCCCGTCACAGATGAATTTCTAGGGACTTGTCCAAAACCAGTTGGGGTGGGAGGGAAAGAAGAGGCACTGTGATAACCAAAATGGTTTCTAAACAAATAAAATGTTTTTCAAAGCTTTCCATGAGGCGTCAGCGGGCTTTCAAGTAAGTTCACGGTTGAGTTGATATTACCGTTGTCATTCTGTCAGGCTGTTGCTCTCCATTTGCTCCATTGGCTTGATTTCTGGCCCCTATGCCTGTGTCTGTGTTTTTTATTCTTTGCATCTGTGATTATGTGAAGAAGTAGTGTAGCGGAGGGAGGGGTTCAGAAGTGTTTCCTCTAAACCCCCTGCTTTCTTTTAAGACACAGAAATTGGGTCTGCAGAAAGTGTGACCATTAGCCATAGAGTCTGCCCTTGAGTCTGAAATCTAGAAAACAAGACTAGGCTATCCTCTTAACTGTTTCTACAGTACCAATCTTTCCCTGGAAGATAAAAGCGATGATTCTGTTTTTGCTCTCCAAAGCATAAATCCATCTGAATCTGAGACTGGATTGTATCAATCAGACTTGACTTTTGTTCTTACGGTGATTACTTCCGATTAACCCTGTTACAAATGCCTGCCTTACATTCTTTTTCTTTACGTGATTTCATCTTTCTTCTAACCAGTTAAAAAGCCTTCATCAGTTACTGGAGGTACTACTTGCTCTGTTGGATAAAGATGTCCCAGAAAACTGTAAAAACTGTGCTCAGTACTTTTTCCTATTCAACACTTTTGTACAAAAGGTAAGTGATTTTTCTCCAGTAGCTTTTCCTAATGTAGCACATTTCTAGTCTAAAGGAATTTTTTATACATGGAAAAAATTTGTACTGGTCAGTACTGGATTTAAAGATGTGGTCATAGGAGGGTTTCTTCTTAAAAATCTTAATTTGTGGATAGTGTGCCTTGCCAAAGTTCTGGAACAGTAGCTTAGTTACCACAGGCAGCGGGAGACTGCACAGAGCTGGGGCCTCAGTGCGTGTGTGGCACCCGCTGTGAAGTAGTGTGAGGCTGTTGGAACTCCAGAATTTTAACACGTACTTTCTGTATGTAAATTACAGCATTTAAAAACTTACTGACCCCTTAAAACTTCTCATTTAACTGTGTTTTTAATACACATTTTTGTCTGGATAGATCTGTAACTTGTCCTTGTCGATATCTTCTGACAGCAAGGTATCCGGGCTGGGGATCTTCTTCTGAGGCATTCCGCTCTGCGACACATGACCAGCTTCCTCCTCGGGGCCAACCGGCAGAACAATCAGGTAGTGCCGCTGCTCCATGGCCCTGTGCGACAGCCACGGTTTTGTTGCCTCGTTGTTTCTCTTTGTGCCAATGAACATACTTCATCCCCTAAGAGTCCAGATGCCAGTGCTACGTGGCTTTTAAAGTTCTTCAGACTTTGGTTGTTTTTACAGCCTCCTGGTCAAAGTTAGTCTGATGATACCACGGGAAAGACTAATGAGACTATCAGTCAAAAAGTGTCCGGGGAGGAAAGATGGACTCTGAGCAGGGGGTTGCATAGGCCTTTGGGAAAGAGAGGCACAAGGGTCTCTACCTGCCCTTGGGGAGTGCAGGCAGCGCTGTTCTAGCGGAGGTGGTTGGTGTGGGGGAGCCCGTAACAGGGCAGGATGGGCTGCGAGGCAGAGCAGTGCGGCCTTCTGGGGCCTGTCGCACACACAGCGCCATGGCCAGAGCACAAGAGGGAGGTTGTCTGTGGCGGTGGGGCTAGCTGCATCCCAGGGTGGCTCTCCGGCATGGAGTTCCTGTGCTGGCGTGTTTCTCCCGTCACTTTGTGTCTTCTGTTTGTGAACAGAAGTGTGAACAGGGTGATTGAACTGTGAATAGGGTGACAATGCACTGATGGCACACGCGGCCTATGGAGCCCCTTAGGCACCAGGCACGCTGGTTACTTCACACACGTGCCTGCTCTAGTTCAGTAAGATAAGCATTTGCCTCCCCAGTCCCAAGCAAGCATCAGAGCTCAGAGAAGTGAAGTGACTTGTGTCAGGTCACAGAGCTGAAGTGTCTTGGAGCAGGGACTCACACCTAGCTCTGCTTTCCCCTCTCTGTAACGCATGGCATGGGCCCATGTTCCTTTCTCAATGAGGGGACACAGCCTTGCTGCCCGGGGCTCCCCTCAGCCTCCTGTCATGCTGCCTGTTGCCCTCTCCAGTGTTACAAGTGCTGCCGCCATGGCATGCTCTCTGCGCTGGTAGGACGTTGCAGTTCACAGTGTCTTTGTTCACTGCACACTCTTTATGCTCTGGGACTCCGGTGACACTGGCAGTTGATTGACACTAATCATAATTTAAATAAGATTTAGTGGCATTAATAGTGTTATATACTCCATATTTTTACCTTTCTGAAGCACACGTAATGTGGAAAAGATTCTCACTTTTCATGTTTCATTGGGTCCTCAAAGCCAGGAAGTGGGCAGGTGGGTCATCTCTGCCGGTGCCTGGAGAGATCAGGTGCTGTTACCCACATCCACCTGGCATGGTAACTAGCACAGGGGGACCCAGGCACCAGCTCCCCAGCCTCCTGGGGTTTCCCTGTCGTACTGTGGTACAGCAAAGTTACCTAGCACCTCAGAAGCATTCAGTACCTAGATTGAATACAGAAATGGAAGTATTTTAGAACAAAAGTTAATGTGTCTGCAGGAAGAAAACACTCTGTGTTTTTTTCCATGAGTTTCTTCTATTTTGATCTCTTCTACTATCAGACATTGAGAAAGAATCATGGCTCAAAATAGCATGAGCCAGCCCATCCTTTCCCTTCCTTTTCATATTATTTCTGACCAAAACATTAATGTCCAGTTTTTTTTCTCTGTTGGCAGATTCGTCGGTGGAGTTCGGCACAAGCACGAGAATTTGGGAATCTTCATAATACGGTGGCGTTACTGGTTTTGCATTCAGATGTCTCTTCCCAAAGGAACGTTGGTGAGCTTTCACATGTCATTATCCAGCAGAAAAATGAAGACAGTGAATTTGTCGATAATGCATGGAGACTAATAATGTTAGCAGTTAAATGAATATTACTTCCCATTTGGCTATTTGATATTTGAGGAATACTCAAAATGTTTTGTTTTAATGCATTAATAATTAATTTGCATTAATTAAATGCAAAATTTAATGCATTTAAATTTCACTCTATTTTATTAGTTCATTATAAGAGAAAGTCAAATCATTTATTTGGGGACAGGGTATACAAGTTTAAAGAAACATTTATAAAATATTTAAAAATACTTAAAAATATTTAAAGATACACTGTGGGATTAGAGGCTGATTTAGAGTTCATTCATCACCATACCTGGCATGGCTAATCTAATGGGAAAAATAGCCAAGTGTGGGTTGGAGTGTCCTAGCAATGTGACCTTGACCAAGCCACCTGACCTTCCTGATCCTCAGCATGAAATGGAAATATTAAAAACATAATTCCCCAGGTATAATGAGGATTAATCAGATAAAATATTTAAGAACTTTGTAAAGCTAAAGAGGATTCAGATGTAGCTTATGTCATTGAAACGTGTTTGAAAGCAAGATGTAGTTGGTGCCTTTCCATTTTTGTCCCCCAGAGCCAGCAGCTCAGTCCTTATTTCGTGCAGCCGAAACATGTTACCTCTCTGCTTATCCAGTGTCCTAATCTACATGCATAGCACGTTTTTTACTGTTCCAAGGCCTTATCAGAACAGCAACAGCAGTAACAATAACAATACAACAGGCAGCTGGGAAGTATCCAGAGTTTTCTGTGTGCTGTGCCTTTCCATGGAGCTCTGGGCTCTGTGTGTAATCCCCTCCACCACCCTGTGAACTGTGGTCCCCCCCCACAGACAGGGAAGTGAGAGCACGGCCAGGCTCATGGCTCACACAGGCGGCAGCCAGCCAGCGGCACAGGCCGCAGTGTGTGAAGCAGGCCTCTGACCTCTGGCAGCTATGGCAGGCGTGCATGGGACATGACCGGGAAGATGTCCAAGAAATCCCAGAGCACTGCTTTGCTCTGGAAATGGGTCCTCTAAGGGCTGGGGAGCCTTCGGGCTGGGAGGCAGTATGCATTCTTCACTCTGACTCCTGAGCCTGAAAAAGACAAGGCTGCCTACCTGACTCGTGAGTGCAGCCAGGTTTGTGAAAGGAACAGTTCGAGTCCTTGTTTGCTAGCGCATGGGGCAGCTCACCCCCTCCCTGTGGGTCAGTTCTGCCTAGCGTGGGTGGTGGTGGCCGGTCTGTGAGGGCAGTTGTTAGAGCAATGGGTGTGTCGTCTGGCGTCTCTTCACAGGCGTTTGGGCATTTTCTCTCATACACTATATATACTTTTTCTTCTTTGAAAGATTGTCTTGGGAGGTCTAAATTGTCGCACTGACAACTCTGACATACACTGTGAGAAGCGGGTACACATTTCCTCCTGTCTGCGTGCCCAGCTTCCCCCACTAGGCTGTGAGGGAACAGGCTCTTAAGTACCGAGCCGCCCTGTGTGTGCATCTCAAGAGAACCGCTTCACCTTGTAGGTGTCTCTCTCTTGAAATAACACCATCTGAGACAGGCTTGGTTTCTTTGGTCTCCTAAAGCTCCTGGAATGTTCAAACAACGGCCGCCCATTAGTGTTGCCCCCTCCAGCCCTCTGCTGCCCCTCCACGAGGAAGTAGAGGCCTTGTTGTTCCTGTCTGAAGGGAAGCCTTACCTGTTAGAGGTATGTACTTTGTCTTCTGGACCCTTTCTCTTTTTCTTCTCATTATTGTCTACCTGAGGAGAAATGCCCCTGGTAATAGTTCGTGTGTCACTCTGATGTTCAGAGAAGAAATGAGTCTTTCAGATTAATTTTTCTTCCTGGGTATATGTCAGAAAGAAATGAGCAGCTGAAGAGAATTTTTGTTAATCCTCTCTGCAAGCAGGGATTGGACCTCCGGGTCCAGCCCAGCAAATTTCCCCTCCAGGGCTCAGGATGTGAACGACACTTTGGCAATCATAGATACTCAGTTTATTATCAGAGGAGTTTGTTCCCATCTTTGTGTGTGTCTCTGGTCCCGGAATACCACAGCTCTGGAGCACACATGTTTTGTAAACCTCAGGAGTGTGGGAGTGGGTTGCTCATGGCCCTCCATCGCATCACACATGATGTGGCCTGTCTGCGGCCCGAGTCCCCTCCCCTTCGGCCCAGAGCTACCTGCTCTTGACAACTTAATCCTCCAGTTCTCTTCCAAAATGTGATTTACATGGATAAACCGATGAGCCGTGTGTCACACTGGTTTTTTAATCATGTCGGTGCTGTCTTACTAGCTTAACATAGTTTACTTGGCGATCTATCAGTGATTCTTTTCATGTAGTGCGGGGGAGCGTACATTTGGGGCATTTACCTTTGAAAATCAGATGAGAGTGACTCCCAGGGGGGAAAAGGTACACATTTGCAGATGTTGTTCAGACGGACTTTGTCCCCTAGCAGTTAGTCAAAGAAAGCCTGCTTTGAAGAGATGTTGAAGATCTTAAGTCTGAGTACATTTCAGGTAAAATCAGAAACAACTTGTAGACAATTAACTGTGACATAAGAAAACTTGAGTCCTTTTATGCTCCCTCACTAGGTAATGTTTGCTTTGCGCGAGCTGACTGGGTCGCTCCTGGCGCTCATCGAGATGGTGGTGTACTGCTGCTTCTGTAATGAGCATTTCTCCTTCACCATGCTGCACTTCATTAAGGTAGGACCGCAGAGAGGCCTGGGGAGGGCCGAGAGCCGGCCACTGAGATGCCAAGGAAGTGTTCCTTTGCTCCCAAGCAATTGGCTCCTTTTAATAACCTGTCGCTTTTCTTAATCATAAAAATAGTATAGGCTCATTTAAAAAAAATACAGAATGAAAAGAACGTCAAGTCTCACCATCACTAATAGTCACTATGAACATTCTCCTAGGTCTCCTTTTATTTCCTCTGCGTGTATTTTAACATGATTGGAATTTTCTGTCTCTCTGATTCTGTGTCTTTTTTCACTTGACATTCTAAGTATTTTCCCGTATCATTAAGTGACCTCTAAGGATATGTCATCTTCTTGTGTACCATAACTTCCTTAACCATTCCCTTCCTAGTGAGGCACATTTGCACCAGGCTTAATTTTTAACCATTTAGAATATATTTTATAGGTAATGATATGCTGTGGTGACCATTATTTTGTAAAAAGGCTTTCCAATTTCAGGTCATTTTCCTAGGCAATGTTTTAAAAATCGAAAGTAAGCAGGCACCTGGGTGGCTCAGTGGGTTGAGGTCTACTGCCTTTGGCTCAGGTCATGATCTCAGGGTCTTGGGATCGAACCCTGAGTCGGGCTCTCTGCTCGGCAGGGAGCCTGCTTCCTCCTCTCTTTGCCTGCCTCTCTGCCTACTTGTGATATGTCTGTCAAATAAAAAAAAAAAATTAAAAAAAAGGTTTTTCTTACCATCTGAAATAGCAACAAAGTTTATCACGAAGCTTTGGTCAGCATTATAATCACTCTTACATACGCTGCACTAAGCACTGTTCAGGCATAGTACATATTTCCCCTTACTCAATTCCCAAGTAGTCCTGTGATGTAAATAGTGTCATCATCACCATTTCACCGTTGAGGAAACCAAGGCTCAGAGTAAGTGACTCTTGCCCCTTGTCACACAGCTGGTAAGTGGCAGAGTGGGGATTTGAACGTCAGCAGTCTGGCTCCGGGGCTCTGCTCTGAACTATGTTGTTCACTGCCTTTTTAGGTACTACCGGAAAAACCTTTCAGCCTGTACATACTTTTATTAGGTTTTTGTTTTTTAATTTTTCATCCTTAATTTTGAATTGCATGGATAATACCTGTCTGCGTATTTTTGTGTGCGTGAAAAATTAAAACACACAGATATGGCCAAAGTCTACTTAGACCACCACCAACCCACCTTGTGCCCTGTCCACCCTTCCCCGGGGATCAGTACTGTCACCTGGGTATGTGTTCTCACAGGCCTCTCTCTGTGAATGTACTCCGTTTGTAGTCATCCCTGCCCAGAGGGTCTCTGCCACGCCTTCGTACCTGCCCTGGGGTTTGTCATAGTGACACATGTAGTGCGAACAGGCAGCGGCTGATCGGGGACTATGTTCAGGGTCTTAGTAAAATGTGTCTGCCCTCAGCCTCTTCCCCTGCAGCCCCATATCAGAAGTGATTGAGTGTCTCTTCTTACCCTTCACAATTACATGACCTCAGGCGAGGTTCTTATCCATGAAGTGGGGGGAAGTATGACTTAACATCACAGAGGGTAAAGATTCAGGGTGCCTCCTTTGTGACGGCCTTGGTGCCTCAGAAGGGCGATGCCGTAACACTGTGCCATCACCCACAGTCACACGAGGCCGCTGAGTGCACAGCACATGCCTCTTACGAACCCTCACACTGTCCTTGGGCATCTTGGCAGAGTTTTCTATGTCATAAGGTGACTTGTCTTACGTGCGTCTCTCCTAGCATGCTCACTGCGGAGCACGTGTCCTGGAAAACAGAGTGGGACACGTGTGAATGACACAAACAGATACCTGGGCCTGTTCACTGAAAAGGCCTCCTTTCCTTTCTGCCTTTCTTCCTCTCTCCTCCCTAATGTCACAGTCCAGGGTGACAGTGCTGCAGTCTGTGGAGACTGCATTAGTCCTAGGTTTAGCATTCAGGCAAACGGGGGCCCCATGGGGACAAGTGATAGTGGTAGAAATAGAGCTTGAGGCCAGCCCTGTTGCGGGCCACTCTGATGGGCTTGCCCCTGAAGACTCACTAGAATCTTTATGCTTTTAAAAATATTTCAGAACCAGCTGGAAACAGCTCCACCCCATGAGTTAAAGAATACGTTCCAGCTGCTTCATGAGATACTGGTAAGTGAAAGATGTTCTGATCCTTTTGTGCTACTGATTAAATTTACTAGTTAGCACATGTTTGCAAACAGAAAGGTGTGTGTCCTTGTATCATTTTGCACTCGCTTGGTCTGCACTTAGTGAGCCCTCTGTAGGACGGTCAGGTTTTGTCATTCCTGGCTGAGAGGTGAGAAGTAGGAGACCAGGGAGGGAGCTGGACAAGTCCAGGAGGGACAGTGCAGAGAACCAGGGCGCGTGAACAGCCTCACCTTGCGTGGGAGACCGTGGTGCTCACAGACACTGTCTCCTTTAAACCTCGTGATAACCGCCAGAGGAAACTTGCTGGCTCTACAGTTCATTCAAATCTAAGACACCATCGACTCTCTGTGTGCTACTAAAAATACTGCTTCCAGGCCACAAAACCGGAATGTAATGGACTGTAGGATGCGTCCCAGTTTCAGAAGTATGAAAAGCAGGGGAGAATTCAGTTGTAAGCAGTGAATTGCTTAGTGAAGTGGAGGGATTTGCCCAAGGCCACCCTTGAATTAAAGTGACAGAGCCAGGATTTGAGCCAAGCAGCTGGCCCCAGAGCCCAGGCTGGCCACCAGAGCTGATGTACAGACACTGTATGTAGGTAGGTGGCATGACCAGGAGAAGAGAGAATTGATGAGGGCTTGGGGAAAAAAGCCTAGACCAGATCACGAAAGGCTGCCTGTACCCAGAGTGTGTGGGCTTTTACCCATAGGCCCATGGTTGCACACGGGTGGCCAGGTTCTGCCTGTATTCCTGTTTTATTTGACCCAAAGTTTTGTAATTTCTGGCTTCTGGCCTATCTTGAGAAACCAGGTAGTGTAATGAATTTCCCATTTCCCATTTCCCACCTGCCCCACTCACCTCGACCAGTTAGCTCTTGCTACCCTCTGATCAGGCACGTGTTGCCCAGTCCCCCTCTGTCCTCGCTGCTCGATACCATCCTACCTAGCCCACTGTGTTCATTTCTTGTTGTCCTGGCCTCTGTAGACATTTCATTTTGCAACCTTTGCTGTCACTGATGAGCACTATAGGCAGACCTTAATAGGAAAGTGACATGACTCGACTTAGGATAGAAAGCTTCTGCTGGCACTTGTTTGGAAGGCCTGACTGAAGAAGGAAGCCAGGTTGGAACTGAAAGACCACAGAGTTGTGTGTGGCAGTAAACTGGAAATCACAAGACCTGTACTGAGGAGACACAGGGCAGAGGCGGCAAGGGACAGGTCTCCATGTGTTTGGGAAAGAGAAACAGTAGACTTTGGTGACTGGGTGAGCTGATGAGCACCTGGCCCAGGGCTCTCTAAACAGAGCGAGAGTCCTGGGCAGGGTGGGCATTTGATAAACACTTCCAAACAAGGAAAGACATCACTGATGGCATTTATAAAAAGCCTATCTCTCTGGTCCTTTACCTCCTGTTTGGTCCTAGTACTTTCACAAAGTACAGAAGGTCGTTGCTCCTCCAGAGAAGGACTGCACATGGTTTGTCTGCTCAGCAGCAAACCACTGAGCTCACTGCCCTATGCACATGTCAGTGCCAGGCACTAGAAGTCCGGCCATGAGCAGGACACAGTTCCAGCCCCGTGTGGCATGGCATAAACCTCCTGACAGTGCAGAGAGCCTGTATCGTAGCAAAACTCCAACAGGGTTTCAGTAAACAGTTTAGACCCTAAACCTCTTATCCTTGGGATCACGAAATACACATCCTTGTAGCCCACTGTAGCTTCTGTGGAGAACTGTAGAGGTAAGAACACAGAGACAGGAAATGAATGGGTCTTCAACTATTACTTGATCATTTTTCAACTGTTTAAAATTTAAGGAGCACCTGGCTGGTTCAATCAGTAGAGCATGTGACTCTTGATCTTGGGGTCCAGAGTTTGAGTCCTGTGTTGGGGAATAGATTAAACTTAAACAAAATACAATAATAAAATAAAATTTAAGATGCTGTTGAGATATATGCCAGTGACATGTTGTTCGTTTGTATTGGGTTTTGTTAAGTTAGGAACTTAATTAATCTCTTGAACAGAATCATTTTTAAAAGGCACCAGTGAGTGGCCTCATACAAGTTCCTTCGTTCATTTACCAACCTTTGTCTCCTTCCATCACAGGTCATTGAAGATCCCATACAAGTGGAGCGAGTCAAATTTGTATTTGAGACAGAAAATGGATTATTAGGCAAGTAGCCTGGCCATCCTGAGAAATGTCTGTAGCAGACCCACAGCCAGGGAGCCTGTTATTCTGGCTGGCCTCCTCCCTGACCGCACCCCCCGCCCCAGCGCTAGTCAGCAAGGGCTCCAGGAGAGGTCGGTTGCGGCCGTGGGCTCCTGCATTCTGGTCAGGAGACGTGAAGTCAAAGGATCTTACCAGCTGGACAGCTGTCCCCCTTGAGTCAGCAAGGGGCAGCCGGGGCTCCTGTTACTGGGTCAGCTAAGAGTCAGGGGTGCTGTTACTGTTTTCAACAAGCTAAAGGCTACTTTCCGAGGCCAGAAATCTTTCAATCCACTCTGCAGCCTTCAGGGAGAGAAAAACCTCAGGCTCAGGATGGTGTCAAGCTCATAAAATAGGATCGTTTTTGTTGTTTTACCGGTGGTATGAATGCATCCACATTTCTCTTACCACTCATAAAAGCTTTTGCATTTTTCTTTCTTAGAAGGCTAAAGTGGCTTTAATGAGCTGTTTCTTAGAAAAAGTGTGATTAGAAATTGTCCTCTCCAACACCCAGCACCCCGCCAGTATTGCCAGTTAATCTCAGTCATTCAAGAATTTGCTCTGTGGCAAGAGTTTGAAGACCTCCTCTTACTGCAGCAAAGAGATGTGAGCTACAAAGTTGTGTAGCTGCAACATCGCAGGCCTCCAGGTGGCACCCGGCTTCTCTAGACTTCCATACCAAACACTCCACAAGAGCCCACATCGAGGACTATTTATTCTTATATCCACAGAGCACAGAGCAGGAAGGATTTGTTGAACTGAACTAATGTCGTAAATTTGCATTTGTCAAACTGAAAGTGTTGTGACTGCTCTTTAGTCAGGAGTGTGGAAAAGTTCGGAGGTCTCTGAGTAACCAGCTGTGGAGGTTTGAGCTCCTTTTGGTTCTTCCAAAAGGCAAACTTCCACTCCCACATACGTTTCTGGAATACCATTGAAAGCAGTGTCTTTGCCCACTAGAATTTGGGGGATCCCATTGAGGCCACACCACCATGCTTTTAGTTGAGTGCCCTCTCTGCTGCTCAGACCAGCTGGTGGTGAATGTTCAGGATAAGCGGCATTACTGGGACACACTTTCCGCGTCTTGCTTTCTTGTCACGATTCCCTCTTCTCTTTGCTCAGCCCTGATGCACCACAGCAACCACGTGGACAGCAGTCGCTGCTACCAGTGTGTCAAATTTCTCGTAACTCTTGCTCAAAAGTAAGTATTGACTCCAATTGCAGGGGAAGAAATGGTGTCTTTAGTTACCAGGGAAAAAATCTCCCTTGGTTAGTTCCTAGGGAGCCTGACTCAGAGCATGCTTGCTTGGATGGTTCAGAAAGCTGTTCACAAGATCTCGAAGAGTTGTGAGGAGGAGTGTCAGAGGAGCCACAGATCTTAAGGAATCCAAGAAAAGAGCCACACCAGCAGGCCTTAGGTGGGAAAGGCAGGAAGCAAGGCAGATTCGGGGACCTCCACAGCAAGAGTCATTGAACTTTCACTTGAGATAGCTTCCAGCAATGTAACTTCACTACCAACTCCATCATGTTCTAGGTCTCCACTTTTAAAACAGTCTCTCAAGAGACAGAATTGTGTTATAGCTACTCAGACTCAGGAACCCGGGCCCTCTGCAAAGTACGTTGCCTTCCTCTCATTTAACCACAGAGACAGCTCTGTGAGGTTAGACTCTGTCAGTCCCACATCTTGGGTGGTGTGAGCGCCGTGCCTGCTGTCAGAGCTAGGACTTGAGCACAGGCTGATGGCCTTCAAGGCAGAGGTTCTTTTTGTATTTAATTGTGGCAAAATATACACAAAATCAGGTTTGTCACTTTAACTATCTTTAGGTGTACGTGTCAGTGGCGTTAAGTACCTTCACATTATTGCGTAACCATCATACAATCCATCTCCAGAACTACTTCATCTTCCCAGACTGAACCTCTGTCCCCACCCAATACTAACTGCCCACTCCTGTCCCCTATCCCACCAGCAACTACCCTTCTACTTTTTTATGGATTTGGCGACTCCAGGTGCCTTCCATAAGTGGAGTCACACGGGGTTTGTCCGTTTGTGCCTGGCTTATTTCGCTTAGCCTGATGTGCTCGGGTTCATCTGTGTTCTAGCCTATGCCAGAACTTCCTTTTTTAAGGCTGAATCCTGCCCCCTTGTACGGCTGTACCACGTTTTGTTGGTGCACTTGTTAGTTGATAGCCACTTGGAAAGTAGAGGTTCTCAAGGTTAGAAGGAGCCTTAGTGGCCTGCTGCCTCAACCTCTGGAGCACGCGGGGTCAGTGGGAGCAGAGTGACTGCGTGGCCGCTGCTGAGTCCCCACCCAGCCTTATGTACAACTTCACTGATTTTGCTCCAGATTTTTCCTGATTCTTAAGCATGGGGATTGCCATCCTTGGGTTTGTGCCAAAATAAATCTGTTGAGCCCAAGCTGCTGTATGTGAGTGTCCTCAACAAATGAATTGAGAGCCTGGTCGAAGTAATGCATGAACGTGCATTTTCCAGATGACATAGTGTTGTGGACACAGGTGGAGACCATCCTGCCGCAGTGGTGGGTGCGTTTCTAGGCTTGATGTTGGCAGCGTGACAGCATAGGTACTTGCCTGAGTGGTATTTCCAAATTGTGATGGGGCCGCACGGTATGTCTGATGTATGTCCTCCACCCCTCCATTCTGTATGCACAGTATCGCCATCAGTACTGTTTTTGAATGTGAAAGACAACTTTCTGAGTGGGCAAAAATGCTCCAGGACCACACTGTAAAGTTCTTCCCCTAATATCATTCTCACTCAAGTCACAGAAATGTAAAAACCAGTTTGATTCTTTCAAGAATTATTTCTCTTATTAAATGGACTAGTGTGGGGTTTTTTTGTTTTATTTTTTAGTTTCTATCTTCGAATTATGATAGAACTGAGTGGATGAGGTCTCCTAGATAAGATTTCTCACTACAAATTTAACCTTTTTCTGCTTTTCAAAGTTTACACGTGGGAACGTATTCCAATCAAAACAAGTAAAAACTTCATAGACAACTGAACTTTAGTGGAAGTAGCATTTGTGTATCAAAATAAAAAGGTAGAACAATTGAAACAAGGATATTGACAAGGTAAGCATTTGGCTAATACAAATCCCACCCCCACCCCCCCACCGCCAGGTGCCCCGCTGCTAAGGACTACTTCAAGGAGAACTCCCACCACTGGAGCTGGGCCGTGCAGTGGCTGCAGAAGAAGGTAACTGCCCTTAGAGCTTTGCTGGCTGTCACCAAGAAGCAGTTAAACCACCGTGACGTGTTTTAACCCGGGGTGCTGCTTGTCAGGGATAGTCTCTCTATCTGGAGACTGGCCTCCGAGTTACTTTCAAACTTCCAACCTTTTTCAGAACAATTGATAACCTGTCTCTACGCATGAAGTTCATGTCTTAATACAGTGTCTGAACTTGATAGGTGAGAGAGCAGGGGTGATAATCTGAGACAGTGGTTCACTGAACTCTTGAGAGCCGACATAAGATCCTCCCAGTGTGACAGAGGATCTGGGTGGATTTGTGTGCTGTGTTAGACGCGTTTTATATTTGAGTATCTAATGGTAGTAATTGTGGCTCACGTGGGCTTGTTTGTTGTCTCTGATGGCGTTTTTGACCTCCCACCTCAGATGTCAGAACATTACTGGACACCACAGAGTAATGTCTCTAATGAAACATCAACTGGAAAAACCTTTCAGCGAACAATTTCAGCTCAGGTGAGGCTTCTCTTTCTGTTTTGTGTGGCTTTAAATCCCACAGATAGGATTTTCAGTGCATTTCTCAGAAGCCACGGCCTCAGAGATGAGAGGTGTAGGTTAAAAATGAGAAGGGGCTGGGGCACCTGGCTGGCTCAGTGGGTTAAGCATCTGCCTTCAGCTTAGGTCATGATCCCAGGGTACTGGGATCAAGTCCTATGTCGGACTCCCTGCTCAGCAGGGAGTCTGCTTGTGCTTACTGTCTCTCTCTCTCTCTCTCTCTGACAAATAAGTAAAATCTTTTAAAAAAAGAAATGAGAAGGGACAGAAGAGGCAAATTTTCTGTGAAGAGAAAGCACGTTGTTGGGCAGGTGGCAAACTATGTGCCAGAAGAAAAGCATTGTGGGTTACAGAAGTTGAGGGGTGTACTGGTGGCTGCCAGGCGAGCACCACCTGGAGGCTCCCGCCGTCTCCAAAGATCAAGTGGAGGGTCATTGTCTTTGGTGGCACTGCTGCCACCACATACCCCCTGACTTTTTCTTCTCGTGTTTCAATCTCTCACAGGACACGTTAGCCTATGCCACAGCTTTGCTGAATGAGAAAGAGCAGTCTGGAAGCAGTAACGGGTCAGAGGGCAGTCCCGCCAATGAGAACGGAGACAGACATTTACAACAGGTATAGCTGGGCCCACGTCCTCGTGGGAAAGGGCCCCACCTGCTCTGAGTTTTCCAAAAACAATTTCCGTAACCAAGGAGAAAAGGAGACACCAGGCCCCCACCCCCCCACCTCGTGGTCCCTGTCCAGGGCCCACCAGCAGTGTGCTTCTAGAGTGGAACAGTGCTGTCGAGTAAAGTTACCACAGGGCTCTCACCTCGGTGTCTGGTGGGCAGTGCCTTGAAGGTGGGCCTGATAGAGCCTGGATGCAGCAGCATTCCTCCTGGCGGGTACTCTTCATTCTGCCAGGGTGCCACAAATCACCCCCTCCATCTTTGGCTCTCATCAGCCTTTCTGGAAACACAGACCCTTGAAGGGCCATTGAAATACCCACTTGCGGGGGAGTCAAAGAATACCTTTAAGCTTGTTTAAATATTTATTTTTTTACAGTACTGCTCCGTCTAGTGGAAAAAGGAATGAGATATATCCACAGCACACACTGGTGAAGCGGGCATGACCATGATGGCGTGTGCCATGAGGGCGGCCTTCTCTGGAGTTCACCACAGTGCTTGGCACAGAGACCTCATTAAATGAATCTTGTTGATGTCGTGTGTGCCTTTTTTAACCTTTTAGATCCTCCCAACCACCCCATGAGATCCCTGTCACCTTGACTTTCCAGAAGGGACACAGAGGCGCAGCACTGTGACGCGGTTTAACCCAAGGTGCCGCTCAGCAGCTTACCTTCTCCCATGCTTTGTTTGCAGAGAACATAACCGCTGTAGGACAGGAGCTCCTGCAGCTGCCAGACTCCGTCCATGCAAGCGTGGGTGCACACACACATCCTGATCCCCTCCCTGTCAGTACAACACCTCCCACAGCATTTGGACACACTCCGTTCTCCCTCATCCTGTAAAAAAAAACTCATCTTCCCTCTTATCCCCTGCCTTCTTTCCCCTTCTTCACAGCCAGACTTCTCCAAAGAATTGTCCAGACTTGCAGTTTCTTCCCTCTCGCTCTCCGTTCAACCTCTTCCCCGCTGGCTCCCTGCCCTGTGGCTGGCTCCGCAGTCAGGGTGACACGTAGGCTTCTCAGGCCTCATAGTAGTGGAGCACTCAGCAGAATCCGACCCTGATGGCCGCTCCTCCCTTCTAGAAACTCTTTCCCAGGGCTTCCACAGCACCTCACTCTCCCAGCTTTCCTCCAACTACCCCGGCCGTTCTTTCCCCATCTCCACCAACTTGATTCTTAGGGGTGCCACTCAAGACAGCCCAGCTCCGCTCCTCAAAGACAGCTTGCACCCACCATGCCCGATGCCTCCATCCACTCCCACTGGAGCGGGTCTCTGCCCGTGTCCGTCATCAATGGCACCCTGTGCCCCAGACACGCTGCAGTCCATTCACGGTCCTGCCAGGCTGACCATTTAAATCTCTCTGGGGCATCTGTTCCATTGTCTTAAGCACCTTGGTGTCCTGGGGCTTTGGAGAAGCCCCTGCCTCGCTCTTGCTTCCCTCTACTTCATCTGCTTAAACCTTCTATGGCTTTCCATTGCTGTCAGGGTAAAGGCCAGAATCTTCACGGTCTTGCTTGATGGGGTCCCTGGCCACCTCTGCCCCCTTCATTTTCTGACTTCTGGACACCAGTGGCCTTCTTGTAGTTTATCAAATGCCTTTTTTTCCTTCCACCTTGGGCCTCCCCCATTCCCCCACCCCACCCCGCATCTATCTCTCACCCGCCTTTACCTGTCCTTTTGCAGAGAGTCCCTGTTCCTTCCCCACCCCCACCACCAGCTAGATCAGTCCCAGGACACATGGCAGGCATTCAGAACTTTATTAGCGTGTAAACCAAACACCACACAGCTAGTGATGGAGGCAGAATTCAGGAGTGACCCAGAGTCGTCTCCAGCAGCCGCTCCGTCATGACGGTCCCCTCCCCCCTGAGTTCTCACAAGCGCTGCAGCCCTGTTGCCTGGTAGCCCAGTCACCTGAGGCAGGTCACTGGGTGCCTTCGGTGACTATGGGAGAACATGGAAATCAGAGTTTGCATAATCGAGAACTCTCAGGTAAGGTCTTAGAGCTCTGTTTTATTACCCTTCAATAAGTCTTCTGTTAAATGCACTCTTTTACCGAACACAGGTCAGCAGGCATGGAGAAGCTTTTCTCTAACTTTACTGTGCATGAAGTGAACCTCCTTCTCTTTCTCAAAGGGTTCAGAGTCCCCCATGATGATCGGCGAGTTGAGAAGTGACCTTGACGACGTGGATCCCTAAAGGAACGAACACGCCCAGCGTACAGTGAGGAGTCACAGCTCGGTTCCCGGGTGCTCAGCGCTGTTCTAAAATCAGATTCTCACCCTTGAGCCCTTTAGAAGAGCCTGCAGCTTGGACTAGGGAGCCCGGCGTGATCCCAGAGGAGTGTGGGTTTTTAAAGAAGGCACTCTTGGCCCCTGGAGAAGGTTCAGGAGCTGTTTGGCCGTGGGAGAACTCCTGCCCCTGGATCAGCGGCCCTGGGGCCCGGTTCACACGGGGATTCACGTTTCTGTGGAGATTCTAGGAAATAAAGCCGGTGGCAGACTTTTTTGTTAAATGAACATACAAGAATGAATGGGGTAAAGCTGTTGCTTTCTCTATGATGCTACAAAAGAAATTCCTTTCGTTTTTATATTTAAAAAAAAAAAAAAAACAAGCTGCCTTTAGATATGTGGGGGCAAATTTTTAATCTTACAGTAACATTGACTAGGAATATTCAATTTAAAATGATGTAAAGATAGGTGATAAAATTCCTTTTCATTGTAAAATAGTAGTTAAAGAACTCCGTTTACACAGACCTTTGTATTTAATATGTCTCCCTATTTGTATAGAATTTCAGACGGGTCAGGATGAGAGCCCTGGGCGCATAAAGTTGGATCTTGATGAAATGTTACCAGGATCAAAAATTGGGAAATTTATTATGCTCTTTAACATACATTTCTGATATAATTGAGGTTGAAAAGAGCAATAAAAAAAAAAAAAGTCCTCCAGAAATACCAGGTGCATTCTTCGACGTCAGTCACTAAAGAAGTTACAGAATATTTCCCCAAATTTGGAAAACAGCAAAATAAAAAGCACTTTAAATTATAATCTTATTGAGTTTGACTTCATAAAATCATCTTTTTAATGCTTGGAGACATATTGAATAAACTGTAGTCTTAAATCATGTGATCCGCAATCATTTGCTTTTGCTTAAAATATAATTACTAAAACCCTTGATACTGTTTGTATATGAGGTTAAATATTTGAGTTGAGAAACGCTGCTCTGTGAGTTGTAGTAATTTTAATGCGGAGAAGGAACTTGACACTTTGTTTCTTTTCAACATGACTAATGAACACCAAAAGAGACAAGATTTGTTTTCCCAGAAATAACCAGAAAGTAATTGAACAACTGTCCATTTTGTTGGTATTTCCCACGTATAGTCACCATCCACATACTTTAAATTAGATACCAGCTTCCCTTTCTCCAGAGGGGACAGGATATGCCAATGGATTTCATGTATTTTGTATTTTGAGTTTCTACATCCATTTTCCACCCTATTTTGCCTTTAGTTACGTGTTCTGCCTTGTTTCCAACTCCCTGTGATGGAACTAAGGAAGCTTAGGAAGTGCCAGGTTGCCCCTGTCAGTTAGATTTGCCAAGTTCAAGAGGCGTGGCCAGCCCCAAAGTGCCTTTTTGGTGGCTTCCGCTTTGTGTGGACACGCGACAGGACAGACAGCTTTCGCCACTGTGCACTCCAGCCCCAGCCCCTTCTCTGCTGAACGTGAGGTAACTGTGCAGCCAAACCACAGTTTGTATGTGTGTCTACAGCCCCCACAGCCTAGCAATGGCCTTTGTTAAGGACACCATGCAGACGGGGCAGCGTTTAAGAGCAGAACTGCGCCCTCGGAGAATTGGTCAGAAGGAGTTGGCAAATTGTACATGGTTCTGCTGTTCTTGGAATTTCAAATGTGATGTTTTAAAATTGATTTTGAGTTCCTCAGTACTCCCATGTCCTCCTGTTTTCCCTAGCACCCCCCTGCCCAGTCTTCTCTCCACCCCCATCCTCACAGATCGATTGTGTAGGACATGACCTTGAAATGCCAGTGATGATCTGTGTTGGGATATCATCGCTGGCAGCTGCACTCTCAGGAGCCCAAATTCAGGAGTGAAATTGCCACTTCTAGTCCCTTATTTCCTATGGAAACAACGCCTCCCACCACCCCTGGCACCTGCCGTCCTCACTGTAAGGCTCCATCAGGATCACCCGTCACTGCTGTGCATCATACGCTCTGGTTAAGTTTGATTGTGTTGTTGCTGCAATGACCATCACCTCCTCTTTGCCAGGAACCACTTGATTTCCAGCGGCTGCAGACTACAGCTAACCTGCTGATGACTTTTTTTTTAATGTACAACGAAGTGACAATTACGACAGGCTTACCTTGGAAGAGTTGTCATTTTTACTGCCAATTTTTTGGACGAAGATGTTTTTATAAATCTTTCAAAATGGTCTGCACATCGGGTAGGAATTGCACAACTAACTCAATGCTGTGTGTTCTCAAGACGCTCCCTTCGCGAGGCCCACCGCAGGGCGCCGCGTCTGCCCCTCGGAGGCATCTGGGAAGGAAAACAAACGAGCAGCCCAGCGGGTGTCTTGCCCATGACTTCTCCTGGAGTACTCACACGGTCACTGGCAACTAGAAGAAACGGTAGGACCCAGAGCATCGTGTCCTTGGACTTCCCCTGTCTTGCCCCACCCTCCCTGCTAACATTGAGATGTGTGCAGTTACCTTTTGAGCTTGGAACAAGCAGACTGGAATTTTCCTCTGCTACCTCTTATGTACAAAATCTTGTTTATAAAATTTCAAAAGGAAGTAGATAAACTAGGGGAGAATCTTAATCCTAAATTTGGTTCATGAGTGGCAGAGTTCTTAGCTTCTAAGGGTATAAAATAAATTTTTCAAAAATCTAGAGTTGGAGTCCAGCTGACCTTCTTCTCTGCGGTGCAGGGAGGGGCGCCGTGGGCCCGGGGCCTGGTGCGAAATGGCTCTGGGGTAGCTTTTGGAACTTGGCCCTAATGATGGGAGTCAGGCCCCTCTTTAATAACCAGGGGTGTTGGGTTTTCTAAGCCTTTTGTGGTTCTTTCCTTTTGGGTAAGGATGCCGAGCCCAGGCTGCTGGCCTATAGACATCTCCCCATAGCTCTGAGGTCTCCCAAGAGATCCCCGTGTGAATCACGTCCCTGGTCAAGCCAAGCTTCCTGTGGGCTCATAGGTCTCAGTCTTGCTCCTAATGTCCTGGGTGTGTACACATGACTCCGTGTTCGCTGCCCCAAACCTTCCTCTCCTGTGGCCTACACCCATACCTCTCCCACTCGCAGTGACCACCTGCTAACATAGGCAAGACCCAAGTACCTCCCTTCTCTCAATCCTGGAGCGGTCAGGGTATGGCTGTCTCATGAATGGGCACCTGATTCTTGGGGAAGGGAGACCATGTCCAGCACCACATAGCCAGCCGAGGCGCCTGTGGCATAGACATGGTTCTTCTCTGGCATTCAGGCTGTTAGCATCGGGCAGCTCTGGAACTCTCTCCATGATGCTAAAATGTCAGAAAATACAATTTGGGAGGATTTTTGCTTTGCAGGCAGATTCCTTATCATAGGTATGGGCTGCTTTGAAATAGGCCTTGCTTAAGAGAGCTGCACTCGCCAACTCTGAGAGGCTGGAGGTCCCGTGTTGAATGGGTAATTACACGATGCAAACTGGACTGAGACTTCATAATTTCCAGTCATGAGAAGTGATTGTGGATATAGTACTGACTCATTACAGAAGCACTGGGCATTTGTATAACTGTCTTACTCCATAAACGGACTCTGTGCCATGGGGAGAAGAGAATGAAAAAGACAAGGAACCAGAGCTTGGCAGTGGACGTGGAGGGGAGAGCATCGAGAACGCCACAGGGGCACCGGTTACCAAGGGTGGCGGGGGGGCAACCACCTAGGGGCTCGGGGAAGACAGGTTTTTATCCTAAAACAGACCTAAGTGCTCATCCAATACCTGATTTACTCAACTATCCCACAGATTTTTATCAAGTGCCTAGTACAAACAAGGCATCATCCTAGACAGTCAAACTAAGGCCTAAGAGTCATGACCAAGTTGTTTTGTTTTGTTTTGTTTTTAAGATTTTATTTATTTGACAGAGAGAGCTCACAAGTAGGCAGAGAGGAGGAAGCAGGCTCCCTGTTGAGCAAAGAGCCCGACGCGGGGCTCGATCCCAGGATCCTGGGATCATGACCTGAGCCGAAGGCAGAGGCCTTAACCCACTGAGCCACCCAGGCACCCCCCCCAAGTTGTTTTTATTTTTAAAAAGCCACCGTATAGTTACAAAAGCAAAACAGAAGTCTAGAAAAGCTTCTTGCTATTAAAAAGGCAGTAGAGAGAGCGGTTTGCGAACAGATCAAATAGATAAATGCTTGGTTTTGTTTGCTTGGGTGGGGGTATGGGGAGCTCAAGGAGGGAGGGAGAGTTGCCCCTCCCCCTCCAGCTCTCAGAGCCCCCCAGCACCCCCCATCATGGAGAACTGCCAGCACCATTCACCCAGTGCCCCGTCCTGGCTCACAGTGCTGCCTCAGGCCTGTGTGCCCCTTCTGGGCCCCAGAAGTTTACCTATAAAGATGGGGGTTCCCCCTCGCATGCTGTAACAAGAGGCTTGGTTTTACAGGCAAATCTGGATTATGAATGGGCCCCACCTCTCTTCCTGGCCCTGCGGGCTTGGCAGGTCTCCCGTTCAGGTTGCCAGTAGCTTCCTCCCCAAGGCATGGATGGTGGTGTGTCCTGTGCAGTGTAGGTGCAAGGGCTGGGTGAGAAGGGGTGCAGGCTCCACAGCCCCCACTGCAAGCCACAAAGCTGGCCCTGGGGGCTGCTTCCTGCCGGCCACACCAGGCGCACAGCCAGGCCTGCACCTGAGCACGAAGAGGGCTGCTGGAAGAAGCACAGGTCAGCCCCTCAAGCGCCTGGGATGGTCTCCCACCTCCAGCTGGATCTCTTGCTGTCGCCAGTGGCTCAGGAGTGGGTATGAGAGCTCAGAATTTCGTCAACAAAAGCTATCTTCTCTGCGAGCCCTAACAGCAAGGCTGGGAGAGCCCAAGAGTCCACCACACTGATGGAGATCCTTCCACAGGAGCGGGGACTCGAACCCAGGTCTCCTGGCCGCCGCCCAGGGGTTCATTCTGGCCTCAATGTCCTCATCTATCCAATGGGTAGAATAGACCCTGCCTTTGTCCCAGGGCTACTCTGAAACCCTGTGGGAATGTGGGTGGAGAAGCACCTTGGCCATCTGGAACCACCGGCCAGACCTGGGCAAGCATATCGCTCCTGTCAGTGCCTAGCAGCTGGCACCCCCACAGTATGGAAAACTTCCTCCTTGATCAGGGGGCAGGAGGTGATGACCCATCTGCCCATTTCACACTCACTTCCCCTTCCAGCCCTTAAGTGTCCACCCGCAGGAGGATGACTGCCTCCTTCAGGGAGCCCTCGGGATCATTCTGCCCAGAAGCTGAGCACAGCTTGCCCCATGCATGTAAGTGGGGGAATGTCGGATGCCTCCCATTCAGCACAGGTTTGGGGACAGGGTGACCCAGGCTGAGTGGTCACGTTCTCCCAGGGAAAGAGCCCACAACTCCTCCACCCCAGAGGCCAAAGTAAACCTGTCTACACCAGGTCAGATACCCCATTCCCTGAGCACACACCCCCACCCTGACCCTGGACTCAGAAACCTGCAGGGCTCCCAGCTCACTCAGGCAAAATCCAAAGTCCCGACTGTGGCCCTCAGGCCCCACCTTACCTGGTCCTGTGCCCTCTCTAGTCCTCCAGCTTCAGTGGGTTCCCCCTCCCACGGGCCTCCTGTCTGCTCCTGGTGCCCTCCAGTCACGCTTCCACCACGTCAGGTTCTTTACCCCGGCTGTTCCCGCTGCCCCAACACTGTTCCTTCCCTGTGATGCCCTCCACCTTCTCAGTGAGGCCTCTCCTGAGCC